GAAGTGAGCCGGAGCATTGGCTAGGCCAAAGGGCATCACTAGGTACTCATAGAGTCCCAACTGAGTGCCAAAAGCTGTCTTCCATTCATCTCCTTTAGCAATCCGGATGAGGTTGTATGCTGCTCTAAGGTCTAGCTTGGTATAGATCCTTGCCTTCCTGAGTAAGAACAGCTGCTCCTCGATGAGGGGCAATGGTGCCCTGTTCTTGACAGTGATCTCGTTGAGACCTCTGTAGTCCACACAGAGTCTGAGACCTCCATCCTTCTTTGGTACGAAGAGCACTGGTGATCATGCCGGGCTCTTCGATGGTCTTATGAACCCCTTCTCGAGGTTCTCATCCAAGTATCTCCTCAACTCGGACATCTCCTTGGGTCCCTTAAGGTATAGGGGCCCTTGAGGTGGCTTACCTCCTTCTATCAACTCGAGGTGGAGATCATGCTCGGTATGATGGGGCAGCTTGTCTGCTTCCACCTCATCAAACACATCTTGCAGGTGTTGGTATGGCTTTGGTATGTCTGCAGCCATCACCACCTTGTCTACCTCCACCTCCATCTCGACTCCTTTGTCTGCGCCTGTAGGTACAAAACCAAAGGCCAGGAGTGATGATGGTGGCTCCTCCAACAGCATGAATCCTATGGGTCCATCTTCTAGAGCTGCTCGTAGTATGTGCTCTGCTGAGACAAACTCGTTACCATGAAGGGTTGGTCTCCTCATGGTTAGGTCCCCTGCTCTTGCTGCTTCAGGGGGTCTCCTAGGGGGTCGGTCCTGCTCCTGAGTCTTGAACTCCAGCTGGCCCGTATCCCATTGTATGGTGGGTTTGAGCCTCCGTAGCTCAGTGAACCCCAGGATGAGGTCATAGTCCGCAGTGTCGGCCACTGAAGCTTCGACCACACCCAGATTGTGTGTACCAATAGATACCTGCATGCTCGCAGAACTATTGATGGAGAGTTGGTGCCCGGTGACACCATGGATCGATCTTGTTTTTATGGGTTTTGTGGGTATTTGGTACTTACTAATGAAAGAATCTGAGACTATGGACAAACCAGCACCGGTATCAGCTAGTATCCGAGCAGGATGGTCTTGAACCATTCCAGAGAGCTCCAGTACTGCTTTGCCACCACTGGTAGAGAAACATACTTGACAATCTTGATATATACAGAGTGATGACGAGGAGGTTTGTAGAGCAATGCATGCCATCAGTGCATCACCCCACTGATGTTTCCCTCATCGTCATCATCATCATGCTCCTCCTCCTCATGGTCGAGGTCCATGGGTTGCTGGTATGAGCTGAGGTCCATGGCCTCGGGGTCACCCGTCTCAGTACTGCCTGTGTGGCCATCTCCTGAGTCAGTGGCCTCCTCAAAGGGGTCTGCTGTGGTGACCATAACCTTTGGTCCCATGGGTCGAGAGCTAAGAGGGTCTACCCTCCTGCTGGGGCAGTCTCTGGCCCAATGGCCAATACCCTTGCATACATGACAGGTGTTGATACCTGATGGAGCAGGGCTTCCTTGCTTCGAGGGTTGGGTGGGATGATGAGGAAGGGGTCAGTTTAGGTTTTGTATAGTTGCTTGTGTAGTTGCTTGTGATGGTGATTGAGCTGGATAAGGTTGAGTGGGTTGTCGGATGGGGATCGAACTTTGATTTGGCCGAGACCCAGTTCTTAGTGGAGGTGACATGGCATTTGGGAGTGAGTGTCTAGCCGAGGACTGCTGTAATAGCATCCTCTGTTGATCGATCTCCTCAACCTCTCGGTACCACTCCCATCTCTTCCCAGGTGGATTCCTCTCGAACTTCTCCTGTATGCTATGAGTGAGACTACCTCTGAAGAGATCAATCACTAGCTCATTGTCATCTAGGTTGACCTGTCCTTCCAAGTCTCTGAACCGCTCTACATGACGTGTGGCGGCACCAGGAGCATCACTTGTGAGTCTGAGAGCCAACAGCTTGTTGTATGCCTCCATCCTAGCATTGCATGGGTTGAACTGCTCTGACAGTCGCTCTGTGAAGTAGTGCCAATCATTGAACAACCTTCCTTCTCTAGCTCTATCAATACAGAGCTTGGAGGTCCACCACTCTCTCGCTGTCCCTTCCAGTTGAGCACCCATGTGATTGATCATCCTAGACTGCTCATACACCTGGTTGAACTTAAACCATGCTTCGGCTTCTAGAATGAAGATCTCCATGTCTCGGGGATTGAACTTTGGAAAGGGGGTGGCAATGGGCTTTGACCGGTTAAGCTCTGCCATGATGCTGGTATCCTCCTCGTGGTCCAGGGGGTAAGGGTCCGTCCTAGTCCTGCTGTAGGGGTCCAGCTTAGTCTTGACATATCTTGGCCCAGTAGGTGAAGCATACTTCTCGTAGTTGATGTCCTCCTGCTCATCCAGGTTGAATGAGACTGATCGTCTTGGTCGTGGAGCCGGAGTAGGAGTATGTGGGTCTCCTATCATAGACTCATCTCCTCCTCCTGCTTGGTCTTCTGAGTGAGAGAGGTCCATTGTCTCCTCCCTGCTCAGTTGAGCTCGTTGTAATCGTTCCTCTCGATGACCCTGTCTGGTAAGCTCTAGCTGTGCTTCCAATAGAGTGAGTAGTCTATCGAGCTTATTGTTGAGGTCTGGGTCTGTCATGGTGATCGTGAGGAGCTGCTTGAACGATCCACTCTAATGTCAGGGGTCTCGCGCCTGAAACCCAGGTCGGTCTGTTGAGATACTCGGTGACTATCAAACTGTGTGACAGCTATTGTCTTGGTATCGGTGACTATCAAGTTGTGCAGTGACAGCAGGTGGCGTTCATTGTATATACTATCGTAGGTTTTGGCTGACCTCTGTGGACACTCCGTTCAGGGGTAGCTCGGCATGATCAATATCAATGTTATGATGACACCAAGGTCTGGTGTGAGTGTTGATGATGATGAGGTTGATGGTGTTGGTGATGAGATTGGTGATGTTGATGATAATGAGGTTGATGGTGTTGGTGGTAAGGTTGGTGGCATCAACACGAGTGTCCAGTGTGTTGACTTGATGCTTGAAGTGATCCCCGGACTGCAGTGGACTACTGCCTTCAGTTCTATCTATATCCGGACCGCTAACCTGCTATGGGCGCCTTTGGACGTCAGGTAGTGGTGATACAACACACACACTACGATGAGGAGCAACCTTGATAGAGTGCTGCTATGCTGACTGTAACTAATGAGTACTTGTGTTTCTAAAGTATTGACTAGTTGTATGGTGAGTAGAGTGGATGAGGATCCACTCGACCTATGATGATGAGAAAGCATGGTTATATACCTCTTCTCAGCATCGCCAGCGATGCTGCTCCTGCTCTCTCTCCTGAGAGTACCTTCTTCATCGAGTACTGCTCAGGGGCCTCTCCTGCTTGGCACCCCTGTGCCTCTTGAGCTGTGTCGACTCCTTCGACACTGCTCCTCCTCCTCATGACCTGGTGTCAACTCCTTCGACACTGCTCCTCCTCCTCATGACCTGATGTCAACTCCTTCGACACTGCTCCTCCTCCTCATGACCTGGTGTCGACTCCTTCGACACTGCTCCTCCTCCTTTGATCAGTGACAGTTCCTTTGGCTCTTATCTCTCGAGCCCCTGAGTGGTAACCATCTGCATGCTCCTTGAGCTTGGTCCTCTTCGTGGCTGTGCCTGCTCCTTGAGCTTGGTCCTCCTCGTGGCTGTGCTTGGCCCTCCTTTGCATGTGAGCCCATAGGAGTCCATGGTCTCCATGGAGACTGCACTACAACCATGCTCTCTACTGATCTTGACTAGATCTTCGATACCTGTGCTCCTTCCATATGAACCCGTGACTCTCCTGCTTCTTGAGCATCCAGGCCCATGACAGGTGGGAGGTATGTGCTTGGTGCTGGGTATCATGGATCCAGACCAATACATTCATATCTTGAATGACAAGCTTGTGAAAACATTCTCTGATTTACACCTTCAGCATGCATATACTGAAATCATTTTTCAGCAAGACAATGACCCAAAACACTTGTCCAAGAAGAGTAAAATGTGGTTGACAAGCAATAATATTAAGGTTATGGAATGGCCAGTGCAGTCACCTGACTTAAACCCAATCAAACACCTCTGGCACCAACTCAAAATGTGACTTTCACAGTATAGTACAATTGCAAAGTCCAGGGATGAACTGCTCAAGAGATGTGAGGCTAAATGGACAGCAATCACTCCAGATACATGTAGGACCCTAATAGAGAGTATGCCAGACTGCATCAAGGCAGTTCTGAAGGCCAAAGGAGGGAATACAAAGTACTAAGGTGTTGTTGAGGAGCACTCCATAAACTGTCCCACAATAAAAAATTTCTTGGCTCTTCTTCAAAGCACAATTTTCTCAGGCAATGTCAATGTCAATTACACAGTCTTGGAGAGAAGAAGCAGAGCTTTCAGACAATATCAGACAGTGTGGCAATACAACATATGACTATTGAGCATTGGATTGATGTGTGGTGACATCTAAAATTGTGGGACAGTTTATGTGCAAGCTGTATATATTCAATTGACTGAGAGAATGCAGTGAGAGCCTAGAGCACCTAGCTTGATATATATACATCATTGTGGCAACATGCCAAATGTGGGAGTTGTTGTACTTAATGATCTAGCCTGGCAACGAGCTAGACTAGGTTGTACCCGATCTCTGGTGAGATCGGTCCTCTGACCAGGTCGGCTCTGCGTCATCCTTTAGCGTCTCACTGGATCGTAATCTTCAGCATTGAATGGGTTCATATTTCCACCGAGTTTCGACAGACCTGTCTTGCAATTCCAGAAGGAGGGATTTGTGCCCAACTCTGCTGATCAAGCTGCAAGCTTCGAAGATTGACAAGCAAATCCCTCCGTCAACTGCGTATGCAGGCCACGGAACCAAAACGAGATGACAAAAGCGAGGCTAAATAGACGCATTGCCACAACACAAACAGCATAAGAAAAGCCATAGAAGTACGTCAAACATTTCTTCCCTCAAAGGTGCAAAGGCAGACAGCGGGATCACCTGATCCTCCAACTAGCAACAAACCCACTAAACGCAGCCATCCCAACAAACCAGAACCCAAGACTATAGTTCCAAGGCCAACTCCTCTGTTCCCAATCACCTTGAATTCCTTCTGCCCAAACCATACCTCCTACTATCGGCCCGATAAATCTCGCTGCGCTGCTCGTTGTTTGAGCCAGACCGTTTGCTAGTGGGGTAAGATGGGGCGGGGTCATAGCGTTTATAAGGACGGATACAGCGGTGAAGGCGCAGACGTTTGCTAGCCAACGCATTGAAGCGAAAAGAATCATTCCTCCCATCACGAACCCGTCCGTGTTCGGATGCAAGAAGTTGCGGAGTAGGGGGAACAAGGTATAGCAGGGTAGGTAAATCGCTGTTCCCAGTCGAAGCATCGAAAGGTGGGAGAGGGGACCGGTAGGGGGCCCGACGCGAGGATAGAATACGAATTGGAATATAAGTTGACAAAACGCCATTGCGGAGATAAGTTGGGCAAAGTGTGATGCCGTAAGACCCAAACCGCCACTGGGGGGTGGTGTTACGAGGAAAGCCATAAACACCTGATCAAAGGTCGACGAGTGGAACGCCATCAATCCGTAATGTGCGATAATCACCGCTGGCAGAAGGGAGAACAACGATGTTGTCTGTGCAGCAGGGTTGGGATTAGAAGAGGCAAGCATAACAGATCTTCGTCCATCCGATCTGGGAGAAACCGAACCGTTGCGTCGATTTGGCGGCACTGAAAGACTGTTTCTGTTGGAATGCGATTCTGGAATACCAGCCAAGGTAGGATCCCATGCACTACCCTGTGCGTTGTTATTGCCTCCCAGGGGTCCAGACACAGCTTCCTCCCTCGGCGAGAGCAAATTGTGATACGGCGAAAGTAAGGGACTCTCCATACCCGTATTAGCATACAAACTCGGAACTCTATTGCCACTAGCTCTCCTCATACTCCTCGGTCTTCCCCCTCCTGCACTACTAGCCGACCTGCCAGCATCAGAATAGCCACGAGCACGAGACATTTTACGCTGGGCAAAGTTCAATGGTGCTAAATGCCTCGGTGCCAATAAGGTACTTGCTTCTCCCACTTGCTCTTGCTCTTGCTCCTCGTCATCTTCATCGATAGATTCGTGCGCAAGCGAGTCGTCGATTACAGAACCTTCTTCGTAAGAGTCTGCGTCAAGATCATCGTCTTCATCGTCGAAAACGTCTTCGTAGACGTCGTCGCCGTTGATCGCTGCAGCGACCCAAAGGTCGGAAATGGTAAAGACCGAGTCGTCTTGGGCGAGAAGGAATCGTTGAGCGAAAGACAAGCCGGCTCGGGTACCAATTTCTTCAAAGTCAGGTGCGTATTGGGTGGTGGACGAGAACGAGGTTCGACCTGCTGCACCGCCTCTTGCCTGCGCGAAAGACTGTGTTCGACCTCCAGCAGGTCCAGCAGCAGTAGCAGTAGCAGTAACAGAAGCAGTAGCAGAAGAGCGAGACATATGTCTATCGTAACCATACGCAGATCCAACACCGAGAATCCCTCGCTGTCTCTCCTCGGTACGAGAGAAAAGCCTTTGTCGAGGGGGATGCAGGTCTGCGGTTCGAGAAAAAGCCGAATCGTTGGCAAGCGTGTTGTTGTGCATAATAATCGTTCCGCTTTCCGAGGGGACAGGGGAGGGGGGTCCACCAGTTTCGTAATCCACCTGTTGGGTGAAAGTGCGGTTGAGTTTGCGAGGACCTCCCGTAGTGCTGTTGCCCACATCAGGGGTGGATGTTCCACTTGTACTTTGCTCTCCATTAAAGTGACGGGAAAGACTGAGTTCGCTTTCGGCCGCACTACGTGCTCCACTGAAGTAGCCGCTAATGCGTTGACCGGCACTACGACCGAAACTGCCAACTTGGTTTGCGGCTCGTTCGATATCGCCCTTTTCGGGAAGATGGATTGCACCGGTGCAGGGACCACCATCGTGTCCGATGAAGAGCGTCAAGAAGGAGCCCACAGCGGTGAAAGTAGCTGCGACTAAGCAAGGAAGCAGGTAAGGATAGTTGCTGAAGAGTTCACTTTTTCCGAATAGACGGGGAAACTTTTGAACGGGATGCTCGAGCAAGCCACCCAAGATAGGACCGATGATACCACCCATTCCCCAACAGAAACCCATTTGGGCGTAGGCCCTACCTTCGTTGGTCTCGTCGGTAATGTCGCGGATAGCACCCTTGGCGACACCCACTGCACCGTTGAAGAAGCCTTGGGCGAGACGAATGAAGATGGCTGTACCCAAGTTCTGGGATGTACCGAAGGCCATCATTGTCACTGCATTGCCGAGTAAGGAGATGGCGAGTACGAATCGTCTACCCCTTTTATCGGCCACCGATGCCCACATGAGCGAGGTCAGGAATTGAGCGAAGAAGAAGGAGGCAGAAAGCATACCAGCCCAGAAACCAACATCACTCTCTCCACCCACACCAAAGTCTTCAATCATAAAGAACAAGAATGGACCGGCAACACCGGCGGAACTGAATTCTCCGAAGCATACCAGACACAAGACGATGAAGGGAAGTGCAGGGATAGGTGTCGAGTACGGATCCGTCTTACCGCCCGGTAGCATGCGTGGGATCGAAGGTTCCGCAGAGGCAATGAGGGCGTCGATGTCGACTGTGTCGTTGTCACCGCCTGAGGATAGACCGGTAGTGTGGACTGGACCAAGACCTTTACCGTTCGGACCTGCGTCACTTGCTGCGAGTGAGTACTTGCGGCGAGGGAAGACGCCCATCGATGCACGTTGAAGCAAGTTCTGTCGTTGTTGAACGCTAGGCGCGCGACGCTTGAAAGACATGCGACGAGGGTTGTTGGCATTGCTGCTACGCTGGGCGGAAGTGGTGACGCTGAGTGACATGCTAGGTGCTCGTGTTCGAGCTGGTGCTTGGCTAGGCATGTCGGTGTCAGTGGGTGTGAGCTGGTCACCTTTACTTGAGCCTAAATATGGTGAAGGTGGAAGGTTGATCCGTCCTGGGCCTGAGGCGCGGTAGCCAGCTCGCCCTCCAACTCCGGATTGCGAGGAGTCGTTGGGGGCATCGTATCGTTCGCGCGAGACTGCGCCATAATCGTTGACCATCTCAGTTGCTGCTGCTGCGCCTGCTGGTCTCGGAGACCGTGTCCTTGATAGTGGGTCGGGCGACGATTCTCTACCGATACCAGCGGCGGCAGAGGACGGTGATGATGATGATGGTGGTGGTGGTGGTGATGATGACTGTGCGGCACCAAGTTTGGTGGGTGAAGCAGGATGAAGTTCGTCTGCGAAAGAGGGGAGACGTGGACTGGATGGTGATAAGAGAGAACGAAGCGGATCGTTTCCGTCGTTGTGGTGATTGTCGGCCATGATCAAGTATATAAAAGTGTGGCGTGGGAAGAGTTGCAACCTTACTCGCTCGAATAGGCTGTCACAGCCAGACAGACACTGTGTCGGAAGAGCCCCCTTTGCACTCACTGGCTTGGCTCTTCGGCCGTGCCGACGGGGGATGACGAGATGAAACGGAGAGGGCCCGAGTGCCGAGTGCAAGGATGTGCAGGTGTGCGGTGCGATGCGGTGCGATGCGGTGCGATGCGATGCGATGCGATGTCGGATGTGGGCGAGATGTGATATGCAAGAGAAAGGCAGATGTGATGATGGAGAATGGAACAAGGGTTTGGGTGACTTATGCGAGAGAATTATGTGTGTTGGTGTGTCGGAGTTGCGAGGAAAGGCAGCTTGGTTACGTGTCTGTTCTAGGTCATGCTAACTTGGGTTAGAATGCGCGCTTGAGTATAGATCAAGACCGAATTCGGCCTTTCCGAGTTTGTGACGCAGGGGCTTTGTGAAATCTTGCGCTTGCTCCTTGAATTTAGAGCTGAGGCTGAGGAGAAGCTCTGTTCCCGTCGGTCGTCCTTGCTGGCCAAAATGAACAAATCCTGCTCTGGCAAGGCAAAGGGTTTCCATCGGCTCTTCCGTATCGGATAAGCCTACACAAATGGGCGTGAGAGAGTCCAGAGCTTGACTTTTGCGATCGACTCCGAGCCCACTGCAATGGCGTGCGTGTCTGTGTTCCAGCAGAATTGGCAATTGTTACATCTCAAACAGGTTCACAACATTGCACTTTGCTGGCTGGCGCGTCAGTGAGACCCAAGACGTGTCAGGAGCAACAAACACACACGCGCAACATACGCGCACACACACACACACGCGTACGCGTTGAAAAATCATGTGGAGCAAATCGCCTCGACGCGAAAGACGCATCTCATCTCGTTTACGCGCTTGCAAACACCATTTGCTCAGAATTTTGGCCTTTCCAAAGTCACAGAGAGAGAGAGAGAGAGAAAGAGAGAGAGAGAGAGAGGGAGGGGAAGGAAAGCGCTTTCATTCCAGAAGAGTCACGTCCTCGTGTGCTGAGTTGAGTCGACATGGATCCATACGCTCATCGCTCTTCATCGACCATCAACCATGGTCATCATCATCATCATCATCATCTTATCCTCAACACCTCCCTCATCAACCCATAGTCTACCTCCTTCGACGCTACCACCATCAACAGCGCGGCCCTCTCAGGCACTCGACCAACAGTACCAATATCTGCTATCAACTCATACGACGGACCACCCAGCATTCCACCTCGCACCTCTCCTAGATTGAGCATTCTCAACGCTTCTCTTACTCTCAATCCTTAAGCCGCATAGCATCGCATAGCCTCGATCACAGTCACTCGTTCTCGGCTCAACTTGTCCCTCGCGCCTCCCTTCTCGCACTTACCCTTCAGCAAGGCTGATCACGCATCCCCTCTCACCTTCAGCGCGCCGAGCGCACTCATACACCCTTGTCCCTTGCTAACATCCACCACCCACCAATGATACCGATCTCACCTTGCCTTTCAACCTGAAGCTCTCTCTCCATCTCGACTGACTGATCGACATCCATCACCTCTCATCACACACATACCCAATAGCAACACACCGGCCCTAACCTCGCCGCCATGTCTAGTCACGCGCCCAGGATGGATGGTAAGCGTCTCGACTTTCTTTTGCCACTACAGCCCTCACTGCGGTTACTGACCATCTTCTTACCCTCGCTCTTCTCTCCCGCAGTCAAGGTCCTATACACCCTCGACTCGAGTCCAGACCACACCATGATTGCCAGACTCGGTCGCCCAGTCCCTGTGGAAATCATCATCCCCAACATGACTCCACCATCACCCCTTGGCCCTTCAGGTAGCAACTACCCGCAATCACCTCCACCGCCGCGTCAGGTACGCTTCGGTCGCATCCCCCTCAAAACCTGCCTTGGTGCCGTATGCATGGCCAGCCCCGAGCTCCTCCCCGATGACAAGCGGGACTATATCATCTACGCTGTTGATCCAGAGGAAACCTTACGCGCCAGTCAACTCCCTTCTCCTGGCTCTTCCCGAGGTCACGCTTCACCGACGCGTTCCTCTTCAGCATCCAACTCTTCACGCCAACGCAACGATGCAAGCACGAGTAAGCTCAGCTCTAGTCCACCTCGTCCGAAGGTAGCTGCGCCTTCAATTTTGGTCGGGAAAGGTTTCTTCAACTGGGCGTTGGAGGAGCAAGGAGAGGGTGAGACGGCCGTTACTGGACGCGTTCGCTCGGATGGTAGACGTTTGCGGTACGAAAACGGTCGCGAGTACGAAGAAGACATCAACGTGCTCGAGGTTGTGATCAAGCTCAAAGAGTCACAGGCGAGGAGTAAGGATAAGTACTTCAACCTCGTTCGTGGCTTGGCTTCTGGTTCGAGCAGCAGTTTCAGCGCTGGTGCTGGCTCAAGTTCTGGCTCAAGTTCTGGCTCTAGAACAGCTTCATCTCGTCACACGCAAAACGTAGAGGTGGTTTCTGCTGCCCACAGCTCCCGCTCTTCGCATCTTGCGTTGCATTCTGAGCCTCACTATCCCACCACCTCCTCTTCCTCGAGCTACGGCGCAATGGAGCGCCAGATTCGTAGACCAGCTGCACGTATCGCTGGAGACAGGATCTCGCCCAAGACCGCCACAGCGCCTTTGGGTGCTTCTCCAGGTATGCCGCTTCTCTCCAACTTTTCAAACGCATCTTCTCCACCCGCAGCTGCTGCATCGGCTCCTTCGCCCAACTCTGCTGCCGTATCAAACCCATCAGCGCTGCAACTGCTGACCATCCTGCACAGCCTTCAGCAGAGGTCCTCCAAATCTGCACCCGAGCCAGCTCAACAGGCGCAACTAGAGACCTTGCTGCAACAAGTCGCGCAAGCTATCGGCAACACATCATCATCCTCCTCCTCCTCGCCTGCTGTTGACGCTGCTTCGACCACAGACCACGATACAGCAGGTTCAGCCACAACCTCCCCCAACCTCTCCTTCGCTCGTCCACTCGATCCGATCCCAGTACCTAACGAAAGCAACGACAACGGCGCCACCATTCCTCGCTCTTCCTTCACCCAACCAGCTGGCAAAGAGAATCGTAGCCTCGGCCTCACAGTCTCCTCCAAAGACTCACCCCAGACCCTATACTACGATTCGCGTCGTCCCTCCACTTCCTCCCCTCCCCTCGAGGAGAGCACTGAAGACTCCAGTGCCCCTTCTCAACACCGCAAAGAGTCGGCCGAAACCTCCGATCGCATTTGCTACAACTGCGGAACCGACGTTCCAACCACTTGGCGTCTCCTTCGTTTACCTGCAGGAAGCATCATCAACAACCCAGCTGCCGAGAAAAGCTCTTCTGACAGCACCAACGATGATTCTAGCGAGACAGACTGGAAGCCACGATATTCAGGCAGAGAAGGTCCGATCGAGACGGATGGCGAGACTCGTTGGTCTGCCTGCAATCCTTGTGGCTTGTACTATCTGAAATGGGACAATTCGCGACCGGAGTACGTATGGAGGAAAGAGCATGCAACAAAGGCGTACAGGGAGAGGAAGGCGTTGGCTGAAGCAGCCAAACGACGACGCGAAGAGGGTGGTGTTGTAGGGGGTGGTGCGAATAAGCGAGCGAGGATTGCAGCTGGCTCGGATGTTGATGCAGCTTCACCCTACAGTATGTCTACTCCGGGGTTGGGGACGAGTCCTAACTTTGATGCTGGGACTCCGGTTTCTTCTTCGGCAAGGAAGGGCAGTATGCCTAGAACGTTGAGTGAGGCCTGTCATAGGGATGCGGAGAAGTTGGAGAGTCAGAGGAGTGGCAGGAAGAGGGATAATGAGAAACCGGTTTGTAAGAAGCAGGCAGATAGGGAGTATGTTTTGGATCCCAGTACGGGTAAGTGGAGAAGTAGGAGGAGTATGAGGGAGAATCCACAGGGTAAGAAACCGGGAAGACCGAAAGGGTCGGTGAAGGTGCAGCAGAATGGGAGTAAGGCGCAGCATGCTAAATCTAGTCCTCCTCAGGGGAGCAAGGAGAGCAGTGGTAATACTCCTAGTGCCCAGCGGCAGCAGCAACAGCAGCAGTCGCAGTCGCAGTCGCAGTCCAAGCCTCAACCCAGCTCCTCCTCCACCTCCTCCAAGCAGCCTGCCACAGCCTCCGCTGGCAGCGAAACGGCGGACAACTCACAACCCAAATCAACACCACAAGCTGAACCCTCAGCCTCCAACTCAAACTCCAAACCCGACCAACCCAAATCAGACCCCGAATTCAGACTCCCCCAACTCCCCCCATCCACCCGCCACCACCAAACCACATCATCCTCTCGATTGGTCAACTTCGCTCAATCCTCCCCCGTCCGCCCCTCCATGAACGCATCCCTCATGCAACCGGAAGCGATCAACTCTTCCATGATGATGCCACCTTTCGGCTCCGGTATGCTGGAGTCACCCTCTCGCGACATACGATTCCGGGTGCCCAGTTACCTGATGAATTCTAGCCCGGGTACTATGTTGGATACCCTAATGAGCGAGGCCGACTTTGATTTTGAAGAACTAGGACCTCTTGGGCCGCTTCAAACTCCCGGAACGCTATTGGGAAATATGGCAAAGGGTTTGAGGAGAAGTCCAAGGAAGAATAGTGCAAATCCTTATGCTGGTCCCTCCGCTAAAAGGGGAGGGGGTGGTGGGAGCCCGACGTTTGGGAGAGGAAAGAGTGTGGGGAGTCCAGCGATGGTGGCAAGTTCGAATGATAGTCCTGTGACTCGTAGTCGTACTCGTTTGGGCGGGGAGGTTTTACATCCTGCGCTTTACTCTTCCAGTGATGGACTTGGTGGAAATGCTAATGGGAAGAATAGCAGTAACGTTACTTCTCCTGCTTCTCCCTCTGAGAAACGACGAAAGACTACACCTCGAACCACCAACACTACTTCCAAACCCTCCTCCTCCACCACCACCACCACCGCTATGGAAGAGGAAGACAACAAGGAACCGGAACAACACTTTACCAAAGGTCCTTACTCCCGTACCACAACCACCACCACCTCCTCCTCTTCTAGAGAAGGTTCAGCCGATCTTCCCTCCTGCCCTGCATCGCCTTCGCTTGGTAGAACATCCCGGAAACTCGCACGCAACCTTTCCACAGCGAGTAACAACACTCACCTCAGCAGTGGGCGTGCGAAACTCGCCCACCTCGACCTACCCCCGAGCAGTCCTGTGTTCGATCATCCTTCTGCACGAAGCGGAGAAGGTAGGGAGGTCGAGGTGGATGGTTGGGGACGAACACCTAGTATGAGGGAGATTTTCCCTACGCCGTCTGATTTAGATTGGCCTAGTGATGGTAGTCCTCGTTCTCCCTTTCCTCGTTCGCCGGATGCGAGCGCTGCGAACGAAGCTAAACAGGCTGACGGGGAGAAGGCGGAGAAGAAAGAGGAAGAGAAAACAGCGCAAACTCACGCAGTGGTGAGAAGGAGACCTCTACCAGCAACAGTCGAAGATGGATCTTCCTCAATCTCAGGCTCTTCCCCTGCGTTGACGGATTCACCGGAAGAGAGTAACCTTTTCGATCTGTTGGAGGATCCATATGGAATCCTGGCTGCGAGTGGATTTGGTATTGATGCTGACGGCACGCTCACTACCAACCCTACCAACGCCAACGCTCAGGTAGGGGAGGAGGAGACGCAAATGACACCCACATCCTCAACCCCAAGCGCCACAACTGCAGCCGCACCTAGCATAAGTGCAGATCGATTCAACCAAATCCACCTCCATCCCTCCACCTCCTTCTCTTCTCACCTAAACGCATTCACTACCGAAGGTGGTGCCGGCATAGCTGCACACGTCAACCCAAACACGAACTCTCCTGCTGCTGTACAAATCGGCCCCTCTTCCACCTCCACTTCCACCATTCGCTCTAACGGAGGAGAGACAAATGGATTTGATATGAGCTTCCTTGCGAACCTGCCACCCGAGCTATCAACAATTTTCTCGACACCTGGGAAAAAAATCCCCCCTCAAATCATTGAAATTCTCGCCAGCCCGCGCAAATCCCGCACCCGATCCTCCAGCGGTTCGCCCAGTAAGATGGCAATGGGAAAGCAAATGGTTGTCACTCCAAACTACAGCACTGGAGAGAACGGGGAAGGGGAACAAGATTTTTCTGCATTGTTCAATAATCCTGACATTCAAGCGCTTCTGGCTGAATTCGAGGTTCAGTCGTAACCCGCCCTCAGCACCAGCGCTGCTTTTGTTTTGCATTTCGTCATTTTTAATTTTTTTTAATTTTTTTTAATTTTTTAATTTTGCATGGTTTCAATCGCAACCTCTTCTTTTTCGCTCATACTTTTTGGTTTGTGTACTTCTTACCTCCTCGATGGAATGGGACAAGGTTGAGAAGGTGATTCGAGGGCCAATGAAGGCCCGAATGCGCCAAGAAATAGGATTCAAGATGCATTGAAGTCAAAGGAAATGGTATACAGTTGTGTGAGATCCAAAGTTTTGATCTGTGTTCCGATACAACAGGTTGCGATGCTAAAGAGGTGATGTGATATGATGCGATAAGGTAGTGCGAAGAGTCCAAATCCACTTAGCGGTCTAAAGACTCATCCTTCCGTTCCTGCTCCTGACTTGCTTTGCTCTATCTTTGACGTTGTGATCAATGTGCTAGCCTGAGCAGCATCGACCATGATTCACTCGTCCAGCAAGGAAACACTCCCCTTCGAAGTCAAAGTCATTCCAGAAGAAAAAGGAGTAGGCGTATTCGGTACAGTCCGTTCCCTCGATCCAGGTTGTTCTGCTACGGGACTTGGCACTTCCAGATTCCCAAACAACGCGAGTGGATCTCTACCATACGGAATCATCTCTGGCACCTCCTCCTCTAGCTCTTCCCTTCTCCCTCCAAAATCTTTAAGCGCGAAAGCTCCAGAAGACATCGCAGGACTCGAATCAAGTGTAGCACGCAGTGCATCCAACGACCCCACACTCTGTCTTTGCTTCGATCCAGGACGAGCTAAATCAGCAGAACAAGTAGAAGAGCGATCGATCTGCGGACGTAGTGGTTCCGCTGATCCAGCAAGTGTGGCTGAAGAAGTGGAAAGAAATCGACCTCTATACCTCCCCTTAGATCTGACTGTACTCGGGAGGGAAGTCATCCCTGCACCACTCTCTTCTTTATTAATGTCGGCATCAGGAGCGGAAGGCCATTCAAGGCTGCTAAGATCAGCAGTTGAAGGACGGGAGGAGTTAGTGCTTTCGTGAAGAGCCTTTGTGGGAGGAATGGGAGTTTCGACCCCCTCTGGCTGACAGTTGACGTCGTCTTCGGGTCCGGTTGTTGTGGTGGTGGTAGAAGAGACACGGCTAAGGAAGGCTGAAGGAGCTCGCGAGGTGGTAGTAGCGGTGGAGACAGAGTTGCGTCGACTGGTGCTGCTGATTGCATCTATGCCCCAAGAGAGCCATCCTGATGAACCTGCAGTGCCTGTGGAGCCAGCAGATGTTGCAGATGCGTCTGTGGCGTTGTCCGCTTTGCTCCGGGATCTGGCAGTCTGGTTGAATCTAGTACCTGAAGTCGTATCACTGTCAACACCCACGTTCGGATGTTGAGTGATATTGGCCGCACTCTGCGGGGCAGTTGAGGAGAAAAGTGAAAACGCAGTCCAGGAATCAAAGCTCCTCCGCCGATCTGTTTTGGGAGGAGAAGCGTTGATCAGAGGCGAATCTCGACCCGACATTGCCTCCCTTGCCCGCAGCGACGGCGAGCCGACGACACGCACATGAACATTGCTGCTGCTAGCATTGCTGCCATTGCTACTTGTTCTCTCCAGCCGGTTGCTAGTATAGATACTGCCAGCTTGAGACCGCTTGATAGTGCGAACAATCTGTGGTCGAATCTGAACGTCGTTGTGCGTCGTCGAGCTGGAAGAAGATGAAAAGCTACGTTCGCGCATGCTCACTCGGCGACTTGGGCTCTGTTGTGTCGCTGCTGCTGTCATAGCTGCTGATGTTGACAGTCGACGATCGAGCGCTTCCACCGACACATCCGGGCCAAGGCTAATAGCATCGCCGTCTTCGCTGAGCGAAAAGACAGAGGTAGGACGTTGTTGCAAGATACGGCTATTGCATCGTGAAGATACGCTAGCTGGTAGACCAGGTAGCTTGAAACCTTCGGCTTGTAGGGGTGGACTTGACTCGGATGAAGCATAGGCACCGTGCTCAGCTGAGACATCGCCAAGACGCTGCTGGAAGTACGAGTTGCTGCCACTGGCGGGAAGGTAGTCGCCTCCCACGTCGACTGGCAAGTATGGTGACCGTGGCGACTGCGGCGGAGTGGCTTCGATGGTCGAAGAGCTGTCGAGAGCCGAAGGAGAAGGTGCCATGACAGCGGTCGCTTGCAGCGATGAGCCCGCAGCAGAACCCTGGCGAGAACGGGGCGACATCGACCGCGCGAAGAGAACGTCGTTGTTGTTGCTACTCGACGCTGATCGTGACTGAGAGCCCGTGTGCAGCAGCGGCTCAACAAGGATGCTGCTACTGGATCTGCGCCGACATAAGCGGAGTGGATCAGTCCTAAGGTAGGCGATAACAGCATCGCAAGTGACAAGCGCCCATTGCAGCTCCGGCGAAGTGGCTGTGTCGGTGAGTTGGAAAGCTCGTGCGTAGTAGAGCATGCTGCACAATCGACTAGGTCGAGCTCGAACGAAGAGGAAGCTCAGGATTGGCAATAGATCGTCGGTGCCCAGCGGCAGAGGTCTCTCCTGTTGTGACGATGAGCCTCTTATCGAAGACTGATGAAGTCGTTCCGCCGCCCAACCGATCTCATCGATGACAGCTCGAAGGGTTTGCAGGATCTGAAGCGGGGTGCGACGATGCAGATCAGTGTCAGCAATGTCATTTGCACCTTGCGCTCTTGAAGGTTGGATGAGTCCCAAGTTGGTTTGTATGCATTCGGATGGGCCCGGCTGCTCCTCTGAGGCCGATGGAGTGCGTGAGGCGTACAGCTTGGACTTGAGTATGTCGATATGGCCGCTGGCGAGTGCTTCGTCTATGCCAGCGCCATCATCATCGCGAAGGCCTCGACTTAGAGCTGCAATGGCGTCTGCCAGCCGCGAAGGACGTTGCTTTATCGCAAAGTTCTGAACACCAAAATCGGCGAGGCTAATACTGGATGCATTATAGACATTGAGCACGTCGTCGGTGACAAGATCGGCATCCAAGAGCTGATCCTGGATAGGACCGTACATCTTGGTATGGACTAGACCCATGACGACATTCTCAAGCAGTGACTTGATGCGGTGAAAAGCCTCGACGCTGAGACGTGCAACGTGCTCGGAGCCGATTCGCTCCTCGAAAGCCTTCCAGGCCTTGAACCAGATGCCTCTGCGGATACGATGGGCATTGTAGCTGTCGAAGCCTTTGACGTAAACGAAGGATGCAGTGAACTGGTGTGCGGCGGAGAATAGCACATCAAAAGCGTTTGAGAGTGCATCAGATAGACGGGGAGAAGATGCTGATGGCTGCGCAAGGATGAAAAGATCTTGTGCGAAAAGGCGCTTGGGAGGTATGTGGTCCAGAATGAGATCTGAGATAGACGCGGTGCTTTCCACTTCTTGGGTATCTGAAGGCCGAGAACTTTGCTCAGCAGGCATGTCATGTGAGGACGAAGCGCCAGCGCTTGGAATTCGACGATGTACGATGGGAAGCTCAACGGAGACCACGCGTACTTTTGTGCTTGTGGAGATGCCATCCTTCGTTTGAGAGGGCCGGCTGGTGACCTGAAAGGCGGACTCGGCGGAAGAAGCCGCAGGGGCAGGTTTTGGCTGGGTGCGATAGATGGTGATCTCGCTTGCAATGTTGACTTTCCTCTTTGTTGTGGCAGAAGGGATGCTTATACTCGCACTCGTGTCGCCGGCATCGGTAGTCGAAGATGGTGCGTGAACAGTCTCGGTGATGCTGACCGACTTCTGGTCGGACCCAATGGTAGCAGTGAGGGTGACATGGCTCCAGTCATATCCATCTGCAGTTTTATCCGTCGAGGCTGAAGACTGAGCCAGTGAGCGAACAGACACGAATTGATGCTTGTATAGCTTGGAAGGCGCAAAGGCATGGAGTGCGATGAAGTGTGGGTCAAGGAGGTCCTCCTTGTGCAAAGCGTGATGATGGTTGAGCGTGCGTGCGAGCGGTATGACGGTCAAGCTGGCAATGTTCCAATCATTGGCTAGACGGGGATCCTCGGAAAGCTGGAGGAAGAGTTGGTTGGAGTCGATGTCATCATCGTCATCTATTGGCGGAGGAGGCGATGATCCGCTAGAGGTCGGATATGCAGCTTCAGCATCGGTGTTAGAGTCGAGGGGAGATGTGACGTCTTGGGCGCTATAGGAATGAGGAAGAAAGGGGCGTTGGAAGTCCTTTGAGGATGAACGACCGGCTTCGATGGCCAGAGATCTTCGACGCAAGGTAGCATCGCTTATGGGTGCCGAGACATGATCGTTGAGATGCTGTACAGTGAGTGTGCTTGTAGATTGGAAGCTTGGAACGGTCGCCTCGGCAGAAGGAGTGGATTCTTCCGGGATAGAATGCCTGAGATCGAAGGTGGACGAGGTAGAGAAGCGAGAACGAGAAGCTTCCTGACGACGCGCAGAGGAGGTGTTTGAGGAACGCTTGCGATGCGATGGCAGAAACAATTTGGTGAACGCGCTGGCCATTCTGAAGGAGTGGTGACCGCAAAGACAGTCGCCAGACTGTCAGAGCGAGACTAGACTAGACTGGTATCCAAGCATGACCGGAATGTATGCCAGAACGATCGGCTGCAGCCAGAGTCGTCTTGACGGCGTGTGTTTTCTATGCGAACCCGCGCTTCCGGATTCGCCCTTCCAGGATCGAGGTCAAGAGGGAGAGAGAGATGCTGATGAGGAGATGATGGTGAGATGAACAGGAACAGCTCAGCTCATCAACTCGTCGACATTTTCGACTCAGCCTTGGCCAACTCAACAAGTGAGTGCTGAGGGGAAACAATCCAATATGATAACACGTGCTGACATAAAAAGAATCGGGACACGGAGGAGGAGATCTACACGAAGATCGGGCACAACACAGTCCCACTCATTGTCATGGTAGATCATTAAGTAGGAGTACTCCCACCTTCAGCATATGCCACTCACATGTATATACAGCTCATGTGTAAACTGTCCCACAAATTTACATGTCACCATACATCACTCTAATGCTCAATAGCCATAAGTTGTATTGCCACACTGTCTGATATTGTCTGAAAGCCCTGCTTCTTCTCTCCATGATTGTGTAAATGATATTGACATTGACTAAGAAAATTGTGCTTTGAAGAAGAGCCAAGAATTTTTTTTATTGTGGGACAGTTTATGGAGTGCTCCTCAACAACACCTTAGTACTTTGTATTCCCTCCTTTGGCCTTCAGAACTGCCTTGATGCAGTCTGGCATACTCTCTATTAGGGTCCTACATGTATCTGGAGTGATTGCTGTCCATTTAGCCTCACATCTCTTGAGCAGTTCATCCCTGGACTTTGCAATTGTACCATACTGTGAAAGTCACATTTTGAGATGGTGCCAGAAGTGTTCAATTGGGTTTAAGTCCAGCAACTGCACCATCCATTGCATAACCTTAATACTATTGCTTTCCAACCATGTTGTTGTCTTCTTCAACATGTGTTTTGGGTCATTGTCTTGCTGAAAAGTGATGTTGGTGTATGCATGCTGAAGCTGCAAATCTGAGATTGTTTTCACAAGCTTGTCATTCAAGATATCAATGTATTGGTCTGAATTCATTGTACTCAGCACCAAGCACATGCCTCCCACCCCTTCCCATGTCATACAGCCCCAGATCATGATGAAGCCACTGCCAAACTTGACTGTTGGCCTGACAAGCTTGCTGTTGAAGCTGGCATTCTTAATCCAACAGAACTGCTTACCATCCAGTCCAAAGAAGTTGATCTTTGTCTCATTGGACCATACCACATTCTTCCAATCCTCAACAGTCATGTCCTTGTGCTCATTAGCAAATTTGCAATGGGCTTTGTAATGTCTCTTGAGTAGCTTCAGTTTTTTCACTAACCTTCATGCTTTGTAATGACAGTAATGAAGTGCTTTTCTTACTGTGGTTGGGCATGCTTTGACTTGAGATGTCTCCTGCAGTGCATGACATGCTTTCCTGACCATGGAGGTTGAATTGAGCTCAAAATAGTGGTCCAGGAAGCAAACATGATGAGGCTGGAGTTTTCTTGGCCAGCCCCCCTTTGACTTTGGAACATCAGCAGAGGTGCTTTTGCTGATGTGATTCACAGTAGACTTGCTCATACCAAGTTGCTTGGCAACTGAACAGGTAGATTCCCCATTTTAGAGGTGAAAGAGTGCAGATTGGTGCTTCTCTGGGGTGGTTTTCAGCATGATGGTATAGATATGATGGTGTCAGACTGGAAGTGCTGCTGGATTGCTCACAGTCATCTGATTGAGCTGAAACTTTCCATGTCACTACTTTCAATGTGTATGAAGGTGCCCACCAAGTTACATTGCAAGTGTCATTGTAGTCAAAAGCCCACAAGGTCAGGAATGGAGCAGTGTCACTATTTGGGAGTATGCTCCATAAACTGTCCCACAATAAAAAAAATTCTTGGCTCTTCTTCATAGCACAATTTTCTTAGTCAATGTCAATATCATTTACACAGTCTTGGAGAGAAGTGTCAGGGGTCTCGCGCCTGAAACCCAGGTCGGTCTGTCGAGATACTCAGTGACTATCAAACTGTGCGACAGCTATTGTCTCGGTATCAGTGACTATCAAGTTGTGCAGTGACAGCAGGTGGCGTTCGTTGTATATACTATCATAGGTTTCGGCTGACCTCTGTGGACACTCCATTCAGGGGTAGCTCGGCATGATCAATATCAATGCTTTGGTTATGATGACACCAAGATCTGGTGTGAGTGTTGATGATGATGAGGTTGATGACATTGGTGATAAGGTTGGTGAGTGTTGATGATAATGAGGTTGATGGTGTTGGTGATAAGGTTGGTGGTGTCAACATGAGTGTCCAGTGTGTTGACTTTGACGCTTGAAGTGATCCCTGGACCGCAGTGGACTACTGCCTTCGGTTCTATCTATATCCGGACCACTAACCTGCTATGGGTGCCTTCGGATGTCAGGTAGTGGTGATACAACACACACACTATGATGAGGAGCAACCTTGATAGATTGCTGCTATGCTGACTGAAACTAATATATACTTATGCTGAAGTGATAACTAGTTATGGTGAGTAGAGTGGATGAGGATCCACTTGACCTATGATGATGAGGAAGCATGGTTATATACCTCTTCACAGCATCGCCAGCAATGCTGCTCCTGCTCTCTCTCCAGAGAGTACCTTCTTCATCGAGTACTGCCCAGGGGCCTCTCCTGCTTGGCACCCCTGTGCCTCTTGAGTGGTGTCGACTCCTTCGACACTGCTCCTCTTCCTCAGGACCTGCCTGCTAGTGTCCTATACACTGCTCCTTCTCCTTTGACCAGTGACAGTTCCTTTGACTCTTGTCTCTCGAGCCCCTGAGTGGTAACCATCTGAGCTTGGTCCTCTTCGTGGCTGTGCCTGCTCCTTGAGCTTGGTCCTCCTCATGGCTGTGCCTGGCCCTCCTCGCATGTGGCTCATGTCCTCCTTTGCATGTGAGTCTGTAGGAGTCCATGGTCTCCATGGAGACTGCACTACGACCATGCTCTCTACTGGTATCGACTAGATCTTCGATACCTGTGCTCCTTCCATATGAACCCGTGACCCTCCTGCTTCTTGAGTATCCAGGCCCATGACAAGAAGAAGCAGAGCTTTCAGACAATATCAGACAGTGTGGCAATACAACTTATGGCTATTGAGCATTAGAGTGATGTATGGTGACATGTAAATTCATGGGACAGTTTATGTGCAAGCTGTATATCTCACAGAGAGCACTAGGCTCTCATCACATTCTTTTAGTCAATTGAGTATACACATTTCTGTCTAAAACAGCAGTGACATCATGCTCAGACTCTCCCTGATTGCCAGTATCGGGATTATACTTCTTCACATTTCTTCAGTGAGCTGTGTACAATCACACACACTGACCCACGCTACAGTCACAGTTGCGTTGATGCGCAGAGAGCAGAGAGCAAAGCTATTTCTCTGAAAAGTGTTAGAGTTGAAGATTGCAGGTAAAACACAACTGATCAGAGCCACTAGCAAGCTCTCGTACACAGTCGTATTACTTCTTGAATGCTTATATCATATTAATGTGATGCTACATACATGGTCATATATATACTTAGCAATCTCCTTCAGCCTGTGCCAATGTGCAATGTGTCACTCCTCGTGTTACTCCTGAGTTGTCATCTCTTGTGCATTATTGTAACAACTCCTATGCATCCCACATGTGTCGCCACCTATATGCACCTTTACTTAATTATTAGATCACTTAAATTCTGTGGACCCCATATGGTTCCATGGACCCCATGAATCCCATTGGGATGCTGACACATCTTCAACTCCCCCCTTCGATGGCATTACCAACCCTAACAACTGAGATAGCCATGATGTTGCTAAACCCTTCAATGGTTTTGTTAAAATGTCTGCAACATTGTCTGCTGTTCCAACAAATTCTATCTCTATCTCCCCATCCTGAACATGATCCCTAATGAAATGATATCTGGTGTCTATGTGTTTCAACTTCCGGTGCTTTGCCGGATCCTTACTCACCTGTATACATCCCTGACTATCTGAACATAAGACTGGATGGGCAGCATTGATTTCTAAGTCCCTGAGGAGGTATGAAAAGAAGAGTGCCTCTCTTGCTGCTTCTGAGGTGGCAACAAACTCAGCTTCCACTGCTGATAATGCCACACATTTTTGGACATGTGACTTCCAGCTAACTGGGCACCCATATATATATGTCATTGCTCCCAATGTGCTTCTCCATCCATTCATTGGGTCCAAAGCCCAATTGGTGTCACTATACGTGACAATTGGCTGCTTCAAGTGTTTGCTTGATCTGCTCCCAAGATTCAGTCAGTAGTCACTGGTTTGGTTAAGATACTTCATCAAGTGTATAGCAGCCTTCCATGCACTGTTGGTTGGGGTCGACATATATCTTGCCAGTATTCCCACTGTGAACGATATGTCGGGTTGTGCAGTATTTGCTACCCATAACAATTGTCCCACCAGTTCCTGGTATTGTTTTGCCTCTAGGGAATCACCTTTATCATTTCCTATGGTATTAGGTATTTCTGGCATTGGTACCCATGATTTCTGATCCATTGACTGTAGCCATTTACTCACCATGGCCTTGGTGTAAGCAGTCAAATCAATTGACATCTCCCTTCTTGTCCTGTCTCGTTTGATGCTGATGCCGAGGAACTCTTTTGTCATGGGCCTGGATGCTCAAGAAGCAGGAGGGTCACTGGTTCATATGGAAGGAGCACAGGTATCGAAGATCTAGTCGATACCAGTAGAGAGCATGGTCATAGTGCAGTCTCCATGGAGACCATGGACTCCTATGGACTCACATGCAAAGGAGGACCGAGCCATATGTGAGGAGGGCCAAGCACAGCCATGAAGAGGACCAAGCTCAAGGAGCAGGCACAGCCACGAAGAGGACCAAGCTCAAGGAGCAGGCACAGCCATGAAGAGGACCAAGCTCAAGGAGCAGGCACAGCCATGAAGAGGACCAAGCTCAAGGAGCAGGCACAGCCATGAAGAGGACCAAGCTCAAGGAGCATGCAGATGGTTACCACTCAGGGGCTCGAGAGACAAGAATCAAAGGAGTCGACACCAGGTCATGAGGAGGAGGAGCAGTGTCAAAGGAGTCGACACCAGGTCATGAGGAGGAGGAGCAGTGTCGAAGGAGTCGACATCACTCAGGAGGCACAAGGGTGCCAAACAAGCAGGGTAGCAAGGAGGAGGAGCAGTGTCGAAGGAGTTGACACAGTTCAAGAGGCACAGGGGTACCAAGCAGGCAGGAGAGGCCCCTGAACAGTACTCAATGAAGAAGGTACTCTCTGGAGTAGAGAGCAAGAGCAGCATCACTGGCGATGCTGTGAAGAGGTATATAACCATGCTTTCTCATCATCAAAGGTCGAGTGGATCCTCATCCACTCTACTCACCATAACTAGTTATCACTTCAGCATAAGTATATATTAGTTACAGTCAGCATAGCAGCACTCTATCAAGGTTGCTCCTCATCATAGTGTGTGTGTTGTATCACCACTACCTGATGTCCGAAGGCACCCATAGCAGGTTAGTGGTCCGGATCAAGATAGAACCAAAGGCAGTAGTCCACTGCAGTCCGGGGATCACTTCAAGCATCAAGTCAACACACTGGACACTCGTGTTGACACCACCAACCTTATCACCAACACCATCAACCTCATTATCATCAACACTCACCAACCTTATCACCAACGTCATCAACCTCATCATCATCAACACTCACACCAGACCTTGGTGTCAACATAACCTATGCATTGATATTGATCATGCCGAGCTACCCCTGAATGGAGTGTCCACAGAGGTCAGCCGGAACCTACGATAGTATATACACGAACGCCACCCATCACGCAACTTGATAGTCGCCAAGTGATAAGCTCATCGAGATCGATACCGAGACAATAGCTGTCACACAGTTTGATAGTCACCGAGTATCTCGACAGACCGACCTGGGTTTCAGGCGCGAGACCCCTGACACCTGGGTTTAGGTCTGCTGTGTCATTTCCTCCTAAGTGGTTGATGATGGCCCTCATCTTATCTCGACCTGGATGTCCCAGATGTTCATGCCATAGTTGTTGTTCAGATATTTTGGCTTTGTTCTCAATATGCTCGAAATCTTCATCAACACCTTCAAATAATGACATTGATGTGATCATTGCATTTTCCTTCCATGTGTCGCCTTGGAACTCCAAAAGTCCTTGCTCATGATTCTTGGTTATTTTGAGTAGCATACCGTTTGCTAAGTGTATTTGCCCTCCGGTTGAGTCTAGCATCACTTGTGCTCCTTCATCTGTCAGGGAATTTGTTGACAATAGGTTAACATTTAGATGCTGAACATACAATACATTTTGGAGAAAAACATCTCTGTGACTTGTTGATATGCTAGCATCCCCTATAGCAGTTGCTTCCAGAACCTCACTTCTGGTGGTGAATATGTGCTTTTGGCAGGTTCTCGGACTAATGAGCATGCTATAGTTGTTTACCATGTGATAGCTGGCACCTGAATCTAGGATCCAATGATGGTTCCCTTTTGAAACTGGGTGGCTCTGCCAACTTGGTGCAAAGGAGCACCAGGCTTCCTATTTGGGCCTGGCGAAGGGGGAATTCTCTGGTATGGTCACCAATGCATCACATTGACTGATCCCATGTCCAGGCCTCTTGCAGATCCAACATCAGAGCCTTTGAGGTCTAGCAGCGACTTTGGCACTGGTGCTGTCAGCATCCTTTTTGTCTTTCTCCTCCTTTCTGGGTGTCTCGTCCTGGTCATTGCTGCTGGCGACTCTGGCGCTTGCTTGATGGGGGTCAACTCTTGGAGTGGGGTTGTTCTCAATCACTGACTGCTGGATGGATAGGGCAGTGGCAAGAGCATTAAAACTAAGCTGGCTGATGGTGGCAATGGTCTCCTTGTACATTGGGTGTTGGATAGTGCACTTTTGTAGATTAGAAAACAGGGTGTCATCAGTGAATGGCTTTCCCAGTAAGCTGCTCTCTGTTTGGATGGTCCTTATTTCCTGGATAAGCTTTTGTACATCTGAGTTGTGCATCCTGAGTTCACCTAGCTGAGTGATTAATGCAATACAATGAGATATGGCAGTGGCCTCATTGGTGAGTCCATTTTTGATCTTCTTCCATACATGATGGAACATATGGTGCTCCCTGATGATGTCAAGAATTAAGTAATTGATATTGTATTCTCCAGTGGTGTCAATGGTACTGCATAATGCATTTGTCAAAGCATCATCAAATGTGCAGTTCCATTTGGGATGTTTCTTGTTGTATGCTCCATCGAGATGCTTCATAGTGTGAGGAACACATCATAGAAAGGACTTGATATGGGCATTCCAACTATAATAGTTGTGTGATGTGAGTTTTGGGATGGGCTCAAGTAGTTTTGCTAGGGTACAAAAATTGTATTGCTTTCTATTGTTGTCGTGATCCGAGTTGGAGTCAGTTTCTTCCTCAGCATCATCATAAATCACTTTGGTGTCTGACTCATTGGTGGCCTTGTTGTCAACAGCTTGCAGTTGCATTGCCTTTCCCTTTCTTCCTCCTTTGGCCTTGCTTGTGACAGCTTGAGCTTTGGCCTCTTGTACCATGTTGTCAATGGTCCCAGTTGGCTTAGTCAGTAGAGCTTCAGACTCTTAATCAGTTGAAGATTGCAGGTAAAACACAACTGATCGGAGCCACTAGCAAGCTCTCATATGCAGTCATATTACTTCTTGAATGCTTATATTATATTAATGTGATGCTACATACATGGTCATATATATACTTAGCAATCTCCTTCAGCCTGTGCCAATGTGCGATGTGTCACTCCTTGTGTTACTCCTGAGTTGTCATCTCTTGTGCATTATTGTAACAACTCCTATGCATCCCACATGTGTCACCACCTATATGCACCTTTACTTAATTATTAGATCACTTAAATTCTGTGGACCCTGTATGGTTCCACGGACCCCGTGAATCCCGTTGGGATGCTGACGCATCTTCAACTGTTAGACTCTCTCTTTTTCTCTCTGACGCGAGGCGGGAAAATAAAATTGTGCGCTGAGAGAGCTGTCTGATATTTGGACCCTGACGCGTGCGTGCCTTTGGCGGCAAGATTCGGAATTCGGCTCCAAAAGGCTCGGTAGGGCAGCAGCTGGCGTTGTTGTGTGTGTACTTTTCTTCTTAACTCCATCTCGCCAATCTTGCGAGCACCAACCATCATATCACACAACATGGCCAGAGAGGCAAGCACATCTACCCATGTTGCCAAAGCATGGCTGAAAGTCGCGGCCGTCGACAAGCTCTCTTCGTCATCACGACACCATTTGACACTGCGTCATCCGGACACGCGAGAGTATCACTCGCTGCTCGTCTTTTCCTTCCCAGCGCCGACTTTGAATCACTCGTCGCAACAGCAAGGAGACGAGCGGTCATCTTGGCCACTCCCAACTCATGACACCTACTACTGCATGGAAGCAACATGTCCACATCTGGGTGCTCCACTAGAGAATGCCACCATCGAAGCCAACGATGCCGAGTTTGACGATGATATCGAGGACATGGTCGTAGTCTGCCCATGGCACGAGTACGACTTCAGTCTCAGCACGGGAGAGTCGTCCCATGGCATCTCGGCTTGCGTTTATCTATGCGACGTGCGGAATGATACCCTGTTCATACAAGCTCCCAAACCAGCAGAGCTAGGCGCTGATGCTGCCTCGACATGGGAGCTGATCGAATTGCGACCTGTCAGCGAAGCCTCACCCGCTGTAGCACAAAGGCAGGATGCTGCCAAGTTTCTCCACCTGCAAGCCTCACGAACGTCACCTTCGGACGGTCAGCAGCCTGAAGCACAACAGTCAACCCCAGGGAAAGAAGAAGGAGCAGACAAGGATCAGCAGTCCACCGAGTCAATAGCACCGCCCTCACCACGACCGAAAACACTTGTCGAATGGGCCGTCCTCGTTCTCAACACACCCGATCCGATCCAAAAGGTGGCATACACACGATTTGCGGCCAGAGCCTTCCGATCCGGCGAGTGCAAGGTGATTGGTGGAGGCCGATGGAACACGAGCGACGCATCAGCAGGACGTCGAGAATGGATCACAAAGCCGCAAGAAGCTGCACCGGAACGACCACCTCGAATGAAGGAAGAAGTGCGAGTTCGTCCTGGGCAGGAAGGCAAACGTGGACGTGGTGGAACGGAAAAGAGTCGAATTGCCATCTTGCACTCGCTTGCCAACATCGAACAATGGGCTATCGACCTTGCATGGGACATGATTGCGCGTGCACCTAAGCTCTGTGCAGAGTTCTTTGCAGGTGACAACCAAGATGGACCTACGCACAAGATGCCGTTGCAGTTCTTCAGTGACTTTGTCAAGGTTGCTGAAGATGAAGCCAAGCACTTTTCGTTGTTGAGGAAGCGACTGGAAGAGATGGGAAGCTACTTTGGAGCGTTACCTGTTCACCACGGACTGTGGGATTCGGCTATGGAAACCGCCCATTCGCTCACGGCAAGATTGTCGATCATCCATCTTGTGCACGAAGCACGAGGGCTGGATGTTAACCCGACTACAATCAACAAGTTCAACAACGCAGGCGATGCAGAGAGCGTCGACACCTTGACTGTCATTCATCTGGACGAAATCACACACGTTTCGGCGGGACACCGATGGATGACGTGGCTGTGTAGCAATGCTAAGCCTCCACTGGATCCGGTTCAGATGTTCCGTCAAGAGGTGCGTCGCCACTTTATTGGTCGACTCAAAGGGCCGTTCAATGCTGATGATCGGCGCAAAGCTGGACTGGAGAAGGAATGGTATGATGATCTGGTAGGAGAGAAGGAGAGTACATATAACATCGGTGTTCGCCGTAACGAGGTGCCTGGTGGTTGATGCAACTTTGCTTCGATGTACAATATACACACAGAGCCCATATGTTCAACATTCAGAGTGATCATATCCTCGTTCAAGGTCAGCTTCTACTGTCTCAACTCGGCTCTCTCTCGGTCATTGTTCAGAGACTGAAAACAAAGTTGCGGCGGTCTAACAAAGCACCAACCTCAGCTGACAGGGCTCATGTATTCGACTGTAACAGTATACTGTAAATGCATTTGAATTCGCGTCGCTTCTAAAGGGTGCTTCCATTTTCAAATGGGCGCAGCGAGAGCCAGTATAGTATGGATGGAAATGATAGGAAATTCGAAAGTAGCGCAAAATAGAGCCTTCTTCTTACGTCTCTTGCTCAAGAACGCAGGGGCTGACAAAGGCTGACAAAGGCTGACAAAGGCTGACAAAGGCTGAGCAAGCAAAATCACGCAAACACAATTCTGAGCTCGTAACGGCGCTGCTGTTGTTTGACAGTTTTGGCAGCGTGGGGAAATGGACGCTCTCACACTCAACGATGTGATATCTATCCATCAATTCCGGTTTCCATTCCCATCTCTGTCGTTCCTCGTTAACACCATCATCGCGCGTCTCATCACTACCAACACCACCATCGTTGTCAGCACTCCCTCTTGATGCTCGACAGGCACATGCAGCTGATCCGATAGTATACCAACTTTAAAGATACCATCCCTCCCGGCTATCGACACATCCACCATTTAAGCCCACATCCATCGACTACCGGTCCGATCATCCACTTGCCTCAAGCCAGCACGCTTATCGACCGCCTATCAATAAGCATCTCAACCACCAACCATCCATACCGCCGCAACCCGGCACCGAACGGCATCATGTCCAGCCTGCTGTCCTTTGCACGTGCTGGTCCCTCCCATCCTGGCCAGAACGATGAGGAAGCCAACATTGCCTCGACTTCTTCAAATCAACAACAACGCGGCAGCCGATGGTCTCGTCCATTCGGCGGTCGCTCCTCTTCTGGCAACCAGCATGCTCTTGCCGTCGACATGACGTCGCAAACACCTAACACAGCTGCAAACATCAACGCCGATATCGAGCAAGGTGCAGTTCATCACGAGCCAGGCATCCTCTCTGCCCTTTCCGTTCCTTCTCTCTCCAACCTCCGTCGTCGAGACCGCGAACAGGAAAGGCGCAGGCAGAATGCTCGAGTGCAGGCAGAGCAGCCTGCAGGATCCACACCCACTGCTCCAATGACTTCGATTCGTGGAGGTGGCAGTCTTCTTGCCGCTGTCATGCTTCCTCAAAACACAACAACCAACCCTACCGCTTCCACAGCCGCTTCACGCAGCGCTGTCAGGAAGGCAAGGTCCAGCAGACGTGAACGAGAAGAGGCTGCTACCCTCTTTGGTCCTAACCTCGCCAACTACTTTGGCAGCGGTATCAGCAGCTCTGGCGCTGTTTCCAGCCACGGTGCAGGTGTGCCTCAGCCTCCTCCCATCACGAGCCCCCTCTCGCCCACAGCAGCCAAGGCCTCCTCGCCGCAACCCAACGATCCATCAACTGCCGTCGATCCAGCTTCTGCCGCCAACAATGCCGACGCTGCATATCCTCAGGGCTCCGTTCCCTCCCGTCGTGTCCGTCTTGGCTCACGCGGCCGTGCTCGAGGTGCATCCCTCTCGGGTCTCAGCATGATGTCGCTCGGCGCAGAATCCGTCACCTCGCTCGGTGGCATCAATACTGAACGCACCAACGACACCATCGCTCCAGCACAGGGCATGATGCAAGGATCTACCGCTGACCTTATCGACCAGCTTAACCGCCAAGGCCTCAATGACAACGGTGTTACCGCCATGAGCGAGGGCGTAGACATCAACACTCTTCAACGTTGGATTCAGAAAAGCACCGGTCTGGCGCACGACGCTTCCAATCCTGGTGTCGGTGCCGGTGCTGATGCCATCACCCCAGCACCTGCTGGCGCCTATGGCCCACCCGTTTTCACCACCTTGCAGTCTTTCGTCAACCTCAAGCGAAACACCCTCAAGCTAACTGCAACTTCCAACGCACCTTCCACCACCGCAATGTCCTCTGCCAAGACTTCCGATGCCAACGTCAATCTTTTCCGTTCCAAAAGCTCTCTCTCGGTCCTTCCAACTCTTTCGTACGGCACTGCCTCCTCCACTCCAGCTGGTAACAACCTTCTACCCGAGCCAACGCACTCGCTCTACTTCGAATACGACTGCGCTGCACCCTATGCCGTTGTTCAGATCTACGTCCGTGCCAGTCGCAAACACGGCAGCTGGCTCAATTGGCAACCTCCTACCCACGATGCTTCGGATCCACTTTCCGCCAAGACCAACGAGGATGGTAGTCCAGCATGGCTCGCTCAAACCGGTCCACCGCCACATGTTCTTGGTTGGCCTGTCCACGTTGCTAAGCTCAAGAAAGGGTTTGCTGTCGGTCACACCGCCAACATCCCTCTTCACCTTCAGTACTATGCTCCGCCGAAAGCGAAGAAGACCGATCGCAATGCTTCTGCGGGTGAAGGCAGCGAAGCAGAGAAACGGGGACAGGGGTCAAAGCGTGCGATGATACCACCTGCGCCAGCAGCGATTCCGGAGACGCCAGGATTTGAGCTGAACCGCAGATTCGATTTTGATGGAGATGATGCGGATGAAGACAACAACAATGGTCGTGCTGGTGGACGTGGTGCCGCCGCTGCCAACGCAAATGCCAACGCCACAGCTGGTGCACAAGCTGAGAATGGCGCAACGCAAGGTGCGACCGCCAAACCCATCGTCGAAGAAGAAACGAAAGAACAGCGTCTAGCACGCGAGAAAGCAGAACGAGAAACGCTCAAAGTAGCCATCGTAGTCGAAGCTCTTGATGAAAACGCACGTCCTCTTCGCGAACCTAATCTGCAGACCTCTTACCTCCGACTTAATTCTTTGCCGTTAAAGAAGAGTGTTGCTGAACGATACCCCGATCTCACCAGGCCCACCTCCCCAACCGATGCCGAAAAGCACGTTCCACGAAACTGGACTTCTCAACTCGAAGGACAAGAAGCAGAAATTGGACCGCATCGATTCCAACTTCAGGAACTCTATGGTTTATCATCGAAGCCCCCCGCTGTTGCACCTGCACCTGTTGCTGAAGATGGAGAAGAAGAAGACGGCACAGCAGGAGCAGGGGGTATGGCTCCCATGGACATGGAAGCGAGCAACGGGTCTGAATGTTTGATCTGTTTGAGCTCTCCTCCGACGACTTTACTGTTGCCGTGCACGCATGGGCTATGTTTGGAATGCGCAGTACAGTTAAGAGATTCAGTGATTGGAATTAGGCAATCCGAAAGAAGAAGGGGTAGGACACCAAGGAGGAAATACGCCTGCCCGGTTTGTAGAAGAGCCTATACCAGTATGTTGCATCTCAGTAAGGCTGATGAGAAGAGCGTCGCTCAGCAAGGTCATTCTTCTCAGCACCAGCAGCAGATTATGGGAGCAGTGCCGAGCACTACTACTGCTGGTGCAACCTGATCATCCCTCTGTTCTTTTCGGTTCATGTATTTCTTTCGCTCTCACGCGGTTGGTAATGTTGGAATATTTAACTCTTATCGACACTTATTGGGAGATATCAGTCTAAGTACGGTGTTCAAGCTTTTGAGCTAAAACACTATACTATATTGACATAAGGGAAGAACGTAGCGGTAGCCTCGAGCTCTCCGCTCATTATCTATATACATTTGTGGTTCGTGGCTGAATGTGGGAGCATTCCACCTAATGAGGAAGTATGTCAACGGGCGGGACCCAGCAGACCTCGATCTCCATCATATCGGTCCGCCTGATCTCCGATCAGATCGACTTTCCCCGATCCATCATCAGATTGTGCGCTGCTGGATCGTTATCTTCAGCAGGTAATGGAACACATTCTTCACACAACACAAAACGCCAAGCCAACTTGGACAGAAATGCATTTCGAAAGAGGCTTCATATCCCCACGTTTGAAGCATCGCCTACAATCGTCGTTCGTATGTCCGTCTTTGGTGGTTTGTTTGAGCGCTGTTATGAAGTGGCCTGCATACCCCTCGATCTCCTTCTTCTCCTCCGCATCCAGGGTTGGTGGAAGAGGGTCATAGTGCGGATTGAAAATTTGCAAAACCATATATTCTTCGGGGGCGAGGGAAGCTGTATGAGTCCATGGCAGCAATGCATTGGTTTCAACCCTAAGTGGCGGTCTTGCTTCCCTCCCCTTCTCATGTTGTTCCTTTGTTTTGTATTTGGCATCTACAAACTCGTGCAGAACCGCATCAACAACCGGAAAGCTAATCTCCGGTTCCTCTCCTTCTCCCACTCCCCAAGGTTGATGAGTGACAAGAGTGGAGTTGGGAGCGAAGCGACACATTTCTCCCTCTCCCTTTCCGTCCGTGGGTAACAGATTTGCGGATCTTGCCAGCTTCGTTGAGGAGGGTTCTACTCTGCAATGTACACCATCTTAGTAAGGTAGTTCTTGAGGTGGTTGTACAGTTCGTGTAGTCTCCATGGCTCGGCCTTAGCGGGTCGGAGGAATAGATAGTTGACGTTGTCGGGGCCTGTGGATTTGGTGCTGCTTGGAAGGATCAAGCAGAGGTGGCAGTCGAGTTTGCGGTCGAACTTCCTATCACCCGGTTTAGTGATGCCGTCGAGATGTTTGAGAGCCGGGGACCAGGTGGACAAAATGTCCCGGAAATGTTGGTTCCAAGAATACCAGTTCTTTGTGGTTAGTTTGGGTGTTTCCCTCAGGGCATCCTTAATCGAAGAGAGTTCTTCATATAAGTTGGGACGGCGAGAGGGCTTTTTGTATATAGCCGAAGCAGCTCGTTTGCGAATGATGAGTTTAATAAGCATGTATCGAAGGGTGGTGATGTCCATTTTGTTGATATTGTTGAGGTCGAGCAAAGGTTCATCCCGTTCGTTGTCGTCACTGTCAGAGTCGTAAGGAGAAGGGGTCTCACGTCTGGTAATCGTCTGATGTCCTGGAGGCGCGATGGCGGTTTCAGCTTGATCGGAGGAGGAGTCCTCGGGTAAGGGGTCGTTAGCGACATGCGGGTCGTTGGGCTGCGAAGGCATGGTGCAGTATTCGATTTGTCGAGGTATGCGATGTTGTTCTTCTTGTTCTTGCTTTGACCCAAACTACACTTATACACACACACACACACACACACACATTCGTCATCTCTTTGACCGTTTCAGCGTTTCATTCTTCCGCCGTCCCTAACACTGAAATGCCTGTGAGTCTGTGAGTGATGATCAAGGCAGCTTAGTAAAAGGCCCCAACCAAGCATCCGCATCCCTAAATTGTCCCACCACATCTTTCGAAATGGCATTCTCCGCATCCAGTGTCTCAACCGCCACCAACAACGCTTGCCAGAATCTGAAGGCTCTTCCCAACTCCGCCTTCACATCTTTGACATTGTCGAAAGTAGGTTCCAATGCTCCCAACACGCCTTCTTTTGCTTCTATCACATCGGGATCGTCCACCTTATTCGGCGTGATTGCGCCGTTGAGATACTGCATCAATCCGTCTAAGTAGCACTTCACGACGATGCCCGTTCCTGTGTTTACGTCTGTTTGGAAGGGGAGAGAGAGGGAGATGTCCAAATAGTCGTCCCTACCCCGTCTTCCGTCGCCTCGAAGGAGTAGGGACATGGATATCATCTCCACCAAACTTCGCATCGAACGTGAGGTTGTTTTGACGAACGAATTGAACACCAACAGTTCCCTACTCAAAGGAGCGGTCCAAGGTGAGGATTTAAACGTCATCTGCAGCAAGGAGACAGCACGCATAATCAATAACATATGCCTCTTCTCCACCTCTTCCCCATACGTCGGTCCTCCAGAATAAACCCTACCCCCAAACGGATTAGCATGTAATACTCCACCTCTCAACAGCTCCAGTCCCAAAAACAACGGCTCCTGTAACTTATCGTTCAACTTACTCTTCTTTAACGCCAAATACAGTGCTCTAGCATAAGGCGTGTGCAGATGAGCATGGTTGAGGAAACCTCGAAGTTCGAGAAGACGCCAGATTGTGTTGGCTACAATTTCATCCTTTTTCTCCAACACTGATGTTGATCCATCGGGCAGTTTAACGCGTGGAGTCTTGGTGCGACTGGCGAGTTGGTCTGAGGTGGTAGCACCAAGACAGAGAGCAATGTCGATGGTGGAAGAGTTCTGACGACGAAGTTCTTCTTCGATGAAGCGGTTGGAGACGTTCCATTGGTTTACGCGGTTGATGAGCTGAAGTGTGGTGGGGGAGTCGTGTGGGATAGCATGGTCTGCAGAGGGAGCGAAATAGTAGATCCCGGTGAGTTTGCGGGAGGACCAAAAGCCGTTCAGTACAGAAGCGGCCAGTGCTACGGCGACGCATCGTGGGGATTGCGAGCATTCCGTGAGGGTATCTCGGACGTAGCGACGGTAATCTTCAGTTTCGCCGTTATCGAGAGGCGGTGGTTCGATGACGTGGCCCGACGCCAGGCTCGCCAGGACTTGTGGGCCGACAAGACCTCGAGATAGGTGCAGGAAGACTTCATCTGGAACACGGTGGGAGAAGACTTCGTGCAGATCCACTGGTACGTCTGCTGCTGTGAGGATAGGTGCGCCGCCGTTTGAAGCGCCAACGGGTGCTCCTCCTGCTGCTGGTCCTGTGCCGTTGGGAGTAATATGCACTGGTGCGGATCCGGATGGAAATGGCGGCGGCGGTGTCGCAAGAGGCAATGGCAAGACTCGACCTTCTTCCGCAGACAAGACGAGACAGAACTTGACCATGGTCCTAGCCCGGCAGAACTGGTCAACATAGTTGATCTTTTGCACGGTGGGGTGGCCTTCGAATGCCGCGACGAGCGGATATCCACCCTTGTACTGTTTGACGAGGTCGTTGATCTGGCGAAGGTTGGGAGGTGCGCCTGCATGTGGTGGTGGTGCTCCCAAGCTAGAGTCCTGTAGAGCTGGGAAGGTAGCGCAGAGATCGCTGCCAGCTAGCAAGCCAATGTCGAGGAACTGCCCCTCGTTACAGCGAAGATCATTGAGCAAGGCTTGCTTGCTGACAAACTGGAAGGTAGACTCGGCGAGGTTGAGGGAGGTGATCAGTCGGTCGACGCGGTCAAAGAGCAAAATTTCTGTAGCGCCGTAGATCGAATGGATGTAAGATTTCGAGTGACGTTCCAACGAGACGAGCTGGCCGGATGCAAGGTATGGCGCTACCATAAACTCGACGTTACGGTGACGGAAGGCGCGGAGGATGGCACGATACAGGTCTGGATAGTGTACCGAGCTGCTGGCAGAGAACAAGGAATGGGCGGTGTCAATGTCTGCCTTCTCGTATGCTTCCCATGCACGGTGCCTCTGTTTGACTTTCGGATCTTCGTAGGAGAAGGGTCGAGTCCGCTTGTTTGGTGGGATGCCATTCAAGATGAAGACAGGTTTGACGCGGGCCTTTTCAAGCGCTCGAAGGTCATTCTCGATGTGAGAGATGAGGGCGATGGGTGCGCCTCCGAGGGCGGCTACGAGGGGTTCTGATGTGGAAGGAGACGAGAGAAGCTGCTTGAGGTAGTAGGAGAGATCGACGCCAATGCGTGTTTCCTTCAATGCGGAAAGAGGGCAGGTCTGTGCGAGACCTCGATCGTGGAGATATGCCTGCAGGCCCCGAATCATTGTGTCGATGTCTGTTGAGGAGCGGGGAGTTGGTCACCAGGACCAGAAGCGAGAACGAAGATGGAGGTCTGATTCGACAGGGAGTTATAGGCTGCCAGCAAGACTTGGATGGTGAGGGGACGAGCGTAAGGCGGCAAGCGAGATGGAAGGAGCTGTATGCGCCACGTTAAAATGATTGCCTTTGCAGTTGCTGTGTTTGAAGCTGCAGAGAGTCCTATGAAATGAACAGGAGGATGGAGGAAGAAAGGAAGGCATAGTGTTGCTTTAAGGCACCACTTCCATTTCACACTCTTCCGACCGTGCGCAGAAGAGCGTTGCGTTTCCACTCGTGCGAATGTTCGACCGCCTTTCAAAATGTTAAGCTTTGGTAAAGTGACAGCCATAAATTATGCGCTCGGGTCGGTAAATTGGTCGGCAAATTGGTCGGCAAATTGATAGGCGAATTGGTAGGCGAATTGGTCAGCCTTTATTCAACAGCATCTGACACTTGCAACGCACGATCCATGTGTGTGCTGTCTTTCTTCCCCACAACCTGCTTCCTCCCCATCATCGACAGCTGAGACGCTAGCAGCACCGCATACCATGTCGAACCGTATACAGATCGCTATCGACCGAGGCGGCACTTTCACCGACTGTCTTGGTCGTGTCCCTCCTTCCAATCCCGGCGAAGCTCCCAAAGACATTGTCATCAAGCTCCTTTCTCACGACCCGTCCAACTACAAAGATGCTCCCACCGAAGGTGTCCGTCGTATTCTCGAACAAGCGTACAACATCTCCATCCCTCGAGGTCAAAAGATCGACACCTCCAAAATCGACTACATCCGCCTCTCCACTACCGTAGCCACCAATGCATTGCTCGAGAGGAAAGGTGAACGTCATGCACTCGTCATCACCAAGGGTTTCAAAGATCTGGTCCAGATTGGAAACCAGAGTCGACCCAAGATCTTCGATTTGGCGATTAAAAAACCGGAAGTGTTGTACTCAGGTGTGCTGGAGGTAGATGAACGAGTTACGTTGGTGGGGTATACTTCGGATCCAAAGGCGAGAGAGAATGCGGTGCAGTTCGATCTCGATTGCTCCACCAACAATGGCGACTACTCAGCGAAGATAACAAAGCCGTATTCTGGTACGGATCAACCGCCGAATGCGTACGACGAGAATGGTCGTTCTACAGGGCCACCTGAAATCGTACGCGGTATCTCAGGAGAAGCTGTGGCTATTCTTAAAAAGCCAGACGAAGCTCTTCTCAAAAAGCAACTTGAAGCGCTGTATCACGATCATGGATACCGATCGCTAGCTGTTGTGCTGATGCATAGCTATACATACCCGCTTCACGAGCAGATCATCAAACGGATCGCTCTCGATATTGGTTTCGAGACGGTGAGCTGTTCTAGTCAGCTGATGCCAATGATCAAGATGGTTCCCCGTGCTACGTCTTCCACTGCCGATGCGTACTTGACACCTGTGTTGCAGGCGTATATCGATGGATTTTTTTTCGGTTTCGAAGATTCGTTGCGATCAGGTGAAGCAGGGACGAAGGTAGAGTTTATGATGTCAGATGGTGGATTGACGAGTGTGGATCATTTCTCGGGATTGAAATCGATCATCTCCGGTCCTGCGGGCGGTGTGGTTGGTATGGCACTGACGAGCTATGATAAGCAGGATAAGAGACCTATTATTGGCTTCGATATGGGTGGGACCTCTACTGATGTTAGTCGATATGATGGACAGTACGAACAAGTATTCGAGACTATACTGGATGGGATTACTATTCAAAGTCCACAGTTGGACGTCAATACGGTGGCTAGCGGTGGTAGTAGTCGGCTGTTCTTCCGTAATGGGTTGTTTGCAGTTGGTCCAGAATCGGCTTCAGCACATCCCGGTCCAACATGCTACCGCAAAGGAGGACCTTTGGCGATCACCGATGCGAACCTTGTTACTGGTCGTCTCGCCGTCGAAATGTTCCCTAAAATCTTCGGACCCAACGAAGATCAAGGTCTGGACCAGGAAGCGAGTCAAAATGCCTTGGCCGAACTCACTGATCAAATCAACGCCGACACGAGTGGCGAATCCAAAAAGCGTACTTTGTCGGTGGATGAAGTAGCACAAGGATTCATCCGCATTGCTAACGAGACTATGTGTCGACCCATTCGAGCGCTTACAGAAGCCCGTGGGTATAGTGCATCCAAGCACATCCTTGCGAGCTTTGGTGGTGCAGGTGGCCAGCATGCCTGTTCATTAGCAAGATCGCTGGGGATAAAGACGGTCATCATTCATAAGTACTCGAGTATCTTGAGTGCTTATGGTATGGCTTTGGCGGATAGGGTGTTTGAGCATCAGGAGCCGTGTTCTGAGACTTGGGAAGGTGCCGAGAGCGATGCGAAGAGAAGGATTGAGAAGAGGGTGAATCAGTTAAGGGAAAAAGTGCAGGAGGAGCTCAAGACGCAAGGTTTCAAAGAGGATAGGATTGAATTGCAGACTTTGCTGAACTTAAGGTATGAGGGAACGGATACGGCGCTGATGACATTGCAGCCTGAGAATGGTGGGTGGGACTTTGAGAGGGTGTTTGTGGAGAAGTACAAGCAGGAGTTCGGGTTCGTGTTGGAGGATAAAAACATCATTGTGGATGATGTTAGGGTCAAGGGGATCGGAAAGTCGTTCGACTCGTTGGGGCAGACAGTGTTGGCAGAATACCGCGAGTTGTTTGAGTCGAAAGGTGAGGTCAAGGCAACAGACACAGACAAGTTGGAGAAGTTGGCAGTGCGGAAAGTCTACTTTGACAACGAAGGGAGGTTGGAGACACCCATCATCAAGTTGGATCAGCTGGAGTATGGAATTTGTCTCAATGGGCCGGCGATTCTGGTCGATCAGACGCAAACCATCTTGTTGGAACCCAAGTGTGTGGCTAATCTCACTTCGCAGGCTGTGCTCATCGACATTCTGTACGACTAGACACGCATTTTGCAACAGAACTCTTGGCAGCAGAATTCTTACTCACTAGCTCGGCTGAAAGCGAACGACTGTACAGTGCTACTGATTGATAGGGGTGGTAAATTGAAAGATGCTACAAGTGTGGAATCCAATGCAAAGATAGATGAATGAATGAAACAAATGATGGATGTGCTTGCAATGCTGGATGTCCAAGTGATGCGTGCATTGAGATGTGAGTAAGCGAATGATGTGATGGGTGTAGAAGATGCCATTCCTAAAGTGGTATATATGGGCAACGTCCTCCTACGAGTATTGGAAGGCAGTTGGTGAGCGGAAAGCTTGGTCAAGCACGACGGGGGCAGGCGCTCAGTCTTCAAGCCGAGCTTTGAGGCGTGCAAGGCGTGCTTCGAGACCCAGCAGCGACCCTTGTAGTGCATTGTGACGCTGATTGAGACCTGTCATCAGGCTCACATCGCCTTTACCGGGTGAGTCGACGGCCTTTGTTGCTTCCAGAGTTGGGTTTAAGCTGACCTTCTTGAGAGCAGCAGAAGACGCCAACGGAGCTGAAGAATTGCGAATGGCAAACGACGTTGGCAGTGTCTCGCCCATCTTGCGACCCAGTCTTGAAGAAGTCTGCTGCTGTTCGTCCGTCGATGTGCCACTGGACTTTCGAGCGCGTCTGGATTCTTCCACCTGCGCCCTTCTGTGCGGTTTGATCTTGACCTCGTCGCCGAGAATCTCCTCATTTGGCTCCTCCGACAGCGTCGCTGAAACAATGCGGCTCTTGAAGCGGCCGAAGCCTCGACTTGTCTTTGATGTACCGTCCTGACTAGCAGGTCGCTCGATAGTCACTTTCTCCCTCTCTTTGAGAGGCAGCACACTCGAGAAGCGTCGCATGGTTCGGCCTGGAATCATGGCTTGAATTCGGCTCTCGACATGGCCAAGGATGAAGTCATCTTCACCTTCTGCAGCAGGTGGCGAGGAAGACAGAGCCGTGCCAGGGCGCAAAGTCGCTGCTTGGGCGTCTGCCTTGGCACGATCACTGAGCGATAGCATACTCGTTGCCCGTCCCATGCCTTTCGTCTTGCGGTACTGTGAAAGCATCTCGCCGCTGTCCTTTCGGCGAATGGTCTTGCCGAGACGACCTGACTCTCGTTGTACTCCTAGCCCGTCACTGTGACCATCATGACTACCAGGACGGTCTCTGCGATCCCTCCAAGGAGGGATCGCGCCAAGAACAGGTACATAAGACATCGGTGCGAATGTAATCGAAGTCTTTCCCAAACTTGTCGACATTACCTCATTGTTGATGTCTGGCGAGCCCTTGTCGGAACGTTGAATCGACATGGCCCTGACACGAGCTGGTGCGGAAGCCAGGTCTGTGCCGCCGTGCTCGTAGGAGACATCTCGTGAAGAGTTGCCACTGCGGACAGATTGGTCGCTCAGGAAGATGGGAGGCGAGCTTCGTGAGCCTGCCGCTTCGAGAACTGCAGCAACAGAAGGTGCCGAGGCGAAGGCTTCGGTCAGCGGTGGACTCTGAGCACGGTTGGGTTTCGTCGGTGTGCCACGCTCCTGCGCTCTGATGAGAAGCTGTCGGGCACTCTTCTTGTGCTTGAGCCTACGTCGTCCATTGGTGGAGTCATCTGATCCGTCAGAGTCGTACATGTCGATGTCGAGCGTGTATTGGCTTTGAGGAAGCGCGCCAAGCGGGGGCGAGTGGTTGAGGAAGGCTAGAGGCGATGATCCGTCGGGAGACTCGGGTGCAACTGTGTTGACCATGGCGCGAGGCGCAATCAGTGCTGCTCGAGACCTACGTGGTCGAAGAGCACCCGACGGATGCACTGTCGACGCCGCTTTCTCTTGAGCCGCTGGATGCGCTGCTTGGTTTCCATTCGCTGCCTGCCGGGGAGCTCCTAGCTGCTGCAATGCTCTACATGTCGAAGCACGCCGGGATGCCACTGCGTCTGTTGTGTCCTGCGCTTGCGGTCGACGCGAAGGCTGCATAGAGATAGGCTTGGAGGCAGATAGCTGTGGATCAGTCGAGGAGCGAGGCAAGCCGGTGGGGCGCGGAGCGGATGCGTTTAGCGGTGTCGGGGGAAGGGGTTGGGCTGGCGCCTTCTTGCGAACGCTCTTCTGTACTGCTGCCATCATCTCATCCCACGCTTCTCGCTCCGACATCTCGCGAACAGCGTTACTACCTCCAGACTGTCGACTATCTGATCCGACGCTTCCGCCGCCTGGTGTCGCAGATCGCGCTCGGTCGAGATCACGGCGGTATAGCATCGGCTTCTTGCCGCCCGTGAACTTGGAGGTGCGGGCGACGGATGCCATGGGGAAAGGATACGGAGAGGCAGGAACTGCGGGCGTGAAGTGAGCCAGAGCGTCCTCTGGGATGGGTGCTTCTTGGCCTTGCATCTGGCGGAAGCGATCATGCATGGCCATGTAAGGTGATTTGCGGGCAGGCGTCACAAAGTTCTGCTGCTGCGCAAAAGGCACAGTAGGTGGCCTGTCAGCCTGCATGCTGGTGCGTTGAACTGCATCTGCTTCGTCTGCACTACTTGCTGCGCCGACCATCGGAGCGAAAGAGGGAGGTGTCGGCAGCATTGTGAGCGAGTGGCACGACGTTCCGCCGCGGAAGGGCGTGGAGGCTAGAGGGGTACTTGCAGGCCAGCCGGATGGAGAGCCACCAGTCTTGTGTACGATATCGTCCAAGCTTGTGGCTGTCGACATCTCTCCAGGCATCTGCACTTCTGGCAAGTCGGTCGCAGGCACAAACGCATCTCGGTGCGGAAGATAGCTGAAGCCGATAAAGGTAGTGTCGCAGTCTGACCAGCGTGGGGCGGAACGCGAAAGGTAAGGTGAGATTGGAGCACCCATGGTTGCGCTTGTGTCGTGCAGTGTGGCAGAGTGAGAAGTTGAGCTTAGTAGGACCGCAGGTGAAGACGATGACCTTGGCATGCTCGGAAGCGTCGCCTCGTTCTGCATTGTAGCGTCAGCTACAGCATTGGCTGGCCATGCTTTGCTGGAGTGGTGATCGCGAGATGCACCGATGCCGAGGCTTTGTTCAGGACCCTTCTCACCGTTCCACCAGCTTTGGTGTTGGTGAGGCGACTCTGATGCGAGCTCGCGAGAATCAGCAAAGGCGGGAAAGTCGTCAGGATCGCCATTGTACAACGCTGAGAACGATGGAAGGCTTGATACGACAGAAAGCGAGTTGTCCTGGAATCGAGCAGCGACGCCGACCGCTGGTCGTCCGCTTGGCTGGCCACCAAACTGGCCTACTTGTCCATTGAAGAATTGCGCATCAGCTGCTGCGTTAGGATTTGGCATGAAAGGAGGCTGTAGTGGCCACTGTTGGGACCAGTCGATGGCTTGAGCGCGGTAGAAGGCATGCTTTTGTAGTTCTTCGGAAGAGATACGACCGAGACGGTGGGCAGCTTCGGTCAAAAGACCTTGTGTAAGACTTTTGAGCAAACTCGAGCAGGCCACTGTCGGGTCGAAGTTGAGAGATGATCGGTGATCTTTGATCTTCTCGTAGGTCTCTTGCATCTTGCTGGCGAAGAAAGGCAGAACGCCGTAGCGCATCTCATAGAGCATGACTCCGAAGCTCCACCAATCGACCTCGGGTCCATACATGCCAGGTGACCTTTCGGGAGCTTTAGCAGCATCTGGGGAGGAGAAGAGACGGGCTTGAGGTTGGAAAGCAAGGAGGTCGTCGAGACTGGACATGTCGCAAAGTCGCTGTTGCTCGAGAACACGCTTTTCTTCGGCCTGAAGAACTTCGGGTGACAAGTAGTCGCACGTGCCCGTAGGTTGAGAGCAGTAGAATGCCCATACTTTGCGATTGGATGCTGATGAAGGAGGCCTGGATGGATGTTCTGAGGGAGAGGCTTGGCGGGTGCTGAAGTCACTGAATGGAGCTGCGCTGGAGAAGTCGCATAATTTGAGGTGACCGCTGCGATCCAAAAGGAAGTTGCCTGGCTTGATGTCTCTGTGGGCAAAGCCTTGGCGATGAACCCAAGCGATGGCCTGAATCATATCAACGCTGTAGGTGAGGATCCAGTGTTCTGTCAAGAGACCTGTTGATGCGCGACCGGGATACTCTGGGCCGCAACTACTGGCAGCGATGAGGAGTTGACTGAAATCGCCGCTTGGAAGGTATTCCATGAGGAGGTGAACTGAGTTTTGTGTCTGGAAGGCGGCAAGCAGCTGTGGTGTCAAGAGCTGAAGGCCTTGCTGGCTCGTAGAAGTCGTCTCATCATGGCCTGATGGCCGTTGCAGAAGCTTGGTCTCGTTAATGGGAGTCTGAATGGCAGCGTTGCGGCGAGCAAAGCGCTTGACAAGCGATTTGAGGACATAGACGCGACCATCGAGGCGACTCTTGACTACCTCGACCAGACTACCTGCACTCTTTTGTAGTACTTTGACCGTCTTGAAATCTTGCACTTGCAAGCTGGCAGTCGGCAGATGAAGCAAAGATGATGATGCTGCTGCTGCCGCTCTGAAGGGATTGGGATCTCTGGTTACTGCAAGACCATGGGCGGACCATGCAATGACGAGAGCGATGTCAAGCAGCTCGCCCAAGGAGGTGGGTGTGATATCTGAGGGGCTCTTGTTCGTATTGGATTTGTCTGGTGCGACATGGCAGAGCTTGCGCACGCTAGCGTGAGTGATTTTGAAGTCACAAAGAGCTGCTCTGACACTTGTGGTTTGTAAGACATGTAGTATTGTGTCGTGCCGTTCTTGCCACGAGGGCGAGTGGGGGGATGGCATGACGAGCTAAGGCAACGCGGTCGGCTTGGGCGGGCTAGGCGTCCGAGTCGTTTTGAAGGTCGTAGTAGGGGTCGTATCAATTGTGTTGGCAGCTGCTGGTCCTCATGAACGGCGTGGATATGAGTAGGCAAGGGGACAGCGCCCCTGAGCAGGATGGACGGCTATGCCTGAGAGAAGTAGATAATGTTGGAGTCGAGCCAATTCTAGGATGACACGGCTGAGCTGAGGAGGGGCGGAAGAGTGAGTGGTGCTGGTTGCTGGACAGATGAGATGAATAGAGATGCTTTCTAGTCCAGGCGTCTCCTGTTGATGAGTGAGTGTATGGCGGTGATGAGCGATGCTGTTGATGAAAGCAGATCAATGTGCTGGTGTGCTGATCGTTGTACTCGGAGCTGTTGGCAGACTTTGGCACGCTTCAAGACAGCGAGCGGGGAGTGGGTGCTTTGAAGCAATGCAGGTGTTTGCGATCGGAGGATGCGAGGTGAGGAAGCAAGAACGATGCGAATGCTCTTGAGATGTGGCGATGCGACGAGGAAAGAGCAAGAGTGTCGAGCTCGATGTGCTTGCTGAGAAAGGTTGTCGGCTTGGCTGGGGACAAAGGCAAAATGGGCGCTGCTGAGGTGTGTAGGGCAAGCAGAAGGACCTATGACTTTGCGGTAGTCACTCCATCTTGAACAAGCTGCTGGCGAGTTGACAATCTTTACTGCACTCGCTTGCGGTTGCGATTCTTTTGATGGCTTTTGTATGTGTATGGATGTGAATGTTTGTTCCTTCCTCCTTGCTTCATCGCCTTTTCTGTGTGTTTGTGTGTTTTTTGGTGTTGTGGTGTTGTGGTGTTGTGGTGTTGTGTTGCTGTGTTGCTCCACATCAAAAGCCTTGAACTCTCTCGGCCCCGGCACTTTCGAGTTGCGGCATTGGTGTTGTTCTCTGTGCGCCTGTTCGAGTATTTTGCACGACGCGCTGCTTTCCTCACGTGATCGCAAGGCTGCCATTTTCGGCAACTCATTTCGAAGCCCAAGTCGCATAGAAAGGGAAACGTGGGAAACTGAGTATCATATTTGCTTCGCTTCCCCCTCGCTGGAACTGTACATCATTGATACCAGAAATCGGGGGGGGGGGGGGGCTGACATCCCGATGAATCGGGGGCAAAGGGCTCATTTTCACACGCTTGTCAGTCAAAGATGCGCAGACCAAGAAGTGTTGGACGTCTTGCTACGCAGGTTCATCAAACAGATTTTGCCCGTCTAAGGTCGACGCAGAGGCAGTTTCTTTTTCTTTCACGATCAGACCTGGCCATGTCAAAGAAGCAGCTCTCACCGTGAGAGCGAACATTGCTTGCGATCCAAGCCCCAGATGGCGAATCCGGTCTTTGATGTCGAGATGGAGAGAAATGGTGATGCATAGAAGCAAGATCGATGATCGACATTACACAAGCACTCCTCCATCGCTCTCTATCACATGTTGCAAGCTTGGTCTGTCCAGGCGGCATGAGTTCCGCTCGTCTTCGTCGCAAAAGCCTTTGTGCAAACAAACACCGCAGCACAAATGAAGGCAAGCATTGGAAGACGTCGTTTTGTCTTGCAGCTTCTGCGGTCACCACAAGAATCTCTCCGATGCTACTCTTCTGTCATACAAGACAATGTGGTAACGTGCCTTTGAGACAGTCTGAGGAGAGTTTGAGTTTGACTACGATCGGTACAGCCTGTCCTCAGCTCGAGGTCGCAATCAAAGCACTCGAAGCCAAAGCAGCAGCGCTTTCACGAGAGCATGGTGTAAGACAGACAAGAGGAGCACTTTCAACCCTGAGCAGACCTAACACATAGTTGGGCCGTGTTCGATTTCATGCTTTTTTTTGTGACTGTGCGGTGCTGCGCTGCGATGCGAAGGGCACTGCCAATTTCTCACGCTCTTCTCTCTCACGCGCCCATTTCTTCTGGCAGTGGCGCTGACACTGACACAGGTACCCTTTCAGCTTTAAGGGGGTATCAAACATTTCGCATTTATTATTATTAAAATGTGGGTTTTTCGAAGGGCGCGTTTTTGAAAGGCGCGTTTTTGAAAGGCGCGTTTTTGAAAGGCGCGTTTTTGAAAGGCGCGTTTTTGAAAGGCGCGAAAATGCTTACATAAGCTGGGCCAAATGCAAGACACGCACGCATTTTTAATAACCCAGGACAGAAGACGGTATTGTGAAAATGCAGAACAGAGTTCACTCCACAAGCCTTCTCTCCTCTCCTCTCCTCACCCTTGTTGTGCTTTGCTTTCTTAAAAAAACGCGAAACTGTTGAAATTGATAGCGGCTAAAGAAAGTGTGCCACTTCTCAAGCCTCTTTAACAATTGTGAGAAATGAAACAACCAACGCCTCGGTTGAGTCGACGCACTTTGGACGCAAAAAGTGTGGGTGGCTGCGCTGGGCTGCGCTGGGCTGCGCTGGGCTGCGCTGCAGGCTTGCTTTGCTTCACCTTTACCTTGCCTTACCGCTTTGCTTAATTTCACGGCAGCAGAGCGGCAGGCTTAGTCATTCACACTCTCACTCACCTCGCCTTCTCTGGCTCTCTCTGTGTTCGCCTCTTGTGCTCACCTTTCGGACTGGCTGGCTTCCTCTGAACTCGACACCATCATCAGCCACCGCGCATACCTTTCCCGATCACTACCACAACCATCACTCTCGTCTTCTTGGCCTCGTAACCACCCCCAGCTTCACGCAGCACCGTCTTGTTTCAGCCTCCTCCTTCTCAGCTGCTGATCCACTTGATCAACCGACCAGCCGGCTAATCCATATCGCATCTTGGCTTGGCGCCCCTCGTATCCTCGACGACGCTCTTCTCCAACGCTAACCCAGACAGTCCTCGACTCTTTGCCTTTCCTCTGATATCCTCGACTCTTTGCCTTTCCTCTGATATCCTCGACTCTTTGCCTTTCCTCTGATATCCTCAACTCCAGTCACTTCCGGCGGACAGCAAGAAATCGAATCGCTATCGCCATCGTCTCGAGCTTCTACATCTACATCAGCTGTTCGCGTTAGTCCAGACTCTTGCCCCTCTCTCATCACTCTCTAGCTTTCCCTCTTGATGGCAAACGGAGGACACTCTATCGCATTCAAATTTCAACCGCGGAAGCTTACTTTAGAGTGCCCCATTTGCCACTCGACTCAGCATATCGGATGTGCTTCGACCAGCATTGATCGCCACAGGTGCATCCCGAGCTCGCAGAGACGGTCTAGCACACGTTGTCCAAAGTGTCTCGGTCAAGCCTACACGCCCCTCGATCCTATCTCGAAGCTCTCATCCCCAGCACATACTTACTCTAAATTACATGATCAGCATGGAGCCCACAGTCGACTCTAGTCTTTCCCACGAGCAGCGCTGGACAACACATCGAGCTGATGCCGAGCAGGATTCAGCCCATGCAGCAAGTGCTGCCTCCACGCCTGCTCCCACTACCCCCGCCACACCGCCAGCAGAGGATCTCACCTCCTCTCTAGAATTCCCACCGCCCTCCACATCAACGTCAGCCGTCAATCGTCTCGGAATTGACGCAGAAGATGAAGATGTCCGTATCGCCATCATGGCCTTGGGTGCTATGAAGAGTCTAGATGGCTCCAGCAACAGCTTCGGCGCCGCCAGTGCCAGCAGCAGCACTCTTTCACTAGACGCACACAAGCGAACCTGCAAATCCCCAGCTCGCACATCTTCCGCCATCTCCACCTCCAGCGTAACTTCCACCGCCATGTCTTCACCCTCCTCCACTCCAGCAACTGATCTCACACAAGATTCGCGTGCCGACTCTCCTGTCGGTCGCATATCCGCTCTAGCACCTCTTGGCGACCTGCCACCAGAATTTAAACTTTCTGCAGTCATTCAAGACGAGAATGGCAACCAGCTCCAAGTCGACCCAGAGATGATGAACGATGCTGACTTTTTGAAACGAGTCAGCCATCTTCCCATCGTCCGCGGCACATTACGAGCCTACGAGCTCGGAAAGCAGCACAGTAAGGTCGTCAAGTATGGTGCAGGTCTCGTTGAAAGTTCAGTCAAGACCATCTCGCGTCCTGTCGTCAGTCGACTTGGTGCCAGTCTGGGAGAACGAGGTGTCGAGCAACTCGATGACTTTGCCTGTCGACAACTCGATCGTATCTATCCCTCGGCCCTTGCTTCGCCAAGCAAAGAGGAGAAGCGCGGTATTTTGGAACAAGTCGACCGCAGGGACAAGCAAGAGTGGGCCAATATGAGTCCAGAAGAGCGCCAGAAGCGGAGGAAAGCATATACTGCCTTGCAGCTCGAAGAGCGCGAGCGCAATCTCATGGCCAATGAATTGCGCCAACGACGAGGCAAAGGCGCCAATCTCGAGATTGATACTCCCAACGCAGCACCCAGCTCTGCACTTGCATCCCGTAGTGGCAGCACCGCAGTCGGAGACAAGCGCAAAGGTTCAAGCCAGAGCCCCACGGAAGATGGTGCAGACCAAGAGTACAAGGATAGAGCAGGTTCAAGCGGTGCTGTCGTCCGCACCAACGCCCAGTCGATACCCTTCCGCAACAGTCGCTGGGGTTCGATGCTCGTTGAGGCCGGTGCCACAGCAGGCGGTTTGTCGGCAGCAATGAGCCAAGAATCGATGAAGTCGCTCAAGTACTGTCTCCAATGGCTTCAGTATGCCACCGCTCACATCGAGCACCAGATCACCATTCTGCGTGATCTCATCGTTAAGCTCAACCATGGAGAACTCGACATGTCCGGCACCGCGGTTCAAAATCTGACCAACATCAAAGGTGATGTTGTCAACACAATCCGAGGTGTTGTCGACGTCATTGGCAAATATGCCGGAAGTGCACTCCCCGAACCGGCACGCAACAGCGTCAAGGCTTTCATTCTCAGCCTTCCCGCTCGCTGGGCGACCGTCAATCGCAGCTCGGCGGCCAGCTCTCCCACCGGCTACTTCGGCAGCAGTCCTTCCTCACCTTCCTTCTCACCGGCGCATATTAGTGAAGGACCGCAGTCGCCGACGCATCTTACTGCCAATGCACGATACCGCAATGCAGCTGGTAGTGCCCGCGAGCAGATGCAGGTTGCAGCAACAGCACAAGCTGCAAATCGCATTCTAACCCTCGCCATTGAATCACTTGACATTCTGCGCAGCGTCACTATCGTATTCGGTGAATCTCTTGATCGTGCCGATCTTTGGGTCGAGCGTCTTCGCATTCTCGGTCTCCAACGCAAGCGTCAGCACGAAGCAAACCCTTCCGAGCAACAACAGATTGCTGCAGGTCCCTCCTCCTCCTCCTCCTCCTCCTCCTCCTCCTCACTAAGCGCTCCTCATTGGGAGTCAGCACGCGGATCTTCCATGCGAGGTCGAGCTGATTCGCCTGGTGGGGACAGTGATGTTAGTATGGGTACAAGTGCGTCCACTAAGCGTAGACGAACGAGACAGACGCCTACAGGAGCGTTGCATATGTCACGTACACCGTCAGTATCCCAGGGTGAATTTAGTGAGGAGGAGGAAGCATTGACGGAGACGGAGAAGACTAAGAATCCTCCAACAGCGTCTAGTGCTAGCTTTGCCACAGGCACTGAGAATGGATTGCATCTCCCTCACCACCACTTGCATCATCATGGTAGAAGACCAGGGACAAGATCGAGAGCGGGGACCGGAGGAAAACATTACCCTATGCATCCCCCTAATTTGCCCTCTCCGCTGCAGGCTACTTTTGCAAATGCGAGTGCAAGTGGTGGAAGCACAACCGCTGGTAGTGGGCGTTCAGAATGAGAACTCTGCTTGAGGTGGTGGACTAGATTAGCAACTGGATCACTTTCTGCTCCTTTCAGCCTATATTCCTTTTCTGTTTGTTTCTCGAAAAGTTTTTGCTTGTATTTGTACTACTCTTTTCTCAACAGCATCGTAGACTTTCTTTTTGTCTTCAGTTGAAAATACGCCGGAAATTTTCCAGGGTTTTACCTAACCTGGGGGCGAAGCTCGTGAAAACCGAATACCGCTTGTTCACAAACTGAATCAGATATCCCAAATGCATCAAAGTTGACATTGCAACAACTTCAGCAGCTCTATATCAGACACTCGACTCATCTCAGTGCAACATTCTCAGAGATAAAATCAAAGGCAACACCGATCGTCAAATGCAGAGATGATGATGATGATGAAAATGCAAATGCGCAAGACTGATAAGCAAATGCCACAAGAACCACTAACTGAATCATGCTAGATAGTTATACATGCCACGATCGTCCTGTTGACGCTCCAAATATTCTCTTTCGATCAAACTTTCTATCCTCTTCTTGATGAATGGAATTGTCGGTTGGAACCTCGCCGAAAGCTGTGTGATTGTCTCTTGAACCAAATCGTTATGCCCCAAAGTCTTGCGATTCTTCATGATCCTCACGATACATGCCTCGATGAGATTTTTTCTTTCCTCTTCAACCTTTTCATTTGTCTCCTTTCTCTCCTTGGCTGTTTCGACCCTAGCTGCAATTTGTTGGATTTTGAATCGAGCAAGAGGACAAGTGAAAGAAGAGTTGAAAGCGAAAGTGTTGTCTTTGTTCACTTCTCTTCCTTTGGGTGTTTTGATGAGCATGCGGAATTTTGCGCATGCAAGAGATTGCAGAGTTCGCTGAAGATCCGAGTCTGGAATGTTGGTTGCGCGGGCAATGTCAGAGTAGGATAGCGTTGCGTCGGTTTGATCGAAGAGAAGAAGAACAACGAGAGCAAAAGTCGAGAGATTGATTTCGTGGGTTCGAGATTTGAATGCTACTCGAACATCAGCATTACCCAAATTGGCATGCCATGTGAGCACTCGTCCGTTGTGCTTGCTCTGGTAGAACTCTTCAAATCGTCGTCTTGCCTCCATCAGTGTATCGGGCATAGTACAGCTCGGTGCCTGAGCGGAGATGGGCCAGTTGGTACTGGTAAGCACATTGACCGACAACGCGAACGGCATAGGTCGATGCGAGTTCTTGATCGTTTTATTGAAATGGTCCATCGTTTCTTCGCTCGTTTTCATATCGTTGAGCATACCTTGCAGCTTAGCAACGTAGCCGTGTCCACTTTCAATCTTGAGCTTGGCCATCATGCCTCGCTCTGCATCATCTGACACACTTCGACCCTGCAAGAGACGCTTGGCCAGATGCTGTTTGTAGTAACGCTCGAATGTGTCCTTCTCGTGGAGAAAGCGGAAGACGGAGATGGTCTTGCGCAGCACCTCGTCCACCTCGGCTTCGGTTTTGCCCTTGAGACCCTTTTTGAGATTCTCGTCGATAAAGAGTGAGATGAATTCAGGCGCACGCTTGTTGCTGTTGATAAAAGACTCGAACGCTTCGTTGATCGAGGTCTCGCATCCAGTGTCTTTAAAAAAAGCCGTATCAAGGATGGCGTCAAACTTGTTCTTGAATTCGAGCACCTCTTGGACCCATCGAATCGCAGTAGCAGCTTGAGGTGTAGAAGCTTCGCTATCGGCAGCCTTGTCCTTGGACTTGGCCTTTGCAGAGTCATCTTGAGCTTCGCGTTGCATGGGAGCGTCTTGCTGAGCAGCAGTCTGACTGGTGACCGCGTCGTTAATGAGCTTGCCCTTGGCAGCAATGTAGCTCTTCAGACCGAGTCGCAGAGTCTGTGGACCTTCAGAGACCTTGTTGAAGAGGGTGTACATGCGACCGAGGTCCTCTTTGCGGTCTTCGTCTAGCATAGTGACGAGACCGGAACCGGGCATGTCGATAATGGTGCTGAGATGCTTTGCCAAGAAGTTCTTTTCAAGCAGATGCTGGAGCGGTTTGGATGTTTCGGGCTTGAGATACACCGAGACGCGATCGGCTTCCTCTTGCAATCTTCGCGCAACGTGTGCTAGATACTTTGCAGCATCACCGGCATCGAGCCAGCGGTCTGCCTCAGCAGAGTAGAAAGCAGCTGAGGTTTGCAGGAATGCGGGCTCAAAGTCGGTCGAGTAGACAGAAGGGTCTTGGTTCGAAGGCATGCCTGGCTTGTGCTGAGTGAGATCGGCGAGCATGTCGACATTCGACTTGACAAGAGAGCGGCTGATTGCGGAGCCCTCTCGCTCGATCTGAATATGGGTGAGAAGCGTGCTATAGAGATAGATCTGGATAGGATAGATAGCGGATCGAATGACCGAGTCGCGGAAGATCTCGAGACCTAAACGATTGATGGAAGGGACCTTGTGATTCTCGACGTAGACGCGGTCTACGTATTTGAGGACTTCGGAGAGTTTGGACATGCAACTACGGTGATCGAGCCAAGTATCGCGAATGGCGGTCATGAGACGCTCGCCTGCCTGAATGCGAGCGACGGCATCAGCACGGTCACCAGCTTGAGTTGCGGACATAGTAGCAGCGGCCGAGCCAGAAGAGCCATCTTGAGCGCCATCGGTGAAGGAGTCGGAGTCGGATTCGAAGTCGGTGGCTTTGCCCTTGCCCTTGCTGTTGGTGCTAGAGGAAGAGGCTGCAGAGTGGGCATTGGTGCGGGAAGAGGACGAAGCGGACTGCGAGTTGTTCAGCAAGGCTTCTGGCAAGATGATGCCTGAGGAGACCGAAGCGGCGCCACCAGGCGGGAATGCGGGGATGATTTTCTCACGACAGAGCTTGTCGAGATGGGACTGGACCTGCTTCTTGACGCCATGATAGAGCATGTCGCCCTGCTGGTAGAGGACAAGGTTGTAGGCGTAGCGATAGTGCTCTTCATAGCTGAGCTTGGAGATGTTGTGGTTTTGGATCTGGGAGATGGCGTGGGCGAGCCTAAGCCACATGTCTTCGATTGAGACATCAAGACCGATCTTCTTGGGCGGCTTGAGCTTGGTGCCGCCGGGCCTGCGCATAGAGCCTGGGGCGTTCATGTTGGCGATGATGATGGTGTGCTAGCGGTCAATGGTGATCTGCTTAGGGAAAGAGGAAGCGAGAAGACGGCAGTGTGGACAGGGAAGCGAGGTGTATGAACTCGGCAGAGGTGCGGAAGGTGGGTGGGTCTGGAGGAAAGAGCAAGGTGTGGAGCTTGCTATTCGCAGGGCGTTGAGTGGCGCGAGGAGCAAAGGGACTGTCTCCCCTGCGAGCGGGGTGATACTTGTCTCGGCCGTGGAGCCCTCGAAGCTGGTCGAGAAGGTCGTGTTGTTCTCGCAAAGAAGGATGAGGGAGTGGAGTCAAGATTGCTCAGCACTCAGCAGCGCAGCACAACGCATGCACGTACCAGTTTGGGAAAAGTGGGACGCTCCTTAGCAGGCCAATTTTAGTAGGCCAATTTTACAAGGCAGCAGACAGCGAGGTCGACATTCCAACATCAATCCTGCCAAGCCGTACGAAAAGAAAGGGTTTGGCTCCACCTTGGAAGATGTTAGATTTCGACCGGTTCACACAACAGGCACGTGGCAAGGTCGATCTGAAAACCATCGGGCAGAGGCTGCTTCAGATCGCGATTTCCCCCTCTCTCTGTGTGAAATGCAGGGTGGAGCAAATAAATAGACAGGCAAAAGGGATTACAGAGCGAATGAATACAAACGCAGCCATCTGAGTGTGCGTTTTTTGATTGCTTTCTCCGCGTCAGAGAATGGCTCATACAGTAGATTGATCAGCCCATCTCCCCAACGACCATCAGTGCTGCAACCCCCTGCTCCCAGCTAGCGAGCCCTCTTCCCCCATCCACCATGGCATCCTCGCTCGATCGCCAGCAGCAGATGGGCCCACAGATGTCGGGTCCAAAGCGCCACGCCAACCATCCGGATCGCTACGATCATCCACCCATGCCACACCATCTCTCCCAGGATGTTTATCAGAACGGACCAGGTATGTTTTCAGCTTCTCGCCCTTGTTTGGCCTACTCCCTCGCATTTACAGGACGCATGCTGACGTGCTACCGCTTTTCTCTCCCTCATGCTTCCTTTGTCTACATAGGCTACCCGCCTGGACCATCCTATCCTCCCCGTGGAGACCCAGGCCGTCCACCTCCTGGATATCACCGCCCACCCTCGCCACCGCCCATGTCCCATCGCGACCCCCGCGCTGGCATGGGTCCACCCGGCCCCAATGGTCCTCCACCGCCCGGCATGATGGGCATGCCTCCCAACGACCGCTACGGCATGCCACCTTACCGTCCTAGCCCAGGTCCCCATCCGCCATCGCCATCCTGGCAGAATCAGCAGCTCTATCCCGGTCCTCCACAACCTGGCGCATCCCCGTTGCCCGCACACCTGCACCAGCCTGGCTACAACGTTGTTCCTCCTCAGCACCGCGGATCACCTCACATGGCTCCTCATATGCCTCTTCCACCACCTCATCACGCAGGTGGACCACCTCTTCCGCCTCACAGTGTAGCTGGAGGTCCAGCCAGCGCCATCTCGAAATCCCACGCCAAGCATCTTGCATCACCGGCTTCCGCCAGCCGCAAGTCACCAAAGCCATCGGGCAAGACAAGTCGTAAAGAGAAGAAAGAAAAGGACGCTGCTGCGTCCGGGTCTGCGACCATGGCTAAGGATCCAAGCACAGACACGACCGCATCCAAGCGCGGCGCTACCAAAGCTGTCAAGGTTGCAGCTGCAATTGCTAACGACGCTGCTAGCTCCGCCAATGCTGCTGCAAACGCCTGTGCTTCCCAGGCCGGTCCTGACCTGGCAGGTGCGCCCACCGAGAGCAAGAAGGACAAGAAGCGCAAGGAAGTCATCGACCGTATCCACCGCATCCACTTTGAAACCATCGAGAACCGCGAATCACTATACCAAGAGCTCTATCACGCACTCACCTCTTCCTACTCGACACTCCTCTGCAATCCAGCGCGATCTCGACACTACACGCTCGAGCTCACACGTCTCACTTTGCAGCGCGATGCTGCTTTGCGAGAGACGGCTTTGCTGCACGCACACCAGCTCGAATCGGCTCGTCTCGCATACGAGAACGAGAAGCACAAGGTGGACGAAGAAGCTCGTCTTGCCAAGCGCGGTGCCCGCGAGAAGCTCCTCGCTGTCGTCGAGGCGACCAAGAAGCGATTGCAGGAGGAGAAGGAAGGCGGCGATGTAGCAGTGGATGCCTTCTTCGACAGTGCTCAGCGACCACACACTACACGAAAGTTGCGCAACAAGGCAACCAGCAGAAGAGGAGGCAGTGGTGGCGGCAACGACGATGATAGCGACGCACCCCCTGGTGGACATGCACGTGCCAATGGACATGGCGGTTCATCAGGGACGGGAATTGCAAGTGGGCTGCAAGAGCTCATTGCGCTATCTGGCTTCGGTTCTGACGAGGTCGGCAATCGCGGCAGTCGACTTGGTCTCACTTCTGGCCTCGATCTCGGTGGTCTCGGTCTATCGTTTGGCGGTGGCGGAGACTTGCTCTCAGGTGCTGGCATGGGCGATAGCAGCTACATGGGCGGTAGCGGTGGTGGCCGCAACCTCGGTGTTATTGGCGGAGCCAACGGTACTGTCGGCGGTGTCAAAGGGAGCAGCAAGAAGAAGGGTGCTTCCAAGGCGGCGGCGGCAGCAGCGGCGGCGGCGGCATCTGCTGCTGCAGCACGTGAGGCTTCTGCTACTGGCGGCGACGATGAGGACTCGAACAGCAGAGTAGCAGCAGCAGCAGCAGCAGCAGCGGCGGCAGCGGCTGCCGCCGCCGCTGCAGTCGTGACAACGTCGGGAGGCAGGTTGAGATGGGATGCAGGCAAGTCGCTCAACCAGCTCACACCAGCCAAGGACTTTGAGATCGAGTCGGATTTGATCAATATTCGCAAGACCAACGGCAAGCGTGCTCGTCGCAAGTGATTCGAAGGTCACACTCTCTGTAGCTTCATGATTCGGTTCTTGATACCTTTGGGCTCTGTTAGTAATGCAATCTGTATACTCAATACGGCCTTGCTTTGATACTGTGTTGGCGTGGGAGGGAAGGAGTGTGGAAGCGCCACCCGATGCATATACAGTAGAATCGGCAACGAATCGGATGAGATGAAGAAGCGGAACTGGCGGAAAACGACCGGCGAGGCTTTGTTTGGTGAGGCCAGTTTCCTAAGGCCGTTTTGCTTCGAGTCGCTGTTTCACCCCGCGTCCAAGTTAACCCCCCACCCTCAAAACCCCCACCCTCAACCCCCACCCCCACGCCGTGTGCCATGTGCCGTTGGAATTGCAAATCAGATTTTCCGGCATGCGGCTGTCTGGGACAGAAAATCTGACATGCTACCAATTGATTATGTGTGTCGACGGTCGACAATGCATCGTACGATCTCAACAGCTGCGATGATGGCAGCAGGATTCAAGGGTTGACAACGTCGATCAAGTTAGCTCAGTATTGGGGGGCGACAATTATGCAGAGTAATTCCGGTGGCCGAGTACAGCAGCAAACAAGACCGGCGAATGGGCCGAGCGAAGGATCGACCTTGCAAAAAGCAAGTTTTGGGAAGCCGAGATGGGTCAAACAGCATGGAGCGTACTAAAGATGGTCACCAGGAAGGCTAGGAGTTGGCGGACGACTTGATTGCTAACACGGTCCACGCCGATCCGTTGCACTTGACTATGAGCGAGCATGTCGTTTCGACAGTGAGAATTGAGCGTCTTTCCGCCGTTGCATTGTTCCCGTGCCGAGCAGATGAGTCAGTGCTTAGGCAAAGCCCATATCAACACTCGACCTCGCCTCGGTTCTACGAGGCTTTCCATCGATCCTAAACAGAATTCGCCTTCAAGGGCCTGTTGTCAACGGTGGTACGATGGACGTTGAAAAGCCATGGTGGTGTGATGTGCTACGTTGAAACGACAGTTTTTCCACTCCTCCTGCAAAATTCAGAGGCAAACTTGGCACATACCGCCAACGTAACTACGCCACCTTTTGTACGAGCTTTAGCAGTTGAACCTCTTTCTGTTGTCCTTTACTGTTGAACCCCTTTCTGCTGTCCTTTACTGTCACTTTGCATTGCCGCGGCCTTCCCGGCGTTTGTGTACTTGTGTGATTCTGTGCGGTTGGAAACTTTTTGACAGGCGTACAACAAAACATGCCAAAATATGCTGTCCAACATCACTTCTTGAGCACCGTATGAGCATATCTCTCTATCTCTCTATCTCTCACCGACACTGATAGTCAAGAGCAACACTCGCTTATTGCCGCTGCTTGACTTTCCGCTCGACTTTCCGCTTGAGCCTTTCTGTCTTCCGCTATCGCCGTTCCATCCCTGCACAGCTTGTGACACTCCCTCCTCCCCTCTTCTCTCCGCTCCACCGCATCTATACAAAACAACTTGCACCATCCTGCTTCTAGCTGCGTTTTGTCTGCTATGAGCTCACTAAACCCTTAAGCCTGGAACACACAGACACCGGGGCTCACCATACAACACACCTCACAGCATCTGCCACTCTCCATCCCTCGTGTCCCTCTTCACCGTACAGTATGGCACACTCAATATCTGATCAACAAGCTAGTCCGGCAGCACCTACACATCAGCCCCACCCAGGTAACGCCGCAACACCTCCACCAGCATTGACTTTCCCGATAGCATCATCATCTTCGACGGCATTACCGCCAGACCTCGAAAACCAACCTACTTCACCAATTTTCCACACCAGTCTCGAGCACTCCCACTCATCAAAGTTTGCGTCCAAGCTCGACCATACACATTCAGACCATAGTACGCACAGCCTTCATCGCAACTCGCACCGCAGTCACCACAGCCACGTCCAGGTCCACCATGACGACGCCACTGCAGCTGAACCTACACCGGAGAGCGCTACTGAGCACAAGGTCGAGTTGCAAGACCAGACCAACTTCCTTCCCAAAAACCAAGTCATTGTCGCCTTTGCCGGTCTCTCGGCTGCTTTGCTCGTCGCTCTTCTCGACCAATCCATCATCAGTACTGCCCTCCCCACCATCACTGCTTCCTTTCACGCAGGCAACAATGCTTCTTGGCTCTCAACCTCCTATCTCTTGACCTCCACCGCTTCCAGTCCTCTTTACGGCAGATTCAGCGACATTTTTGGCAGGAAAACGTGCATCATCTTTGCTCTTACCGGCTTCCTCATCGGCAGTGCTCTTTGCGCTGCAGCACAGTCGGTCACTCAGCTCATTGTCTTTCGTGCCCTCGCTGGTGCTTTTGGAGGTGGTATAGTTTCCTTAGTCATGGTCGTTGTTGGTGATGTCGTTTCCCTTCGCGAGCGTGGAACTTATCAAGGTCTACTGGGTGTTGTCGTCGCTTTGGCCAACTCGGGTGGTCCTCTTATCGGTGGTGCCTTGGCTACTGTCGGCTGGCGCTGGTGCTTCATCATCTCTGTCCCCATCATCATTGTGGCTCTCGTCAGCGTCATCATCTTGCTTCCACTCAAGAAAGTCGAAGGCAGTGTCAAGAGTAAGCTTGCCAAGATCGACTACCTTGGAACTGCCCTCGTCCTCGCCGGCACCGTCTTGCTGCTTCTCGGTCTCAACTGGGGTGGTCAGCAGTATCCTTGGTCCAGCCCTCACGTCCTTGTTTCCTTGATCCTAGGAGGCCTCATCTTCCTTGTCTTTGCCATTGTCGAGGCTCGCTTTGCAACTTTGCCTCTGGTGCCCATGCGACTCTTCAAGATCGGCACTGTCTGCAGTGTTCTAGTGCAAACCATGTGCTCCGGTGGCATCTTCTTCTTGCTCCTCTTCTTTGTACCGCAGTTCACGCAGGTGGTCAAAGGCTATTCGGGAGTTAAAGCCGGTGTCACTCTCATCCCACTCATGGCCCTCCAGGCTCTCACATCGACCATCGCCGGTATCATCGTCTCCAAGACGGGCAAGTACAAGATCATCATCGTCCTCGGCTTTGGTATCTTTTCCATCGGCGTGGGTCTACTCAGCCTCCTTAATGAACACTCCAACATTGGAATGATCATCGGCTTCCTCCTTCTTTCCGGATTTGGCGCAGGTGGTACACTGCAAGTCACCCTTGTAGCCGCACAAAACGCTGTTGAGCGTCGCGATATTGCCGTCCTCACCTCGACACGCAACTTCATACGTCTCTTCGGAGGCACCCTCTGCCTCGCCATCAGCTACACCATCCTCAACAACTCGGTGCGTAACCAAGTCAAAAACTTACCCTCCCAAGTCATCGCCCAAGTGGTACGCAATCCCAAACTCATCACCAATGGCGAATTTGATGCTGCCACATCAGCTCAACTTCTTCAGGCATACGTGCATGCTTTCCGTAACGTCTTCCGTTTCGGTCTCGGCTTGACACTGCTAGCATTCCTCGTCACAACACTCTTCACCAAAGAGTTCAGCTTGGATAGAAACGATGACCAGAAGAGGAAAGAAGAGGGCAAACAGTGGTATGCGGAAAAGAAAGGGAGGAAAAATGCAAAGAGGCATGCTGAGGATCACAGCGTTCAGCCCAGCAGACGGGCGTCTGTTGAACATCAAGCTCAGCTCAACCAGCAACAGAAGCAGAATGAGCGAGACTTGGAGAAGGGAACCCCAACAACTACCTCAGAATCTCCTTAGGTCGCTCTGTTTGAGTATAATAGTCACACTACTTTCTCCAACAAACGCATATGTATTTTTAGTCTCTATTCGCAATTGAATCTTCAGCAAAGACGAACAAAGTGTGATGGTGCAGTGATTGACGTGTGGGTTGAATTGTGTTTCTGTGTTCAAGCAGATGCATTGTGGCTGGTGGTGGGTTATGCGTGACGTGCAGCGATGGTGAATCTTTGTTTCGTCGCGAGTCTATGTTGCTAGCATTCGAGATGTATGGCGACGCAAGCAAGCATTAGACCCATATTTCGTTTCCGATAACAGCCATCTCAAAAAGGAAGCGCAAATAGTACATCATTACAATGATTGCATAAGTTAGCTCCAGACTTGACTTGATATATGTTTTGCCTGCGGCAGGGTCGACAAAGACTCTGTTGCTGACACCAAGATTGGCTGCATGTACACTTGTCCCATTTGCACGCATCGACAAGCTGGATCGTGACAACCTCGCGTGGATACTGTGAGCAAGGCTACCTGACTATATCTCAAGTCACATCGCCACATGTGGGACCAACTGTAACTGTGAACCTGGGATATTTATTCAGATTCGCCACATCCGCAAATTGGGAATTTCCCCGAGACAACAGCATCTTATGCAACTCTCCCAGCAAACCCCAACCTGCGATCTTCAAGTAAACGCACGGACTTTGCGGATACCTGCTCAGCATTGCGCGCAACCGGCCACACGTCCAACAAGCTTCTGGGCGCTTTTGGTCACTACAATGTGCCAGAGTTCTTGGCATCAGCGCTTTGTCATTTCAAAGGGGCCTTCAAGCACTACATCTAGTCTCTGGCTGCTATGGAATTCAACTTGGAGATGTAGCCGGAGCCTTGACAGGAGAAGGTCAACTGGTTCACCAATTCAATCAGAGGATCTGCACTGGCCCGTTTGTCAACCTTAAGTCCGCACAGAGCCTTTCTCTTGATATCTCCGCTCCGCTCCAAGCGTGTTGCATAGACGTGATGCTGCAGACTTTATGGAGCTCCATCTGGATTTTGACGCCCTCACACTCGCATTCAAGAGGCACAACTTTGTCACAGGGCCTGCGCAGAAGACCCTAGACACACATTGGATGCGCAGTGCGCATTAAATGTGAAATCGGTCAGAACGTGCCCATCCGACAGATTATTTGTCGCGCCGTGAGAAGAGGTCCTCGATGTATCGAGAGCCAAGCGACCTTGTAGGATCGAAGGGACGACCATAAGAGGCTTGTCGCCATCACTGGTGGTGAGGAAGACATATGGAAGGAGGCAATATGCAAGGAAGGGGTCCGAGCATAGGAGCACGTGTAGGAGGTGCCCACACGGCACTCACATCCGACATGAGCCAATCCGAGATTGCGAAACAGAAAAAAGATTGAAATGCATTGTTTGACAAATCCGTTCCTCCGTGAACAATCGGAACACGTGAATCACCTAGCCGGAGTAGACCGATTAGACGAGCTAACAGCGCTACTCGACATCCTGCTTCTCGCCCTCAATGTTCCTGGGTCTACACTTGGGCTTCGACTCTCTGGCAGTGTGTGAATGTCATCGAGAGACATGTTTCGGGCTGCGTGGAGTTTTGCTCTTGCTCCGCGACCACGAGTCGCCGTTTCACGAGTTGTTGTTCCACGAGTTGTTGTTCCACGAGTTGTTGTTCCACGAGTTGTTGTTCCACGAGTTGTTGTTCCACGAGTTGTTGTTCCACGAGTTGTTGTTCCACGAGTTGCTGTTTCCCTAATTGATGCGGATGAGGTTGCTGCTGTTGCTTTGCCTCGAGCTCGAGCTCGTCCACGTCCTCTGCCCCGGCCGCGGGCGGGCGCGGTGCGCGCAGTCTTAGCTGTGGGCTGAGACTCTTCGACTTCATCAGCAGAGCTACTGGCCGAGGACGAAAGATCCTCTTCATTGGTGAAGGCAGTGGTGGCGGCTGCTTTGCGAGCAGCGATCTTCTTCCGTTTCGAGGCGGAACCCTGATCCGGCGCTGTGCCGGATTTTTCCGCAGGGGCAGTACCTTCCAGAGCCTCGATCGCGGCATCCAACTCCGCACGTCTGGCTTCTCTCGTAGCTTCATCTTCCGTATCCCCACCACCGGCTGCATCTTCACGTCGAACGATGGGCCTATTCTTAGCCATCTCTTTGCCTAGCATCTCTTCTGAGACCATCGGTGTCTGCATACGAGCACCGACTACCTGTACTTGGTCATCGTCACTGCTGCTACTTGTCTCGCTATCAGCTCCACGCTTCCGTCTCGCAGCGGAAGCATTTCCGCCTGCCTTGTTGGCTCGGTTAGCAGCTCTGAAGCCATTGATGACCTCCTGCAACCTATTGCTGCCGTATGTGATCTTCTTCCTGCCCGCGTAGATGCCTGTGCCTGCAGAAGTGTCGAAGAACCCGTTTCGGTCGAGAGTCGCCTGGTTACCTCGAGCTCGGTTGCGTACATTCTGACGCTCAATGATAGGGAGCAGGTACTGGTCGGTCTTGGTGACTGGCCAGTGCAGGTACTCTCCGAGAAACGTTCGCAAGCTGTCGAGATCCGGCAGACCCCAAGCGAAAGGCTCGTCGCTCTCATCCACCGTAGGATTGTAGTATGCATCGAGCACGGCAGGTTCTGGCCAGGATGGTTCGAGGTGGACCTTGTTACGAAGGTTCTTCTTGATCCTTCGCATCGTCTTACCTCGGGTATGCTCCTCGGTATCTTGTCCCATCTGTACACGCATCCACCAGTCACGGAACTTGAGCAGTCCGTCTTCACCTGGGAACAACGCCAATAGCTCCATCGCAACGACCGGTCCGACGCCGACCAGTCCCTCTGTGTAGTCACTTCCGAGGTAGTAAGCTAAGCGGACGAGCTTCTCTCTGTCGAGTCCCAACTCTCGCTGCATGTCGGAGAGGAGGAAGCACTCGACGATCTTGTTGTTGTTAAACATGTTTTTGTAGATTCTTGTACCGCCGAAGAGGAACACATCACTATCGTCAGTGATGATGCCATCCACCAGACGTCGTGAAACAAGCTCTGCGCACTGAGCTTCGGCTTCCATAGGAGCTGTGATGTACGGCAGACCGAAAAGCCGCAACATCATCTGGATTTCTTGTGCCATCTGCTTAGTGATGTCTTCTTCGGAGCGACGGCTGTTGGCGAACTCGGCACGGAGAGCATTGACCTCACTCTCGACTTCTTTCTGCACGTCGAGCAAGCTTCGTCCTTTGGTAGCGCTGAGGAAGGCAATGAACTCGTTCTGGTCAGCGTTGAGTCGGGCGATCTCGTCTTCGTCCTCGGCGTCAAGTGCGTCGAGCTCTTCTGCGGTGGGCAAGGGAAACCCATCTGCTCCGATCACGACTTCAGGTTCGGGTGATGGCGTGGGTGACCATTCCATCGGCGTCTGCTGTCTGCTTGAGGCATTGATGTTGTCTTCGATCGGCGATGCGACCTCCATCGGTTCAGGTTCTTGGATGTGCTCGGCGGCAGCGGCGGGGATGTTGTCAAGTGTGACGGCATCAGAGGTACCACTTTGTTCTGTAACCCCTGGCCCTTGAGCCCCGGCCGACGCTTGTTCTGGAATCGACAATGAGACAGCCATGCCCATCTCTTCTGGATCATGAGGCTCTGCCGCGTCGCTTGCTGAAAACTCCACAGCGTCATTCGAATCCAGTACAGTGCCGGTTCCGTTCACAGGCGGAAGTGGGAAAGGTTGCTTTGGCGACGAATGTTTCTGCTCCGGAGACGATTTTGCCGCAGGTGGGCTGGGCAGCGACTCGGGCTTCTCAGCGGGTGTGACCGCTTCGCGCTCGACGACCTTGACGTCATCATTATTGTCGTCATTCGCTTCGTCCGCATCGATATCGATCGCAATCTGACGGTTGACCTCTTCCGGTGTCGGAAGCAGGTCGTCCTGTGGTGTTGTCACTTGCGTGTCAGACTTCGGTCGAATCTTTGCAAGCTCGAGCCGCTGCTGCGAAGCAGATCTTAGCGGTGGTCCCATCCGGCTGGCAATCGGACGATTTGGAGTCACAGCAACTTCCACCTTCCTATTCGACGCGTTACCATCGGTCTTGACTGGTGATGTTTCTGCTGGGGGTGTGGGCTCGGACTGGGGCTTCTCGTGCAAGTTGCTGGATGAGTTTGACCGACGCGCAGCGCGAAGGCTTCCAGCCAGGCTCTTGCGGGGAGGCGGGGCTACTTGTACTCCATCACCATTCATTTTGCGGCCACGACCAACCAGCGCTGCGAGCTCTGACATGCGATTCGCATCCTTCGCAGAAGGCTCATCGTGACTGGGGGTGGTTGAGTTGACCGGCTGATCAAACGTTGGCTGAACCTCTTGCAAGGCAGCGGGAGCTTGGGGTTCGACATGCTCAAAATCGTCCTCGTCAAGTTCATCAACATCTGCATTTGTCGTTCCTGTTTCCAGCGTAGCCGCTGTCCGTGTGGTAGCGAGCGAGCGAGAGGAAGATCCGTTGCTGAGCGGAGTATGCGATGAACGATGCAAAATGGCGTCATGTAGCGATATGGGCTCTCCACTACGATTGGCCAGCTTGAGGCCATGTGATGGTTTGGGCTGTTTGGGGAAGCGGCTTCCAGAAGAGGAGCCGGCTGCTGCTTGAGATTCTGCAATAGCGCGAGCGAGGTCCTCGGCCTCATCCTCTTCGAGCTCGTCGTCAACGTCTTGCACCACCTGAAAGTCATCCTCCTCCTCCGAGTCTGCATCGACATCGATCCATTCAGCTTGTTGCTGAGGTGACTTGCTGGACTCGGCAACGGGAGCGCGCTGGTTGCGGATGAAGAGAGGTCGCTCTCCACGCTTACGTCTTGGACGTCGGGCAGGTTCGAGATCGTCTTGATCATCATCTTGCAGACCTGCCTCGCGACGTTTCTGTTTGGCATGGTAGTTGGCTCTCGCCTGTAGTAGTTCGAGAGCCTTCTCCTTGCGGGTGTGTGGGTCGGCCTCCTTGGTTAAGGCGTCGAGCTCTGGATCAGCAGGACGGCTGGTAGAGCGTGGAGGTGATGCTTCCACCGGGATCTCGACGTCGTCCATCTCCAGTTCGGGATCCGACTCTGTATGTTGAGCCTCGTCATCGGTGATGTTGATCTCTTCTGACTCGTAATCGACGTCGATGGCCTTCTCCTGGGTAGCACCGGAATCACGTACACCCAGAACGAAGCCACCTTCAGCACCAGGGTTGCGCACCAGCACATACTCCTTGTTTCGTTCACCGGCTACTCGGATAGGCACCTTGATGTTAGCCTTTCCGATCTCGTCGGTGACGGTGAGCACCTTCTGTGTCAGATCGTTGCGCGTCTTGAGTCCAGCGACCTGAGCTCGCGAGAAGTCGATTGGAGTAGGAGCAGTGGCCAACATAGACTGAAGACGCTTGTAGGAGGTCATCCGTGACTGTATACGGAGATCGCCGACCAACTCGTATTGGAGCTCAGCCGGCAAGCTACGGAAGAGTTCAGAGGTGGTGTCGAGATCTTCGGGGGCGATCGTGTTCATGACGGCTCGAAGCTCGTTCTCCGTTGCGAAGCGGTAGTCCTTGCGTCTTCCCTTCTTCCCGTTGGCGGCAGCGACTGAAGTGAGATCCTTCTCCATAGCTGGCAATGCATACGGATCCTTGTGCCAGTCGATCTTGCGTCCAGCTGATTTTGATGGTGAGCTACCCTCGCCTCGGCTTGGTCCGGCCGAGCTGGTTGGTTGTGTAGATTGAAGGTCCCGCGACGGTAAAGTTCTTGGATTGCCAGCCTGAAGATCGTCATAGTAGACTGTGTTCTCTGCAAGCCCTGTGCTATCTTGGGCGCCAGAGCCTTGCTGCGCACCGGAGGAAGGAGCTCGAGCTTGACCGTCAGCAACATGCTTGATGGCAGCTTGCCTCATCTGAGCCGCAAGCAGCTTCTCTGCAGTTCGTGCGTGCGACTCTTTCGCGCCCTGCTTTCGAGCTTTACGACCGGATAGCGTCTTCCGTTTCATGACGGGAGCGCCGCCATCGAATACGAAGACCGGACGAACACCATGAAAAAGTAGCTTTAGAATGCGCCACAAGAAGCCGAGGATGTGAGCATTGGACAGGGTGCGTCCTTCTCTGTCTCGCATGGCCATCTGGAAGTGGTAGAGCCATAGTGAAGAGTCGATCGCGAGACGCTTACCCTCGAGCGTCTCGATTTTGATAGGACGAGCAACGGGTTGGAGCAGCTGCCAGAGACCCTGAACACCCATGGTGAGGGACACTTAATGGAGCGCGGTGTATGTGAGTGCTGTCGAGAGATGGCGTCGATCAAGACGAAGGAGGAAGCGGATGGTGAGGCGGTGTAACTATGCGTCAGAATGCTGCGTGATGCTGCAGAAAGGGTCCGAGAGTGCAGAAAGTTGGAGCGGATCCGAGCAGAAAAAGTGGAGGAGAGTCACGTGCAGCAATTCGGTGTTGGCTGTCTTGCGTCCATGAGCGGGATTGTTGTGGAGGGTGCAACGTCTTGGTTTCGACCTTGATCGCTTTGCAACCATCCGCAAGGCAGCCGACATCGGCTCCACCAAGCCGGTCACGCTCCAGCCTACTGATCCAGCCGACGGGCGGGTGGGATAGCGATCACAATGTTGGTACCACCGCCCAACTATGGAATGGTCGAGGAGAACTTTTATCGTTCTGGTCAGCCGGATCAGCTCAACTTCCCCTTCCTCGAAAAGCTCGGCCTGAAGAGCGTCATCTGGTTGGCACCCGAACAGCCTGAACCTGGTTTTCTGGACTTCTGTATCGATCAGAAGATCGAGCTCCACCATCTTGGTGTCCTCTACTCGACCAACGCTTGGGATCCTATCACAGAAGAGGTGGTGCTGCAAGCATTGCATCTCCTTGTCCAGCCAGCAACATACCCTGTGCTTGTCATGTGTAACCTAGGACGTCATCGAACAGGTACCGTGGTGGGATGCTTTCGCAAGCTGCAGCGATGGAATCTCAGTGCCATCCTTGAAGAGTACCGTCGCTTTGTTGGTGGACAAAAGTACCGCATCCTCAACGAACAGTTTATCGAGCTCTTTGATGAAGAGCTTGTCTTCGGCGCCAGCTACTGATCTTTCCTCACTGCTCGACCTATACCTTTGCCTACTCCATACCTCTTTCCTTGTTTCGAAGGTCGCCTCCTATCTACCTCACCAGCTTATTTTGCATATCTAATTCCATCCTTACAGTCGCAATCTAACTACCTTTTCGCAAAGTTGGGGATGCCGATCCAAGGCATTGAGTGATCATAACTTAAGTACAAGATGATTCAAGTGTATATATATGTCTGCTAGCCTTCCATGTATATGTATATAAGACAGGCACGATGAGGCTGAAACATAATGGGGAAACTACAGGGAAACTATGCCTGCTATCTGTTAAGCGGCATGCCAATGCCTATCGCGGCGGTCGGTTCGGACCTATGTGATGTACATCCGAATGAGTGAAGTTGGCAAAGTATGTGAGATCGAAATGGAGCTCACATATTTTCACTTTCGCTCTTGACAGAGATGGACAACGCTTCCGAGAGAAAACAGTGTGGACAATGAGAAAAGAAGCTTTGACGTCCGAGACAGAGCATCCATTCAGGCTCAAAGAGAGGAACAAGGAGGAGTAGCCGCTCGGTATTTTCGCCTTTCGCATACCTTGGCTTAGAGAAAGAGGACCCCAGCAACTTGCCCACTGTCTTGTCTGAGCGTGTGTCGAGTCGGCGTCGTGTTGTTCATTGGTTGCAAGTTGAGGAGCTCATCGAACACAGACGAGCTTGGAGCTCCATGGGGTTGCGGTGTGCTCAAATCTCACACCAGTGTCAGTGCTTCGGTTCCGCTTGTCCACGGAAGGGTCTGCTACTGCTTGAACTGCCTCTTCTCCGACAGACCACGGATGATCCGGACGCTTCACACCAACTCTTCTGGCACGCAAACTGCCAACAGAGTCACAGAACTGTGTTATGGCTTATTGACTAAGTATGATGAATTGCGTATGCTAACATGTGCGAATGCAAAGTGGGAACGACGATCATGCTTGATCCCTTGCCGACTGTTCTCCTTCAACTCTACTTGGGCTCTCAGCATCGCCATTCCTCTGCCCTTCCGCCGGTTCTCGCTCCTCTGCTCTTGGTTGACTCCTCCAATCACCGCCTGACCCACCGCTTCTCCAGTCACGCTTCTTCGCTTCTTCTGCTTCTATGCTCTCCGCTTCTTGCTCAACCTTGGCCAAGTCCTCTCCTTGTTCCAAAGCCAACCTCTCTTTCCAGCCCAACTTCTTCATCACCCCTGCCGCTGTCGATCTTCCCTCCTCCTTCCTCTTCCGCAGCTCCACCGCCAATTGATGATTCAACTCTTTCCGTGTCGGTGCTGAGGCATATCTGAGGTGCATAAAGTTGCAGAATCCGCCACGATTGCATTCATTCGTCTCGTTTTGTCGACAGCAAGCTTCCTGAAAGTCCGTCACTGGGCTTAACTCTGCGAACAACGGCTTACCATCATACCATCGATCATTGAGTGCGTCCACCGCAAGCTGAGCATCGGTCTCATACTTGTATCTCGCATAGACGTTGCCGATGAGATGATCGCCGACGTTGTCGCAGACGTGCATTTCGACAAGTTCGCCGTACTTGGCTAGCTCGGTAAACATGTCTTCGTAGAACGCATCGAATTGTTGTTGGAGCTCGGTATCTGTGATGGTGCAATCCGGCTCGTGATGGCGTGGATTCCGGTATACGTTGGAGAGGAGGAGAGTGCATGAGTAGGGTGGTCGGATGTGTTTGCGAGAGCAGCGGTCGCCGTGTCGACAAGCACCAATTTTGTAGTAGAAGGAACAATTGACTTTGTCTTGTTCTGTGCCGTAGATTGAGGCTAGGTAGGAGGCCATGCTGGGCGAGCGGAGCGTTGGGGCTTGTGATGTCTATCTGTCCGTGCAAGATCCAATAGAGAGCGAATATGAAAGTGTAGATACCTGTAAGTGCCGAAGGAATGATCGTGGCTGAGCGGAATGTGAGGGAAGCAAGGACAGTTGTCAAAAAGTGCAGGGTCCAAAAACCGAATTCCGAAGCAACACTGAGCTCTAAACTTTCGGCCGGTAAGAATTTTCAGGCAACTCCACACCGAATGCCGAATGAGCTTGGAAATTTTTCGAGAAAAGCGAAGCACAGCGAGACAGAGAGGCTCAGGGTCTTGAGATTTTGGTTCGCCTTGCTGCCTCTTCCTTCTCTCCACCTTCACCTTTATCCTTCATACATAGATCGCCCGGAGCTACGAAGGAGACATGTACGAAGTATCATCATCATCCAAGGTCAAAGCGGACTCGCTCTTGCCGCCCGAGAAAAGTGCCGCGTCCAGCAGCACCACGGCCAACACCAACGGCACTGCCTCTTGCACATCCAACAGCTCGCTAGCCACCAAGCACGGCATCGAGCTTCCCAGCGAAGAGGATGCAGAGCGTCTCGGCTTCAACGTCTTCTCTCACATTCTGGACCCACGGCTCCTCCGAGCGCTTGCTGATCTCGGATACGGCATCCCAACACCTATCCAACAGAAAGCAATCCCACTCGCACTCGCCGGAAAAGACATTCTCGCACGCGCACGAACCGGTTCAGGCAAGACACTAGCATACGGTCTCCCATTGCTGCAGAAGGTACTTGACGCCAAGTCAGTCATGGCCAAGTCCGACCCGAACCATCAGCTTACCCGAGCGCTCGTTTTGGTCCCAACCCGAGAACTAGCAGAACAAGTCTTGCGCCATCTCTCTGTCATTATCGAGTATGTTGGCGATGATATTCGTCTCGTCAATGTCGCTCGTGATGCATCTGAAAAGGTGCAGCGCTTGCTCCTCAGCGAGAAACCAGACGTTGTCATCGCTACCCCATCCAAAGCGCTCAGCTACCTCCAAAACGCCTCCCTCGACCTCAAATCCGGCATGGAATCCCTCGCAATTGACGAAGCCGATCTCATCCTCTCCTACGGACACGATGCCGACGTCAAATCCCTTCTCTCCGGCAACTACCTTCCTTCACACTTCCAATCTTTGCTCATGTCAGCGACCATGACTTCGGACGTTTCCAAACTCAAAGGTTTGCTGCTGCGAAAGCCGGTAGTGCTCAAGTTGAACGAATCGGACGAATCATCAGCGTCCAACCTGGTACAGTTCTACACAAAGACTAGCGAGGAGGATAAGTTTTTGCTCGTATACATCATCTTGAAGCTGAAGCTGATCAGGGGTAAAGCGATTCTCTTCGTAAATGAGCTCGAGAGGGGTTACAGGCTGAAGCTTTTCTTGGAAAAGTTCGGGTTGAAGGCATGTGTGTTGAATGCAGAACTGCCTATTAATTCGAGGTATAGTATTGTGGAGGAGTTCAATAAGGGTAGGTTTGATTATATTGTGGCTACGGATGAGCCGACTGGGCTGGGTAAAGCTGATGCTGATCAGGACGAGGATAAGGACGAGGATGAGAACGAAGAGGAGGAGGAGACAAGAGAAGTCGAAGATGCTGGCGAGGAGGTTGCTGGAAAGAAGCGCAAATCGGACACCGCTTCCAGCAAAAAGTCCAGGAAAAAGCAGAAGCAAAGCAAATCCAAAACCTCTGCCGAATTCGGCGTCTCCCGTGGCGTAGACTTCATCAACGTCTCTTGTGTCATCAACTTCGACCTGCCCACCACCGTTGACGGCTATATCCACCGGATCGGCCGTACAGCTCGTGGTGGAGCTTCCGGTACATCCCTCTCCTTCGTCGTACCCGCCTCAGAATACGGTAAATCGAAATACCTCAATTGTCCCTCGACCATCAAGGACGAATCTGTCTTGCGCAAGATCTCGCGTTCAACCTCAGCGATCGGAGGAGAAGTGCAGGAGTGGAGCTACGATGCATCCTCAGTCGAGGGTTTCCGCTATCGTGTTTCTGACACACTTAAATCTATCACCAAGCTGCTTATTCGAGAGGCGAGGATTAAAGAGTTGAAACACGAGATTCTTACCAGTACAAAGTTGCAATCTCATTTCCAAGATCATCCGGATGATTTGAGTTATTTGCAACATGATAAGGCACTCTTGAATAGCAGAGCTCAGCAGGGACATTTGAAGCATGTTCCCCAGTATCTGGTGCCTAAGATCATCAACCCTGCTTCGAAATTGACGGGAAGCACAGGAAGCACCTATAAGGGTTATGTGCCCAAGAACAAGCATCTTGATGGCAAGGACAGCAAGAAGAACCGTCTCATGGGCGCAAAGAGTAAGAGTTCAACAGCGAAGGGCAATGGTGTCAAAGGAAGAAAGAAGGCTGACCCTTTGAGGAAGTTTTCAAACAAGTAGACGCATTTCTCACTAGTCGAAGCTCATTGCACTCAATCTGCTATCTCAGCAAACTCCATTTCAGTTATCATTTTTCGCAAGTGTTTTCCGATGTGTGTTCTACGTGTGTATTCTGTTGTACAACTGTCTTAAACTTGAGAGAGAACGGCTCATTGAACCTCCCAAAACAGCCTCTTCTGCTCGCTCCCTTCCTCACTCCCCTCTCCTCTACCCCTCTTCATACCACGTACAATCTCAGCCAGTGAAACAATCTGTGTATCCCTGAGCAACTTCTTGAGATCTACTGCCCCGTCTCTCTTCTCCCCTGCCTTCTCCTCTGCCTTCTCGACTGCTCCAGTAGCAGCACGGAAAGCAGCCAGTTGCTCGATCCTAGCTTTGGCCGATTTCCTTCCTTTACTCTGTGCATAGCTCGGCTGTTTCAATTCGACAGATTCAACGACGAGTGAGACTCCGTCGTGCGAGTTACCCCACGAGCGGGATTTGATGCCTCCTCGTTGACAACCTTTGTAGGCGATCAGCTTGGGTGCGATACGGAGGATGACGGATAGGTCGCAGCTGGGCTCGATCTTTACGGGGTTGCGAGTTGAGGGTTTGGGCTTGGTGGAGTCGGTCATTTCGACGTCGGTAGCTTCACCGCCAGGTTTGGACTGTCTGCGGGTGCAAGTGGCAGTGAGCCCATTCCAGGCGCGAGCTGCTCGTCCAGGAGGTACCCACGCAGGGATACCTTCGGCTTCGAGTGAGGGACCTTCGACCCATCCTGCGTGTACGCACATGGCTAGCACATCGGAGTCGTCGGTGTAGACATCTGTACCCCACAACTTGCGACGCAGCAATGGCTTGAGTCGCCAGAATCGCCACGGTGACACCTTTCCAATGTCGTCCTTGCCAGCGCCAGCTGCACCGTTGCTAGTAGCAGCCTTGGCTTCAGTGGTCTCGCCGTCCTTGGCCTGAGCTTTGTCTTGCTCGTCAGCTTTCTTCTTCTTCTTCTTCTTCTTCTCATCACCCGCCTCAGTCTGGTTCTGCTTGTCGTAGGGAGGGATCTTCTGGCCAAACAACTGTGCCTCAGCAATCTTCTCCTCAATCCGCATCTCCAAGCTCATTCTAGCATGTTCCTTGCCTCTCCAACCGAGCTTCCAATTGTTGCCGTCGCCGTTCAGCGCCACTCGCCCTCGATCGCCTTCGAGCATATGCTTGAGCGGATTGCCGATCTTGGACCTCGCGAGACACTCTGTCTCCAGACTGCGGTATTGCTCCCAATGCGGTCCACTGTGACCTCCACAGCTAAGCAGGTCACCAGGGATGCGAACCTCGAGAGTCGAACCGACGTTGCGAGCGAGAAGCTCGGCAGGGAAAAGAGGGTCGACAGTGGGATCGTAGATCCATGAACCGAGGTGCCGGACCGGTCGACCTTTGTCCATTCCGATAAGATGACGTGGGAGTGGGTCGACAGGTGCTTCGACGACAGGGATGGTGGAATCCTGCACGGGCGCCAGCTTGGCAGGCTGAGTTGATTCACCTTCGATAGCGCCCTCGACAGCGGCAGCGGCTGCAGGAGCACGCTCAGGAGCACTTTTTGCCGCCGCAGCTGCAGCCTTCTCAGCACCTTGAGGTGCGAGGCCGGCTAGCTCGGCTGCGACCTCCTGCTTCTGTTCATCAGCAAGCACGTCAAACGGGAGACGCTCAGCCCTACGAATTGACTCGTCACGCTCACATAGCTCGAGATAGAGCCAGACAGGCTCGCTATCCACCCTTGGTCCGGCGTTGGGGTCACGGATGACATGAGGCTGTTGCGGCATCAAGGCCTCAGCGGCTGGACCCATTCCACCAAACATGGCTGGATGAATTGCAGGCGGCAATGGCATGCCAGGAGGGTAGCCAATAGCTGCAGCAGCAGCGTGGAAGTCGGCCATGTTGGGAGGTCTGCCAAATGCAGCTGCCTGTTGCTGGGCAGTAGCGATCAAAGCCTCCTCCAGGCTGGCAGGTGGAGGTCGGATGTGGGGTGGAAGCTCGCCAAGAGCACCGGAGTGCATCTGTCCGGCAGCTGCTGCGGCTTGGGCGTGAGCTTGAGCTTGTGCCTGTGCCTGTGCCTGTGCCTGTGCCTGTGCCTGTGCATGTAGCTCCCTCTCCTTTTCCCGTTCCATAGCGGCCATCTTGTCCGCCTGTTGCTTTTCACGACGACGCTCCCTACGCTCGCGTTCCTTTTCCTTCTCGCGCTCTTTCTCCTTTTCACGTTCACGTTCTCTCTCAAGCTCGATTTCTCGCTCCCGTTGACGCTCCCGCTCGATCTCTTCCATGCGACGATGTTCGCGTTCGAGCTCGCGTTCCCGCTCAATTTCCATCTCACGCTCCTGCTCGACTCTCTCTCGCTGGCGTAGACACTCACGCTCGTGCTCGGCCTCAAGCTCGCGCTCTCGTTGCATAGCCATCTCGCGGTCGCGTTCTCGAAGGTCACGCTCGGAGGGAGGTCCACCGTAAGGAGGAATCGAAGGGCCTCGGTGAGGAGGTCGATCTCGGAAGGGAGCACTGCGCTCACTGCTAGGCGACAGAGGTGCACGACGAGGAGGACCAACGGCAGGGTCGAGCTTGGCCGATGACTCACGACCTGGACCCATGGGCGGAGGAAGTCCTGGACGATCTGCCTCGAAGTGAGGAGGCAGTGGCCTGGACTGAGCTGGAACCGAAGATTCACGGGAGGCATTGGCACTAGCTCCGGGCTGGGGCTTCTTTTCCTTTCGTCGGTCACCGTCGCGACTCTGAGTTGGACTAGGAGGCGGGTAAGGCAGCGGTGGAGGTGGTCCACGGTCATCGTATCCTCGACCGCTGACAGATTTTGAGGAAGGTGGAGCGAGAGGACCGGATGGAGGACCACGTGGTCCAAAGCGGTCGTACATAGGTTCGTCCATCATCATGGGTTCAGCGTGCATGCGACGACCGTATCGATCGCCTGCCATCATTTCGCGGTCACAATCACGCTCCCTCTCCCGCTGCATGAGCTCGCGCTCGGACATGGGACCGTCGTAGTGACCGTATGAGAGCGGGGCACGCATGCGATCGGGTGAGCGACCTGCAGGTGGAAGCATTCCGCCATGTCCAGGGGTTATGGGAGCGGCTCGAGGATCATCGTAAGGGCCAAGGTAGGAAGGGTGCCGAGGCGAGCTTTCGGGGCCCACAGCAGCGAGAGGCACATCAGCACTCGGCTCGCGTATCCTTCCGGCAGGGCCTGGACGGCCAGCAAGACGAGGTGCAGGACTCCTTCGAGGTGGCAAGGAAGAAGGATACGGCTCTCGAGAGCTGCGCGATGGCTCGCCAAGCATGCCAGGGGGCGGACCACCGACTGCATATCGCATGTCACCACTAGGAGCACGAGCATGTTGCGAGGGCGGCATGTCAGGAGCACCACCTGCTCTTTTAGAGGCTCTCCATCGCATCTCGCACTCCCTGTCGAGTTCATATTCTCGCTCGCGTTCCCATTCGCGTTCCCTGTGGTAGCCTGGCGGAACATCTTGGGCGTTGGGGTCGCTCCATTTTGGTCTAGTAGGTGCAGACTGAGATGATGGGCTGGTGGAGGCGTGGCCATATGGCATGATGGGAGAGCGACGGTCGCTGGGATGGGGTGGAGGAGGAACAGTGCGAGACGAGGGTCCTCCAGGGAATATGGCACTACGTGCACGGTCCCTTTGGCGTTCTCTTTCCCATTGCTCGCATTCGCGTTCACGCTCTCGTTGCCATCCCCATTCACGGTCACGGTCACGGTCACGGTCACGGTCACGGTCGCGGTCGCGGTCGCGGTCGCGTTCTCGCTCGCGTTCGCGGTCATAGATTATGTGTCGAGGATCGGCGGGATCAGGTGCGGCGGAAGGGCCGAGAAGCGAGTTCATATTCATGAGATGGGAGCGAGGCGAGGGAGCTGGGCCTGGCTGTCTCCATCGGTCTCGGGCAGAGTCGTCGATGGCTGAAGAGGTGCGAGAGGGAGGTCGAAGAGGAGGAAAAGGGTGGCCTGAACTGCTGGTTGCCGGTGGTGAGAGCGGGTAATTACGCTGAGATGCGGAATGGTAGGAAGAGGAAGCTCCTGGTGGAGATGGCTGTGGTGGATGGTGTGGAGGAGGAGGTGGTGGCGGCATCTTTGCAGCTCTCAGCTAAAGATCGAGGTCTGGGCGGTTGTGTTTTGCTCCAAGTCAATATATCTTGGAGAGATCTGTGAGCGGTTCTCGTCAAATGCAACGGTGGTCCTGTCCAAGTAAAAGAGTACCGGTGCTGGCAAGGGTGTCAAGGTAGGAGTGAGAGAGTTTTCCAGGGTGAAAGACGATCGAAAGGGCCAAGTTGGAGATTTGAGGATGGTGTTCGAGATGATGGACAGTGTCGAGACGAGATGAGAAGAGGGATGGAGAAGAAACTGATGAAAGCTTCTGCAGGCAAACAAGGCGCGACTGACTGTAATTTCGCCGAACCAGAAGCGCAGGGACACGCTCAACGAGAACGCTAAATTGATGCAGATGACCAGTGTTTTTATTATTATTTTTTTGGTCTTGGCGAGGGTCCGCGCTCAGACGGCTTGTTGCTTGGCTGATAATTTTAGCTGATAATTTTAGCGGAAGCGAAATTGCGTTGATGGGCTGATGATCCGGTTCTGCAGAAGAAGCATCAAAAGGAGGAAGAAAAAGAGAAAAAGAGAAAAAGAGAAAAAGAGAAAAAGAGAAAAAGAGAAAAAAGAAAAAAGAGAAAAAAATGAAAAAAATGAAAAAGAGAAAAGGGGAGAGTTAGCGTTCAAGTGGCGCGACATCCGAACCTTGACCCGGCGCACGGCTCAGATTTGCAGCCGCAGTCTCCGACTCAAAGACAGAGCTTGAAGAACCAAAGAGCAACGCAATATCCAAGCAGGCCTTATGGCAGCAGCAGATGATGAAGCGAGGTGATCTCATAGCGGAAAAAAAAAAAAAAAAAAAAAAAAAAAAAAAAAAAAAAAAAAAAAAAAAAAAAAAAGAAAAAAGAAAAAAGCGCCGTCAAGAGACGGACACGGATCAGCCGATAGGGTCGGCGAGCATCCGAAGAGACAAGAAGTGTGCACAGGCCAACTCAAAAAATCAATCGCGGTCGAGCCGATTGACTTGGTCGACCTTGTTGGCATCACAATCACAACACTGGCTCTTGACACAATCCTCTCCTTCTGGTGCGCAAGGATGGCATCTCCAACATCCTTGCAGCCCTCAAGCCTCGGCTCATCCGCAACAGGCGCTGCAAGAGACTCGATAGGCTTTCGCTACCCGCCAATCCACGCATTCCCACCATTCTACACACTCCAACCCAATCCTGTCTCTCGTGGTCAGCAACTATCACAATGGCGCACATTGATATTGGACTACTGTCGCTGCCATCGCATCTTCTCCCTATCGCCTCTGCCGGCCACATCCGATGGCGTGGTAAGCGAGGAAGCGGCGGATCCACACAAGAGTCTATTCGCCAACAAGTCAATACAGCGTTCCCTCTCGCCCGAATCAATACGGCAAGTGCTGGCCGACCTTGTGGAGCACAAGCAAGCGGCATGGGAAGAGCAACTTACATCCAAAGCCAAAAGTACTGCCAGCGTAGGAGCAAATGCAAAAGCTTTCATCTACTGGAAGTCTCCCGCACAATGGGCAGACGCGATATACCAATGGGTCCTGCAAACAGGTCAGAACAAGAGCATCATGACGCTCTTCGAGTTGAATCAGGGCGACTTGGTGCAAGGTCAAGGCAAGTTGCCGTAACTGATGGGCTTCATCGATGCCCCATAGATTTGCTGATTGTGAGGTTGTCTTTCTTTCTTCCACCTTACAGAGTTCTACGAGCTGCCCTTGCCGATGCTCAAGCAAGCACTCAAACATCTTAGTTCGCAAGGCAAAGCTCAGATCTTTGCCGGTACCGAAGCAGATGATGGTCAAGGTGTCAAGTTTGTCTAATCTTTCACCGTTGATAAAGGATACCCTTGATAAAGGATATCCAGTAATGCAGCCTTCAGCAGCAGCATGTGCCTTCAGGCCAGGATTGGTGTCTTGGACAGCAATGTGTTCAGCGTGCCTTGTTGTTCCAATCAGATGCGATTCCCTCGGCGAAAAAGTAAAATGAATGCCGTGTGTCTGCGAGTATGTACATCACTTTTTTTTTTTTTTTTTTTTCTTCTCTTTTTCGCTGTGCTCAACCGCTGTAGTATCGGTCACCATAGTCACCAAGACCAGGAATGATATAACTCTTTTCATCCAGCCTCTCATCTACCCATGCTGAAATCACCTTGACCTGTGGGAACTTGGTATACATGTTGTTCAGGCCTTCTGGACTTGCGATCAGGTTGAGGAAAAGAATCTGTTCCGCCTCGACTCCGTTCTCGATGAGCACTTCGATTGCCTTGATAGCGCTTCCACCAGTTGCGAGCATTGGATCAAGTAGCAACACCCACCGTTCCGCGATATCTTCTGGTAGCTTGGCATAGAAGAGTTTCGGCTTGGCTGTCTCCTCGTCACGCTGAATCAGGATCTTGCCGATGCGGACACTGCGACAGCACTCGCGCAGACCAGCTTCCATTGCCTCACCAGCACGAAGAATGGATACACCGCAGATTCGTCCTTGGAACGAGACTCCCGAGTATTCGAAGCCCGTGGGTGTCATGACTCTCTTGGGCACTGTGGGAAGGTGGTTGAGTCCTTCTTCCACTAGCAGACGAATAATTCGGTCAGAGTAGAAGATGAAGTCCGATCGTGGCGTAGATGTATCTCGGATGATCGTTAAGAGAGCATCCAACTGCGCCGTTTGTGGCAGACGAGCTGCGTTGGGTGGCAATATGGGACCAGCTTGTGCTGATGCTGCCCCCTTCTCGGCTGTCGTTGCTGCGCAAGCCATCTTGTGCGAGACCTGCAGCTGAGCCTATACGTAGCAGAATCCAATCTTGTATGCTTGCCGATCCTTATGCAGGTGTAATATGATGATGGTGGGATCTTGTACTGACCAAATCTATGAGCACCATATAAGATGGTCAAGCAGGATAGATGATCGTCGCAATGTTTGCTGCACCTGCTCACAGCATTGTCCGTGGTGGACGATTGCAGCTTAAAAAAAAAAAAAAAAAAAAAAAAAAAAAAAAAAGAAAAACCTCAACTCGGCAACGCAGCCTCATGACCCGAGCAAAATTTGGCTGAGGATCCGTGCACAAGTCCGGCCTGTGGGATCTTGAGACCTTCAAGCCTGCTTTTCTTGACAGTATGTCAAAGATAAGCTGTCCATAAGTTACCTACTCAGACAAACCAATTAGCACACGCACGATGGATTGAGCGGAACGACGTGAATGCAAATCGCGTTGCAGCGACATTGAGGTACATGCCAAGCAAGAACAAGTGCCCGTGACAGTGCGGAGGCTCTCCGCTCAGACAAGGAAGTCAAGACAGCCTCGGCTGCATCCTCTCCACAGAATAGGAAGCAAGTCTTTATTCTCAAATCCGCCCATGGCTCCAAGCAAGCTTGGCTGAGTACCTTCTCCAGCATCTGCTCCGTTGCTAGCCGGAGCGTCTACATCGTCCAAGTCGACTTGAGCTTCTCCAAGCTTAGCTACACGGATTCCACCAATGTGAGAGATCCATTCCAGCCGTGTCTCTCCAGCAGTACTGAACACAGGAGCTTGTCTGTGTTCCAGCTCAGTTAAAGGCCAGTCTCGTTCGGCTTCTTCAGTATTTCCCGGGCCGAAAGAAGTGCTCCTGTTCAAGCCAGACGCCGACAAAGCGGATGAGGTGGAGAAGCCTCGAACAAACTGTGTACTCGCTGGGCGTGTCATACCGCCATCCCTTCCGAACGCTGGTCGACTTGAAGACCATGTGCGACCGAGACCCGATGAGGCCAAGCTTCGCTGAGCGTTGTTGGATGTCAACCTGACTTGCTGGCCACCCAATGGCAATCCACCGCCGACTTGCGATTCAGGTCTGCAAGGCATCCAAGATGTCCATGTCGATCTTGCAAAAACGCCTACTGTGCCAACCGAGGATGATGCCGATGACGACAAAGGCGATGCTGGCGCTACACCACTGTCCGAGCTTGCTGCAGTGGAGGGAGCCCTTTCCATATCAACAGATCCTCTCTCGACCTTGCCACCGCCTAGCGTAGTGCCGAAGCTGGAGACGCTGCTTGTCGATCCCAACCCACGCTTACCGCGATGCAGGGCGATGTCCGCGGTACGCTTGAGACCATGACCTGACCGAGACTCTCGCGAACGCTCTTCGCAGTGCTTCGGGTTGGGACATCGTGAGAACCAAGGGTTGCTGCAAGCGTCATCGCCACGGTCGAGTGAGCCTGGCACATCAACACCTCCGAACACATCACATGCTTCCTCCTCTTCCTGCGGCTGAGATGGAGTGGTAGAGGCGTGTGCACCACTCTCGTCAAGCTTTTCAGCAGTGGATAAGGCGTCTACGACCGATTGTGTGCGCGCGAAACTGCTTCGCTTGGCTGTTGCCGAAGAGCTGCTGCGCATTCTAGCCCTTGTACCCCAATCCTGTGTAGCACTGCGACGAGCGGCTTCCAGGATTGGAACAAGTCCGTGTCCAAGCTCGCCTACCAGACTCTGGAGTGTGCCATTCTCGTAAGCCTGGAGCAGTGTTGGAAGCCTCTTGCCGAATCTGCTGTCCTCTGGTCCACGGTTTGAGTTGAAGCTCCTGGTGCATGAAGCATTGGAGCCAAACGAGGTTGCGCAATTGCGCTGGGCTTCAAAGAGCAGTGACGTGCCTTGACGTGAGCTGCTCCTGCTGCTGCTGCCAAGACGACGCTGCGGTCCACCTGAGGTCTGTACGACGGGTGAGAGGAATGGTGAAACAATACCCTGCGACACGTCCTCAGCGATGTCGTAGGGGCTGAGAAGCTTGCGAATGCACAACTCTTGCAAAGTGGGGAGGCCAGAGACTTGCTTGCCTCCAAGCACTCGCGATCGACCGGCCACCTTGCTGCGCGCAAAAGTACTCTGCTTTGTGGATGGCGTCAAGTCAAAAGCATCAGCGCCATCTGCCTCCTCGAAGGCTGCCTCAAGAATGCGCTGACGCTCCAGCTCAGCATCGTCTACTGCTTCGGCACCGATGGCTAGCTGGGAGGCAGTATCATCAGGGTCCAATGTGGTATCAGCAGCATCACGCTCGCTGATGGAGGCAAAGAGGTCCATACCAAGTCGGTCGATGCCCCTGGCTAGGAAGCCTTCGACTTGCATCTCGGAGCGAGTGCGGTCCATGTGCCTCGGTTGACGGGAGGAGCTGGGTGCGGGAGCACGGATGAGAGGTGGCGGCTGTTGCGACAGCGGGATTGCGTTGACGACTCCATCGGTACTAGCAGCGTCGTTGCGGATTGGCGTGGTGAAAGAAGCATCATGAGCTTCATCTACCTCGTCAAGCTCTGCTAGCTTGTTCAACGAGTGCTGCTGCCGAATGCGTTTGGCACGGTGACAGAAGAGCGGTCGAAGAGTCAGTACACCTGCCTTTGGTGGCTTGAGGAGGTAAGGGTTTGGGAACCAGGTAAAGACATCGAGCTTGAGACGAAGAATCTCGGCAGGAAGATACTGAAGCTCGTTGTTTGGAACATGCAATTCGGATAGGTTGTGAAGGTCGCCGATGGCGGGTGGCAAGAACTTGAGCTTGTTGGAGCGTAATGATAGGACGCGAAGGTTCTGCAGCTGGAAGAAGGCGCTTGGCAGTCGGGTGAGGGAGTTGGAACCGAGAAAGATGCTGAGGGTTGCCTGACGGTCACGGTGATCGCGGTAGGAGCCAGCCGAAGGAGAGCTGAGTGTGCTCATGGCACTGTTCGTGCGGGCAAAAGACTGGGGACGTCCTAAGCTGGGCTGGAAAGCAGACTGACTGCGTGACAAGGTGCGTTTGGCGGTAAGAGAGGTTTTGGCGGAAGCAGCGTCGTTGTGGATATGAGCGCTGAAGGGGGCGAGATAAGATTCGTGGCGGACAAGACCGCCGGTCTTGGACTGAATCAGATGCTGTGGCCCGGGAGAGAAGAGAATCTCGGCGTCTTGATCTGGATCGTATCGGGGCGGTGGGAGGGCAACAAAGCGAGAGAGATCTGCTATGGTGGGAAGAATGTCGGTGATGTTCTTGGAGCTGAGATCGATGAGACCCTGTTTGGGTTGCTTCTTTTCGTGGAACATGGCCTCGTCTACTACTTTGCTCCAGAACTTTGCGATACGTGACCATCGATAGGACTCTGCCTGTCTGCGTTGTTCCTGCTGATCTAGTGGAGGGGATGTGGAGGCAACATTGTCGCTGGAAGTAGCAGGAGACGAGCCTGATGTGGAGGGATTAGATGCAGGCGAGACTGCAGCAGAAGCCGTCTGCGGGAGTAAGAGCGAAGAGCTGGAATGCTGTCTGGCTCTGCGTGTTGCTGCAAGAAAAGGATCGAAGCCGGTTTCAGGATGGAGCTGCTCGCTGTGGTCCGAGAGGAATCCGTCGTCGGACGAGTCGGCATCGTCCTCATTCTGCTGCTGCTTTGACTGCCCTGGATGGATAGTTGAAGATGAGAGGGCGCGAGATGGAGTTGCGAGCAGCTGAGAAGGCGAAGCGAGGTGTAGCTGTTTCCAGGCTTCCGAGAGGAGGATGGGTGAACGCGATTGCGATGGAGTGTGTGCTGGGTCGACAGACGAGCTTGGCCTCCGAGGGCTGGCGACTTCAGCCATAGCTGCTTCCATATTGATGGCCGACAATTGAAGAGATATGGAGGTCTAGTGCTGAGGAGGAGGAGTAGCAGCAGATCAGTGATGGGATCGAGTCTCGTTCCGTTCGGAGAGGCAAGGACTTGGCAGGTCAGAGAGAGAGACAAGGCCGAGACTTGATTCCCGCTCAGGCGTTCAAGTGACAGGCCACCGCTGAAACATTTTGCGGCAGCAGAGCGCGCTCTCCTTCTTTTCCTCAACACGTCACAGCCGAAAAATGAAAACCGCAGGCTGCCTGCACAGAAAAGGTGGAGAAGTCGAGGTGGAAATTTCGCACTGGCAAAGTGCCCCGGTGTTGGTCTCTGGCTTTTGAGACGCGTCTGGGCCTACCAAAACAATGATACCTCGAAAACCGACATCTGCCACACCAACGTCTCACTACCATCAAGCTCTGACAAAACGATCGCTGCTCGGACACCTGTACTGATCAACATGGTCCCACAAGTGTCATCTAACGCTACGTCCCTATCGACCAAGGAGAGGCACTATGCACAACTTGCAGGCAAGCTTGGAACGCTGGCCAACACCTTCGAAACCACAAAACAGCACTTGAACTTGGCAGCAGAACAAGCCTTCTACATGCGCAAGCTTGGTATTGCCCAGGCGTCAACGTAAGCTTCATAGCTCTTTGTGCAATGGTAATGAAGACTCGCAACTGACTAAGCCGCTTCATTTCGACCCTCGCATCGACTCACTTTAGATTCATGGCGGTACTACACCAAGTCGATCGCGAGCAGGAGGCAAGCCCCACTCACGAGGCATGATGCCAATCTGCCGCCAACACATCTGTCCTAGCTCAAAGGCAACTGTATCATTCTTGATCGGACGCTTGGCTACTTGGCTACTTGGCTACTTGGCTGCTTTTCTGTACTTGTGCCCTAGCTCTATCTCTGTATAATCACCACCCCTTTTGCTGCTAGCAAACGCGCTTCGGCCTTCTTCCGATCAGCCCAGAAAAAGGCAAAGTATGCGACATAGGACCAGAGCAGGTCAATGCGCCGAGGAGAGGCGTGCTATTACCGTGAGAATGAGTGCAAGCCCCAAGTCAACGCAGCTCATCTTGAGGCTGTCAGGCCATTCTGCTGGCAAGAAAAATTGAGCTCACAAGGCGTCTTGAACGCCAAGCCATGATATTAACCTTAACCAAAAAATAAATAAATATAATATATAAAATTAATAAAATAATAAAATAATAAAATTAATAAAATAATAAAATAATAAAAAGGCGAGCTGCAGGGGCTTGTGTGGGAAAATCACACCCACGTTGAAGGAGAGCAACAGACTGCGCTCTACTGCCTGATGGAATCTCGTTTAGCCTGAGAAAAACTCAGCTGGCCAACAAAGGCGGCGTGGACGTGCGTGTTGGGGCACAGTCCTGCCTTGCTCTGCTCCAATTTGGCTCCCTGTTAATGGCCCGAGCTTGCTCGTAGACTCTTGCTTCCTCTCACTACTCGCCTGACTCTCGCGAGGCTCGGCCGATCGTATCTGTCGGAGCTTCCGTGCTTACTTGTTCTTCACCTCTTCACTCTCATCTGCTCAGCTATCTATACCGGCCCATCCGATCAACTCGCTGCTACATTTCAGCATTCAACGGCTGAGGCAGGCTGGCTTTGCAAGCTTGATTGCTTCAGCATCCTCGATATAGTTTGGCGACTAGACAGCGACGCATTCGGCCATGTCGAAGCACCACCAGGGATCGCATTCAACCACGCGCCCTCTTTCGAGCGGACAGCAAGATCAAGCTTACGATTCAACGCCAGCCGCATCCAACCCTAATCCTGGCCTCTCTATCTCCACCACAGCCATCACGCACGATCAAGGTGATCGAAACATGTCCTATCGATCGGCACCAAGCACTGCTCGTCCTCGTTTAGCTGGCAGGCGAACCATGTCGGCCAAATCCCAAATCCGACGTCTCTCTTCCCTCTTTGTACCGCCCAATGGTGGGCCTTGCGATAATACTGCTCCTTCTGCCTCTTCCTCTCGTCTTGGCTTCCTCTCCAAGGCCATCCCCCCTGCACTCTCAGGCTCAGCTTCGCTCTCTTCCCTTCGAGAGCCTCCCAGCCCAATTCACTCCTTCTATGGAAACATCGTCGACCAGCGTCCTCCGCGTGGACGCAAACGTAGCAAGCAAGACATTCGCTCCTACGACGATGCAAAGTTCCAAGACGAAATGGATCTACCTCGATCCGGCGCAAACGGCATCCGAGTCTGGTACCAATCTTACACCACCATCGACTGGATTCACGATGCCATCAAGGAGAGCTCCCGTTTGCGTCGTATTCGCAATCTCAACGGCGTTCGCGGCTTTGCCGTCAACATGTGGGATCGCTTGCAAGGTTGGCTCATTGTCACCATCACCGGTATCATCACTGCTCTAATTGCTGGATGCATCGTCAAGTCCGAAGCCGTACTCTTCGATCTCAAAGATGGTTATTGTGCAAGGCACTTGAGCCTCGCAAAGCGTTTTTGCTGTCCATATGGCGGCGCGCCAGACTGGGATCATCCTTCTGTGGCCAATTCTTCCTGGTCTTACCGCACCCCCTTCATGCCCGCTGCCACTGCCTCTTCCTCTCCAGCCGATGCGATTCAGCCCTTGCTGTCCGGTGTTGCTGTTGGCAACCGCATCCTTACTGGCTGGTCAGCACCCGTCGCTGGCAGTCCAGCTTGGTACAAGTATGCTGCTTCTGCCGCCAACGCTACCAACACTACCCTGCTCGCCATGCTATCGCCCCTCGATCCCGAGACTGAAGACTGTCCCGGCTGGATCACCTGGGCTCAAAAGTTTGCCTCGCATAACAACAAGAATTCGTTGGCCGGCTACTCGATGTACTTCATCGTTGCCGTCATTTGGGCTTCCATTGCAAGCATCCTCACCATTTACCTCACCTCGAGCGAACTCTATCTCAAGGATAGCGAGTTAGCTTCCCCTACCTTGTCCATCATCAACCAGAAGCCCTCCACGTCGGCCCAGGATGACGAGGTCACTGCTAACCAGCCCGACGAGTCCACTCCCCTGCTCGGTCAGCAGCGCAACGGCCAAGCGCCCCAGTCCCAACCTTCCGCCGCAGAATCCAATGGAAGGGCCGATCGCGTCACCTCTCACAATTTTGCCCGCATCGCCAACGAACAACGTGCAGAGAAGGCCATCCTGCCCCGAAAAGTGCTTTACTTTGCTACCGGATCAGGTATCTCGGAAGTCAAGTGTATCTTGAGCGGTTTCGTCATCCACGGCTACCTCGGTTTCTGGACCCTCTTCACCAAGTCCGTCGGTCTCACTCTTTCCGTCGCATCAGGTCTCTCGCTCGGCAAGGAAGGTCCCTTTGTGCACATTGCTTCCTGCGTTGGCAATATCGTCTGTCGTGCTTTTCCCAAGTATGAGAACAACGAAGGCAAGCGTCGCGAGATGCTCTCGTGTGCTTGTGCTGCTGGTGTTGCTGTCGCTTTCGGTGCTCCCGTCGGTGGCGTGCTCTTCTCGCTCGAGGAAGTCAGCTACTACTTCCCAAGCAAGGTCATGTTCCGTTCCTTCTTCTGCGCCATGGTTGCTGCTGCTACCCTTCGCGCCATCGATCCATTCGGCACCGGCAAGATCGTCCTCTTCCAGGTGACCTATGACAAGGACTGGCACTTCTACGAGATGCTCTTCTTCATCCTCATTGGTATCTTTGGTGGACTCTACGGTGCTTACTTTACCAAGCTCAACATGTTTTGGGCCAAGAATGTCCGCGCAAAGTCCTGGATGGCTCATCACCCTGTCTTTGAGGTCCTCCTCATTACCCTTGTCTCGGCTGCATTCTCCTTCTACAACGGCTACACTCGCATGGGCGGTGTCGAGCTCATTGCCGATCTCTTCAGCGAATGTCACGAGCACGAGTCGCTCGAGGGGCTGTGCGTATCGCAGCCTTCGCAGATCGGACCTCTAGTTCTGGCTATCTTGTGTGCAATGGTCATCAAGGGCCTGCTGACCATTATCACCTTCGGTATCAAGCTGCCTGCTGGTATCTTCATCCCCACATTGGCTGTTGGTGCCTGCTTCGGTCGCATCGTCGGCTTGCTGGTCCAGTACGCTCAGTGGACTCACCCTGAGCTGCGCTTCTTCAGCTGGTGTCCTGCCTCTGATTCGGCCTGCATCGTTCCTGGTGTATATGCAATGGTCGGCGCCGCCGCTGCCTTGTCTGGTGTCACCCGTACCACCGTCTCGCTAGCTGTCATCATGTTCGAGCTCACAGGAACACTGACCTACTCGGTGCCCGTCATGCTTTCCATTCTGGTCGCCAAGACCATCGCTGACGCACTCGAGCATAAGGGCATCTACGACCTCGTCATTGACTTCTCCGGTCTGCCATACCTCGACAGCAAGACCGAGTACATCTGGAACGGCGTCAATGTTACTGATGCTATGGAGACCCAAGTTGAGGTAATCTGCTTGGATGCATACAACACGATCCAATCGCTCGGCGAAAAGCTCGATCGATTGGCACGTGGGTCGGGATACACAGATGGAGGTTTCCCCATCGTTTCTCGTGTCACACCCTCGCCCTCTTCCGCTCAGCCTGGTTCGCCTCCACTCTCAGCAAGCATAGGATCCATGGCTGACCTCATCCAGCAAGCTCCAAGCCGTGGCTCCGGCTCGGGCTCCGACTCTTACCAGATGGTCGGCTACATCGCAGCAAGCGAACTCGAGCATGCACTTGCACGCGCTGTGCGTGCAGACACCGACATGCGACCTGAGACGGCGCGTTGCTCGTTCAAGAACCTTGCCTTCGTGCGCGCCGAACAGGAAGGCGAGGCTGGTGTCCGCGACTCTGTCCTCTTCACCGCTTCAGACCCACTTGACCTGAGCAGGTACGTCGACAAGGCGCCCATCACCGTGCAAGTCCATTCTCCGCTCGAGTTGGTCCATCAATACTTCACAAGACTGGGTGTCAGGTATCTGATTGTAGTGGACGAGAAAGGGTTGTACAGGGGTGTCATTTTCAAGAAGAGCTATTTGAAGTTCTTGGCCGATATGGAGGAGCAGGCTGAGCACTAGAGCTATTGCTGGTCTCACATGTCTCAAGGATAGTACGTTTCACCTACATAGCATATATACCTCAGGAAATTTTGTTCGCTCATATGCTGTTTCACGACCTTGCATACGAATCGATGGATGCTTTATTGTCAGCGCGCTTGTGTGTTTCGACAGGATAGAAACGAAGGAGTGCGATCTTAAGATAGTCATGTAGCATTGCTTTGGCTTGAATATGAAAATCAAGTCTAAACAATACAGTCGCAGTTCAGGAAGAGTAATGTTGATGATGTTGGGCATAACTTTGCCAAACAATGTGGTCGACAGTCTTTAGTGCAGTAGAATGATTTTTTGCCTTTTGCATCACAGTTCTTGCTTCCATGTCGGCCTTGTTTTCGTCTCGGTTGGAGCGATTGGAGACTGCTTTGGTTCTCTTTGGTGGTGAAGCTGAGGTCGCTGATCTATAGTGTGGGTGGTGTGGATGGGGGAATGGCGGGAAACCTTGGTGTTGGTTGTAAGGTTTTGTTAAGGGTTCCCGTGAGGCGATTCGTAGCGAGGAAGGGAGGACTGTGCCAGTTGGGAAAGAGGATTGTGGTTTGGTGGCTGATGAAGAGCCGCGTTGAGGAATGGCCATTTCGGATTTGTTCAGTCGAAGGGGTTGAGTCGAAGTGTACGGATACATGTTCTTTGCAGCTGAAGGAGGCGACGTTTGTTCGGGCTGCTGACGAGCACAAGGCTGTTTTTTCAGGACAGAGTGATACATCGTTCCTTTGCCGCCCAATCCAGGACCAAGTCGAGAAGCAGGTTCAGCAGAAGCCGAGGAGGCTGTTGAGGCTGTTTTGCTCCTCTGCACACCTCCTCCTGCACCTCTAATCTGAAGTGGTCGAAGCTTGTTCGCCCTTGCCCATGCTGATCCTTCACTGGCTGCTTGTGGAAGAGCTCTGATCGAAGCTACCACCTCTTCCTCCCCATCGTCCACCCCGAACGTTTCCGGCGAAAAGACAGCATCGCTAGGCGTCGAATAGCACGCGACCAGATCACTGTAATCCCTAAATGCAGTCGAGTCGCCGTTGCCTTCTCTCACACCACCGTTGTTGGCTGCGATTGCTCGCTGCAGTAACAGACTCTTTCTCGGCGCTAGCGATTGTGCTGCTTGCTTTTGCTTGGTCGGAGATGCAGATTGCTGCACAAGAGGTTGGAAACGGTGCTGAACCTCCTTGTTAGCAGGGCTGGCGAGAAGGGCTTCCTTGAAATCTGCGGTGGTCATTTTCCTCTCGCTGGTACTCCATGGTTGATTGGTAGACTTGACATTCAACACTGTGCCTGTTCGATTCAGGCTTTGTGCTTTGATCGGTGTGCCAGACTCGATATAGTCATAAGGTTGACGACGAGTGGAGTAAGGTGTGTCGTTTTCGCTCATTACTTCAGAATAAGGACGGTAGGGACGAGCGACGAAAGACTCTTCATCCTCCTCATCCGCCATTTGCTGATGTGGTTGGGAGGAAGTGAAATCTGTGACTGCTTTCCAGACTCGGCTTATGCCCAGCCCGAAAAATCCGGCTGAGGTTTCGTTCTGTGCATTCGAGGTAGTGTAGAAGCGGCTTGCTTTGACTGGAGTATCGTCCTGTGGAGCGGGTGAGACAGCATCGTAGGTCTTCGATCTGGAACGAAGACCAAAGTTGAGGATTGCTGGGCGGAAGGGCGATTCTTTGGGCTGTGGTGAAAGTGGTTTGCGCCATCCCAAGCTGGGTTGCTTTGTCAGGAATGGATCATCAATGTCTTCTTCTGCAATATCCCGGCTGAGGCTTGTGTATCGTCCATCAGTACATGTGGGTGCATCAAGATCGACTGCTTCAAACTCTGCTTTGTACTTCATCTCTCCACTTCCCACAGAGGAGTGTTGTTGCAGGCGAAGAGCAATTCTCCTTTTCATTCCAATCACCAGTGTTGTCCCGCATCCTCTCTCTACTGAGTGCATGTTCCAATCGACGAGAACCTTGCTTGTTCGGTCCCACTGTATACTTTCCTTCATCGGCAGCTTGAATCTGTTGAGGATCCACTCCAACCCAACGCTTGATCTTGACCGCGAACCAGCTATTATTTTGAACTCCTGTTTCGTATTTCCGTCCACCCTCGCCTCTTGTCTGGGGTGGTTCGGGCTTGCTCCCTTCTCCTAGCAGAGCTAAGGACAAGATTTTGAACGTGCCAGGGTATCTCTCATTCTCCTTATCTCTACTTCCTACGCCACTTTCTGAATCACTACCGAATGAGCTATCCCCTTCGTCACCCAACTTACTTCCTTTTTGCCGTTTAGGCTTGCTCGGATCGGAGTAGTGGAGATCGTGCTGCCCGGGCTCGAGCTCGTCTGGGAGCACAGGTGTTCGATCGTAGCCCCACATGGTCGTGATGGCCTGCATCTCACGTTTTTTAGCTTGGCGTGATGCTCGAGCGTCGTATCGAGCACGTTTGGAAGCTTCAAGACGAGATGCATGGTGAATTCAACCCCAGATACGACCGCCAATGGAGAATATCAGGAGCAAGCCGACAAAAGCAAAGATCGGGGTGAGGTAGATTAGCTTGAACCCTCCATTGCTTCCGTGTCCTGTTTTGTTGGGTAGCGCCGAGGGAATAGATGTGCTCGAGGTCGAAGAGGAAGTGGAAGACAGTTCAGACGAGGAGTCGTGTGAAGAGGTGTGCTGAGATGTAAGTGTAGCGCTAGGTCGTGAGGATAGGAGAGAGGAGGTAGGCAGTTCCTTGGACATTTCGAGATCTTCGCTGGCGCTAGTTGGTGCAAGTAGGATGGTCGCGGTAAAACCAGGTGGTGTCGGTGTAGCGATGGACATTGATGCAGGCGGCGTCCACAGGCCATTATTGTACGTCACCGCAGGGGCTGTCTCATCTTCACCAGCTAGGCCTTCTTCGTCCTCGACTTGTCGCTCAACGAAGATCAGTGGGTCGACAATTGGGAAGAATGGGTCTGTAGCTTTGCTGGCTGGGGTACTGGAGGATGTGGAGGGGTCGATGGGCGGATTATGATTGATTCCTAGCCTCGGCTTGGTGTTGGGCTGTCGTTTGCGCCATGCTGGAGAGGAGTCTGGCCACATCTTGTGCGCAAGGTGCCTTCAGCTTTGACAAAGATTCCAGTGCCCTTGATTGTAGAGGCAGTCTAGGTTTGGTGTGCTATATCTAGGAGTATATGATTGTGGTGAGTTTAATAATGATGAGGTTGGTATGATGGAGTAAAGTGAAGAGACAATGGTGAAGCTCGGTACTGAGTGTCTCTCAGAGCTAGGCAAGGACGAGACATGGCCTCCGTGCACACTCGAGCCGTGCAAGCGGGCGCTATCACTACATGGATCACATAGTTCTATATTGAATCTGCTAGACCACACCAGGGATGTAGAAGTTTGACACACGGTAAGGGAGGCAGTCGGAAGTGGTTTGCTTCTCTCGAACGGATGCTGCATAAAGCAAGATCGGCAAAGATAGAAGGAAATCAAACTCGGATGCATCTGCGTTTCGATTCGGTTAGGCAGGATCGACGGTGCAGAAGTCACTGGAAAGGGAGGATCGAGGCAAGCTGAGATAGGAGATGAGGAAGGGGAATGAGACAAATTGATATAGCCGGCAGGATTGGACACCTGCCAGAAACTGCGAATTGCAGATGGCGTGTGTGTATGCCATTGATTTTTGAAATGATTTTCGTGACCAACATTTTCGCAACATTTCGGGGCTCTTTTTTTCGCGACCAGAATCTCACCGAGGCAAAGCGAAGACTTGATGGTCATAATGTTGCACAGACTCAGACCGCAAAGTCAGCTTGTCATAATGTTGCTGTGGCTTGCTGTGCACAAGAATTCAAGCCGAGCCTGTTGATGGTTTATCACTTGCGTCGCCTCCTCGAAACAACAGTCTCGAACCCGTCCTCGTCAATGATCGGCTGCTGAGCTTCCCTGGGCGCCGCTCTTGCCTGAGCCTGCTCCAAGTCAACCCTCGCACCTTGCCTGTCAGCCTCCATGATCCCGCCATGTGACTGAACCATACTCCTCGCAGCTTGCATATCTTCATCGTCGCTGTGCCCTCCGTCCACCTCTCCATCCTGGTTTGGCCCCTGTTCGAAAGTTGCCTTCTTGCCCTTTAGCTCCTCATACGCCTTCTCGAGCTCTGCCACAGCTGCTTGGGCACGAGCAAAGTCATCTCCGGGAGCAAAGATGACGCGATGCAGCCCGACGATACGGCCAGCGACCCAGTCTGGAGATCCATCTTCGAGACGAGCTTCGAACTCGTCAATCATGTAGTGTTCGAGGATGTCTGCGAGATCGTCGAGATCTGGTTCGAAAGCGGAGCCAGGGTTGCCGTATTGATCACAGAGATGAGAAAGAAGGAAGTCGCGCTTGTCGGCCGAGTCAGAGCCTCCCCATTCTTCGGAGACGGCGAGACGCATCGCTGGCCAAAGCTCAAAGGTGAGCATGATGGATTTGGCAAAGAGGAGTTGCTGTGGAGTTGGCTGGTCGTCCATTGCGACGGCGGCACTACTTGAAGGTTGAGCGGACATGCTTGTAGTGATGCTTTCGGCTCAGAGCTTGGCGGATATAAGTGACAGGCGGATATTAGTGACAGGCGGAAGAGGCTGAAGGTCCGTATATGAGCGGGAAGAAGTGGTGTCAAACGTCGAGCGAAAAATTCCACATTTCCTGCAGCGTCTGTACTGCAACGATTGTCCGAAACCCGAGTTTTTTTTTCTTCTTTTCCTGACGTCACGGCCGAGTTGAGACCGAGTTGGTGAGAGGGTTGAGGTGTTGAGGTATTGAGGTGGAGGTTTGTCCTGATGCTCTTTCAGCTTTCATTCGTAACCACACCAACGAGATCGCATCACTTTGCAACACTACACCATCACTTTCCAACGCTACACCATCATTCCCGAGCATCGTCCTCACTTCTTGGTGCTAGGCTCGTGCAAAGATGCCGAGAAACATCGTCTCCATTCCGCCTAAGCGCACTACATCCATCTCGACTCCTCTAGCCACAGCCATCCGCAACTATATCTCCCACAACTACAGTGATACCCATCCAGACGCCTTCAACAATGACATTCGCGACTTTGTTCTGCTTCGAGACCAGCTCAGCTCGAACGAGATCCACATCTCTGCCATTGAGCCTCTGCTTCGGTACCATGCGCAGCTAGTCTTCTTCAGCACCAAGTTCCCATCCAACATCAATCTCTCTTTCCCGTGGTCGCTATCTTTTTCACCTTCGCTTCCATCATGGACCAACACCATCTCCGGCGCTATGGAGGCGAACAAGTCCGCCGAAGCAGGTCCTGCATCGGGTATTGCATATGCGACAAGTGATACGGTAGCGCAACCTGATCTTGCATTTGAGAAAGCCAACGTGCTGTTCAGCTTGGCAGCGCTGTATTCTGCATTAGGATGCGCAGAATCAAGGACAGACAAGGAGAGCATCAAACGCGCCACTGCTTGGTTCCAGAATGCCGCAGGTGTGGTACAGCATATCATCGACAATCTCGTCGAGCCCACACGACACCTAGCACCACCATGCGCTGATCTCAGCCCTCGTCTGCTCAGCTGTATCAGGGATTTGATGCTTGCTCAGGCGCAAGAGTGTTTTTGGCAGAAAGCAGTGATGGATCGAATGAAGGATGTCACAATAGCAAAACTCGCAGAGAAGGCCTCAGACTTCTACGCTGCTGCTTTGCAAGCGGTGATAAAGTCACGAACCGATGATGCTAAGGCGGAACCGGCAGATACGGCAAAGATCACCCTTCCTTCTGGATGGGAGAACCATCTCACGGTAAAGCGGTGGCATTTCGCTGCAGCTGCACAGTACCGCAAAGCATGCGACGACTTGGGTGCGAACCGGTACGGCGACGAGCTCGGTCGACTGCATCTGGCGGAACAGCACGTCAAGAAGGCACTCGATTCAGCTAAGCGCGGTGTCAGTGATGCAATCACCAGCGATCTTAAGAGTTTGCAAGGTGTCTTGCAGTCCAACATTGCACGAGCGAGTCGTGACAACGACCTCATCTATCTGGAAGCTGTGACACCCGCTACGCAGCTCAGCCCGATCCAGCCTGCAGCGATGGTCAAACCTGTGGTACCTGTTGAGATTGCCCAGCCGATTGCGCATCTGCGTGACGCACCGCAGCCTGCGTTTGGACGACCACTGTTTGCCGAATTGGTGCCCTATGGAGTACATCTCGCAATTAGTATCTATGATGACAGGAAGGATTCTTTTGTCAGGGACACTATCGCAAGCAGGAGAGACGAACTAGATGCATTGGCGACAAGTATGCTGCAAAGCCTCAATCTGCCCGGGTCGCTGCAGGCTCTAGAACAGCCGATGGGTCTTCCGCCTTCGCTGTTACGAAAGCATGAGGAGGTGGTAGCAGAAGGTGGACTGGAGAGGCTACAGCGCATCGCTCATGACGTGGCGCGAATCGCTGCTACTGACCAAGGCACACTAGCCGAAGCACTGGCGCTGATTGAACACGAAGAGCGCGAAGACGAGACAGTTCAAGCGAGCTTTGCAGGGAAAGGCTGGGGTCGACAGAGAAGTGCTGAAGTCAACAGAGAACTCAAGGCACAGGCGGCAGAGTATCACGGGACATTGATGAAGGCAGCTGCTTCCGATGATATCGTGCGACGCAAACTCGAAGATTGGGAGGATCTCATCGGTGTGCTCGGTGGCAACGTGCAAGGATTAGAGGCATTCGTTCCCTCATCAAACCCCTCTCTTTTTTCGGCGAGTAGTGGATCAAAAGGGTCGGACAAGCAGATACAAGCGGTCCAAGCACTGCGTGAAGGACTCGAGCACCTTGATGATCTACTCGATTCTCGTTCCGCTTGCGTGACCGAGGCGAAAGCTATGGCTGCAAGTGATGACATCCGTCCACTGGTAATGCGGGAGGCTGCTTCCCTCTCATCCTCTACCTCGTCACCTGGTGGAGTTGGTGGGGGTGAGGTGTCAGCGGCAGACTTTGAGGGGCTCTTCGATCGCGAATTGGCCAAATACTCTCGATTCAAAGCCGATCTCGACTCATCCGCCGCTGCTCAGCAAGACCTTCTCGATCGAATCCAAGAGTGCAACACGGCTTTCGTCGAAGCTCGCAAGTCCGACGCTACGATCCAACGTCGTGAAAAGGCACTGCAGAACCTCGATGCTGCCTATGTCAAGTACAGAGAGCTGTCGAGCAACTTGGTGGAGGGACTGGAGTTCTACAATGGCTTGGCAAAGATCTTGAGTGGATACAGGGATGGTGTAAAGGAATGGGCTAGAGCAAGACAAGTCGATCTACATTGGTTGATTCATCAGATGGGTAAAGTCAGTGTCCAGGATCAGCAGCAACAGCAGGGGCAACAACAACAGCAGTATCAGCCGCAAGAGCCAAGGCAGCAGCAAGGGTACGTATCGGAAGCAGCTCCGCCACAGGCCGAACAAACCACTCCTCGCAGGTCAACCAGGACCAAGAATCGCAACAGCCAGCAAGCTGCCCAGACTCCACAGCAAGTTGCAGCTCAGGGACAAAGTCAACCGCCAGCAGCACAATTTCAACCACCGCCTCCGCAGTGGGGCGCTCTTCCACCGGGTGCAAAGATTCAGTTCAAAGATTAGACGAGGACTTCCACAAATGCAAATTCATCGTCATTCACTCCTTGTCATTTGCGTTGAAGCTTTCCCAAAGTCTGCAACGCTGTCCGCGGCCACAATCAATGATACGCGACGTGTTGTTGATGTTGAAATGTCCATGTTGTGTGATTGCAAACGATGTGTGAGTACAAATCCGGTCAGACTGAGACTCGAGAGAAGTCTCATCAAAGGAGCGAAGAGGCGAGCGCCAGACTAGCGACAACCGCAGCAACATTTGATAGCGAGATCTTGCTCGACAACGCACCCGAGCTCGATCCCGACGAGCTGCTGGACGAGGAGGAGGAAGACTTGGTAGCATTTCCGATTGGCTTGGCCACGTAGGCAACACGGTTCATAGCAGCGGCAGCCTGGAAGACGCTTCCGTTACCCTGGTCGTAAAAGTCGGTAAGCAGGTAGGTTGGGTAGCTGCTTCCATGCATGCTGGCACAGTTGTCGGCGTCGGTCATGATCGAGTTGTAGCCGTTGGTAGTGGCGATCTGAGCCGTGTTAGGGACGAAGACGTTGGTACCAAAGAGATTGAAGGTCGAGTCAAGGTAGTGGTTGACCAAGTACATCATGTTGGTTGGAGAGCTTCCAGAGTTGATCCTGTCAACGGTGCAGTTGAAGGGAACCGAGATCTGGTTGTACGGGTTCTCCCAGGTGTTCTGGAAGTGAGAGAGAATGTAAGGCACCGAGGAGACATCGGCAGAGTTGTCGATAAAGGTGACAACGGTCTTGCCAGCATCGATCATGGAACCAAGCGAAGGCCAGGCATTTTTGGCCAGCGCCGCAGCGCCTGGGCTGGGCGCGAATGCCTTGGAAGAAAGGCCGGTGGACTCGAATGCAGTTGCGAAGGAGGAAGCAGGCTGGTCGTCCGAGTTAACGATGAGGATGGTGATGACATCATTAGGGTTCGAGTCGACCCAGGACTTGACTTCTGTGAGGTAGCTTTCGAGCGTGCCGCCGTTTTCGAGTTGACAGCTGTGTGTGAGGAAGAACGTGGGGTGAAGTGTTGAGATGAGATGAAGTCAGTGCGCGAACGCTGTGGGTACTGGTGGGGCAAAGCTGTCAGGTTTGGCAGCCACTGAGACTAGCAAAAACTTACGAAGAATGGCAGAGATCGATAGCAGAGGCCGAAGTCGAGTTGGTGCTCTTGTGTGCCTGTACCTGAAGCAAGCGAATTCCATCGTTGAGCTGCTGAGTGACGGACTGCTCTTGGTTTTTACCGCTCGAGGCACTCTGAAGGGTACCAAGGGCATAGCTGTTGTGAGCACCGATATAAGTGACATTCGAGTAAAGACGACTGCACAGCGATGCATCGCCGTTGCAGACACTAGCTCGTTTGGCAAGTGCTGGGGCCTCGAAATCAAGGCCACGCTCGGAGGGAAGGGCGACTGCTTCGTCGCAGTTGAAGCTAGCGTGCACGGGTTGGCACTCTTGAAGCGCCTGTCTCGACTCGATGGTGGCCGCAGAGGAGGCAGGGCTAGGAAGAGCGCTGATGACGTTGGTGGCGATAGCAATCGCTAGAGCGGCGCTAAGGAGCTGAGTGAAACGGAACATGTTGAGGAAGAAGGAAGACGCCGGCGTCTTATGGAACAAAGCGATGTTGTGGATGAAAGTGAGCCAGTCACTTGCAAGTGTTGGAATGGAGAAGAAGAATGCTGTTAACCACGAAGAAGGAACTGATGGTGATGGTGGTGGCAAAGATCGGAGGCGAATTGGACGTGAGACTGCGTGACTCGGGGAAGAACAGTCACGAGACAGAGTGACCGTAAAGGGAATGTGAACACGCCAAGCTTTTGGCACTGTAACAAAGTGGTGACAGTGGAAGATGAGAGGTGATGGCGAAGAAGAGTGACTGTAAGAGGAAAGAGTGGAATCAGGTGGAGGGAGAGTGATATGTTCCTAACAATCGTCGGAGTTGGAGGGAAACAAACCGTTCTTGACGAAGCCGAGAAGCCGACAAGGGGGATTATGTCAGCTTCGGTCAAGCCGAGTTGAGTCGAGTCCTTCTCTGGCGGTCATTCAATTCGTATTTTTCCCTCTCCCGTTCTTCTCCACAGTCACATTGAGGTGGTGTGTTTCTTTCCAAAGTCACAACAAGCAACACACGCACACACGCACACACGCACGCACGCACGCACTGCAGGCATCAGATCATGCTTCGGGCCGACGGAAGCTTGTCAATGCGTCCAGTCTCAAGCACGAAAGCGCCGACGACTCGGCAATGTAGTTTACTCGCTAAGCCAAGTCACGGCAGGGCTGGAGAATGTAGGTGTGTGTATGTGTGTGTTCTTTCAAAGGGGCGGTACATGATGGTCGCTGTGTCTGTAACACCAACAGGGTAACAGCTTGTGGTTCAATTTCTCTATGTTCGACTGGGCTTGAATTTTGAGGGGAAAGTGCACAAATCAGCTAGAAATAGTTGATATATATATATATATATATATACCTTAGCCCCATCAAGTCGTTGTTATGACAACCTTGATGCATTTCACATGCATGTCGCTTATTCACCACCTTGCTCTATCAGTGTCTAGGGTGAACCTTGTAAAGCCGATTGGAATGCCGACGTATCTTCAACTGAAATTCACCGTGCCGGGTCTGCGAAGACGCTTGCCGAACTGCTTTCTTGCCTGGCTGACCAAACCCTTATCAAAATGCTCTTTCTAACAGCGTTTGACCAATTTGCACCAAATCAAACTTTTTGCGTTTTTTAAAAACACGTCTTTCTCCATTTTATTTTTCCCATTTTTGAGCACCCAAAAATCACGTCTTTCTAAAAACACATTTGCAACAAAGGTGTCATTTGGTTCGATATAACATGTATCTTATCAAATACATTTTCGCTGATGAAGGACATGACACACCAGTGTGATGAAGTAGTGAAGTCGACGAGGAAGCAAGCAGGCTTGGATGGTTACTCGGGTCCATAGCTGTTTAACGCTGTTGCAGACGTTGGCAACGGAGTGCTAACGGCCAAGTATCATAAAATCGAACTCGATCGCAGCAAGATGACGGAAAGGTGATGGAGCACTGTGGTGTGAGAAAGAGGACAAAAGAAGCCTGGATTTGACGTGAATCTGAGCGAGACAATTGCTGCACCTGACATGGCGTGCGCATCTCAGCTGGACCACACCTGTTGCAACCCGCAATCTGACATGGTTTCCGTATCGTTCGTTCGACTGATTCTCACTTGCGCTCTGCGTATCGTGTGTCGAGCAGTCAACCTCACGAACATCTGGCAGACATGTCGCCAAGAAACATACTCGATATCTCATTTCCACAAGTCTAGCGACACAATCTTTTCCAAGTCCTGCTATCTTTACTCAGAATACTTGCCATTCTCACAAAGGCAGACACGATGCTGGTGAGGATAACGGGAAACTTGCTTTGACTACCAGAACTAAAACAACGAAACACTTGCGAATTGCTATGCGCGAGAACAACTATTGATTGATGACATTGGATATGAGATGCTACGGGATCAACTCCAGAACCGAAATGGGCAAGACTGAAGGTCTCGAAGGAGACAAGTCATTGACCCGCACCTGAGACTACAGCTCAAGCTGTCTCAATGGCAATCTGGCGCGTCTTGGAGTGCTCTTCTTTCTTCTTGGGGATCTCGAGGCGGAGCAGACCGTCGTTGAAGCGAGCCTTGAGCATGTTGTCAGAGAAGTTGGCCGTAGAAGGAAGAGTGAATGAGCGGCTGAAGGAACCGTAGACGCGCTCCGAAACGAGGGCGTGGCGGACAGGAGCGACCTGGCCATCAGTCTCCTTCTTGCTCACCTCGTTCGAGGCAGAGGTGGCGCCAGCGTCCTTCTTGTCTTTGATGGCGTTCACCTTGTCCGCAGAGGTCTCCCTTGCGGGCTGCGACGAGTATTCGCTTTTCATATGACCCTCGAGGGTGAGCCTGCGTCGATCGGCATCCACGTTGATCTTGACGTCCTCCTTCTTGACACCGGGCAGTTCGGCGGTGAGGACAAACTTGGTGTCCTCCTCGTGAAGGTCCACTTTGGGTCCGGACCAGATACGGTAGTCGCCTCCATTGACGTTGGGGCGACTAGCAGCCGCGGTCGCGAAGGGATTCATCATCATGAGGTCTCGCATCGAGGAAGGGATCACGTCCAAGTCGTCGAAGGAAGAGTTGAAGAAGCTCGAAGGACGAAGGAGAGACATGTTGTTGCGCGTAGTGCTGAACGAGCGTGCAGGAGTGGTAGTATTGACGGTGTTGGTGTTGGTGTTGCTAGCGTGCTTGAGTGCAGAGATGCTTGCGAGAGGAGAAGTGTGAGGACGTGCTACGGTGTTGCGGACGATCGAAGAGATCTTGGAGCTTGGAAGAGGAAGTCGAAGGGCTTGTCGCATAGAAATTAGACTAGTAGGTGTGGAGAGTAGGTTCGTAGATGTGATTGCGTTGAGATGTGTCGCTAGAGTGCTTGAGGTAAGTGTGAGAGATCTGATCTGACTTTGTTGTTTGTTGGTGATGTCCAGGAGGGAAGGAAAGTGGCGAGGGATGGGGGTCTACTTATACCTTTCGGCCTCGTCCAAGGGTCAAGCTTTTCGAGCCGAGATAACTTCGACTGGCTCCTTCCCTGAATACACACTCTGCCTCACCAAGGGAGAGAGCAACTCTAATGCGGACGAAGTCGCTCGAAAGCTCTATGCGACCCGCCTCGACTCAGCATCACTCAGACACACACAAAATGGCTCGAGCTTTCGAAATGTCTAGAATCTCTCCCACTCGAACGTCACAAGGGCTCAGCAGCCTTCTGTTGGTCGCCCGTTCGAATGAGCCGCAAAGAACGAGAAATGAACAATAACGTCAGCGCTTGCCTACCGTTGCTATACTCTGGGGAGCATCCGATGGCTGTCGCCACGATAAGAATGACGAAGTCCCTGAGAAGCCTCACGAAGCCTCACGAAGTTTCATTTGCTTCTCACGACTCTGGTGTCACTTTCTCACGTTGGGTCTTTCCCATCCTCGCTGTCTGCATCGGCGTCGTCGTGTGACAACAGAGTAAGCATGGTCTGAGTAATCAAGGCGCACTATGCCTTGGCGACCCACTACTTGAGACGATTGAAGCGGATGCCTCGCAGTAGTTTCGCGCATTTGCTAGAGCCTTGGCCACTTGATCCTCCGCTTCTTGACAGCTTCACCTGCATGAAGGGTGCAGAAGCCTCGCGTGTTTTCTAGACGTTTCTACATAGAGCGCGCTCCAACACACTGGTCTATTGCCTGCACCGCCTTTGTCGCTTTCTACTTAGAGTGAGAGTCGTGCGAATGGATCGTGCGCTCGTCTCAATGGCGGGCGAAGGCACGTGACCTGAGTCGTCTCACTTGATATTGCTCATCTCATCTCCCGTCACTCTCGTTGCTTCTTCTCCATCACCTTCTCTCCTCTTGCGCAAGCCTCCTGGCTGCGCTTTGTCAAGTTCATTCTGACACAGACTTCAGGCGCGTGAGATAACTCACCGTTGAACTGTAGCGCCCAAGGGCCAACGCCTGTAATTCCGTTGAAAGTGGGGGCTCGATGCTGAAGCAGCAAAATCAATGGCACATCATCCGAATGAGATGTTCAGACTCACGGCGAAATCGAGACGGGATAGTAAAAACGCATGACTGCTTAGTCATTTTCCGCGTTCCCGCAAACCTCGCTCCACATCGCCACCCGTCAACTCCCACCAACTCCCACCAACGCTCAACACCACCCACCAACGTCCTTTATCCCACTCAGTAACAACACGCAGTCACACATGCCACGTCATCCATTCACACACACAGAGACCAACGTAGAAGCATATATAGTTCACGATATCACTTTGTACTTAGCTTCTAAAATAACAACGATTTTGACCGCTCGCTATCTCGAACTGGCTGTGTTTCTCAACAGGGATCACAGGCCAACAGTCAGCAACGGTCTGTGAGGTTGACAACTATTGCTTCGATAGGTGTCGGGTCGCTAATCATGGATCTAACATGGTTGCTATTTTCCTCAAAAGAAAGCAAGATTCAAGAAACATCACTGCTTTGGAATTGTATCTATTGTGTATTGCAGGTCTTGCGACCATCCAGCTTGTTGAAGATGAGCTTCCCTCAAGCGTGGTGATGGTTCGAGCCATCGAAATAGCCAGCATTGTCGATGAGCACATGGCAGTGCGGGCAGAAGCGTTGCTGAGCTGCAAACTCGCGATGAGCAGCTGCACATGCACTGCAGAAGAGTCCGCCGCAGCCAGCACAGCTCCTGCGTCCATCGAGCAGTCCGAACCGCTTTTGACAGCTTGTGTTCATACAATGCGAAGGGAAAGAGTCTGGCACCGCCACCGCTTCTCCCGCCATTGTCCATTGATACAATCTGCCATTCTCATCGCCGGTCAACACCATCTTGGGTGTGGTCGCGATCGCGGTGATCAGAGGTCGAATCTGCAATGTTCCACCCTTGCTTCCACCTGCGACTCCTCCGTCCGAGCCTAGTCGATCGTGATGCTCCATCACATGGAGCGGTGCAAGTCGCCACAAAGGTTCTGCCTGTGATGCATTGGAGCCAGATGCGTGATGTAGAGAGACGCTGTCGGAAGCGACCCGGCGCTGTTGCTGCCTCTGCTGCTCCTGCTTCCTTGATCCAGATGAACACGTCGGGTGGGCTGACACCGCCTCCCACGCAATCACACGACCTCGATGTCCCGTCAGAACCACCGCTAGTCTTCCAACATGATAGTCGCGCTCCAGGAAGCTCAGACTCGACACTGGCTCCGATAGATTGGCACTTGTCGCTAGGCATGCTAACAGCTCTCCGTTGATCGACCACAGTCGCACCTCGGGTCCACTCGCCGTCGCTAGGTGGCAAGTCTTTTCGTCGATCGCAACCAGATGGACACCGGAATCGTGTCCACGTAGCGAACGGACATACGTGCCTCGATTCAGGTCCCATACGATGGCAGTCTTGTCTTTGGATCCTGTCACTATCACGCTCCATGCTGATGACGCTGCAACGCACAACACCGCATCGTCGTGTCCACGCAGCAATTTGGACAATGTCACCTCACGCTTGGCGCCATCTAACTCCCACACGCTTACCATACCATCCGAGCTACCAGCCACAATCGATTTGGTTCGCGCTTGAGCCAGGCAAGTGACGCGGTCTGGCACCGTCTGCTCCGCCACCGCCAAGGGCCGTTTTGGATCTCGTGAGCTGTACATACGCAAGCTCCCATCCAGGTGATCTGTCGACAACGAGACCCCGAGTTTTGGCAAGATCAAGTAGTCCTTTGGCGACGCAAACGCTTTTTCCGGATGGAACGGATAGATGAAATGCACAGCATTCTTGAGCGTTCGGATCGGCGCAATGCTTTGCACAATCAAACGAGGATGCTCCAATAATCCGAATCGTTCCGAGGCGGGCAACTGTGGGTCCGGTCTCCGCAATCGTTGTGGATGTGGGTGGTTGAAGAGCTTCGACGGCGTCTGCCCGAAGTTGTGGATCACTTGTGCCGCCGCCTGCCGTTCCATGGCCGACTCAATGGCATCGAGATCCACTGCATCCTCGTAGCTTAGCGGATGGAACACGTTGGTGCTCTCTAAAGCTTCGTTGCCTCGCGATCGATAGCCAAACACAAGGTCGATCCAATGGTGCAATCGCTGTGACACGTACTCCGATTCGAGCGCTTCACGATGCTTCAACACAAAGAGACGAGAGTCTCCCTTCGCCCAGGGTGGCAGCTCTACATCGTCAATCGCGTCGCCCGCTTGGGTTGTGCCAAAATCGAACCGATTCGTGTTACGCAGGAACTCGGGCAGATAGAAGAACTCTGGGATCAGCTCTCGTACGTCACCGCGTGATAGCGCTGATGCCGACATCCATGCCTTGCCTACTGATCCGAATGTTCGATCTGCCAGGTCAAAGTTGCCGCCTTGCAGCGCCATCAGCAGCCGCTCAAAAGGTCTTGTGCGGATCAAGTAGCCGCACACCGTGGATGCGGTCGAGTAATGCGTCCCGTAGTGGAAAGGCTCCATGTCGACCTCTTGCAGCTGCACGTATCGGTCCTCGAACTCTTTGCGTCGCACTGGTGTCTGCGCACCCATAGGTAGCTCCAGTTTCCTGAACGTGGCCGGATCTTCGAGATCTAGCTCGTCGCTGGTATAGTCTGCCAGCACCCAAGGAAAGCATGGGAACTGGGTCAAGTCATTCATCGAACGCCCTGCCAATGTGTTGAGCGCCATGAGATACGCAAAGTTGCTCATACGCCCTTCTCGCCATGCGGTTGTCATGGATCCCCAGCTTGAAGTACGGCCGAGCACTGCCCCCGCGAGTCTCGAGCCCAGACCGGATGGAGATGCAGCTGAAGACGATGGCGAGCCTCCACCACCTGCAACACGCTCGCGGATAGCTTCGCGCATGGCCTCGGCGGACGCAACAGCGGAGGGTGCGCGGATCTGTAGCTCACAATGCATCTTTTGAGCTGTCGCTGTCTCGGGACAGACGAGCAAACTGCTCTGTCCGTCCTCGAAAAAGATCTCCACAGCAGTGCGTCGATGCAGCCAGGAACGACGATGGCACGTCTGCACGGAAGACCAAGACCATTTGCGAGTTTGTGCCTCGCCCTCAAGATCACGAATCAGATCCGAAGGCTTCGAAGCGTCTCCTGCCAGGGTGGCCATGACAAGCGTATCACGCTCTTCCGCTGGTGCTTCCCACACATTGATAAGCTCGCCATTGGGCCGCTGGAAGTAGTCATCCATCAAGTAGACGCAGAGCTTGCCGAGGATGAGCAGGCAACCTCGCGACTCGATGCCCACTACTCGCGAGGTGTTGAAAACCGCCTCAATGACATCGCCACGCTCTAGTGAGCGCAATACTCGACGATACTTGTCCTCATGGAAAGACTCGCCCGAGGTCTCGGCGGCGACTGCGCTTGCAGCGTCAAGTGGTGCAGTAGCTAGAATGGCATCGGCTCGGAGAGCACCACTTGGGCTCGTCAGTGCATCCATCGACTGCAGCGGTGACGTGTCAGTGTTCAGGGCGGTTGCATCTGAGCTTCCCCAAGGCTCGCCGTGCAGATCAGCCTTGGACGACGTTGCTGCGGCCGCTTTGGAAACCGCCTCGGCCAACTGCGGCGCCACCACATCCGTTGCACGCGCGACAGACTGATCGAGCTGCTGCAGCTTAAGACGGATACGATTGGGGCCCTCGGTCGGATCGAGACGCCACACCGCTTTGGTCGTCTTTATGCTGATGTCTGCCGAGAACGTGCCGTCCAGCAATGCCCTTTCTCGTGTCAGACCTGCCTGAAGCTCGCGCCATTGCATGTCGGCAAACGTCTGCATCTCGCGCAGATCGTTGACGAACTTGGCTCTGCGTACGTTTTCAGCCTCGACCAAGCTTTTATGCCAGGCAATCATGCGATTCTCTGTGCTGGTCACTACCTGTTCCCTGTTGTCGGTCCGGCGAAGCGAGTCATGGAGCTGCTGGAGCCGGTCTATGTGAGCAGCTGCCTTGAGCGTCTCCCTGCTCTTGGAGAAGCTACTCCAAGCCGTCTCGTAGACAAGCTGAGGGGCGACAGGCGCAGCGACATGCTCCGATGCACTTTCTTCCTCATCTCGGACGCGGAGAACATGCCTCTGCTGCGTTTCGTTGAACATCGCCATTGGCTCGCCTTCCGCAACAGAAGGCTTTGCCAGAGCGAGGAGGTTGAAGATGGTGAAGGCTTTGACGTGGGCATGAGAATACGGCCTCTGCTCGGAGCAAGGCGCAGGGGCGGATAGAGGCGCAGTAAAGTCTTGCAACACGTAGAGGAGGCGGTTCACCAGGCATTCGAAGAAAGTCTGGTCCTGATTTGCGGCATGCAGAATCACGTCTTGGTTCTGCAGCACTTCGTCCAGCGTCTGGATGTGTCGATCTTCATTAGCAAGTCGAAGCAGCACAATGCGATTGAGGCTCATGTAGAGTGTCGCAGCTGCTCGAGTGCCGTGCTTAGCGCCGGCGCCAGAAACGATTAGCAGGCGGAGCAAGTCGATTGTTGCTCGAAAGAGCTGCTCTTCGAGGTCGGCATTGCCGGACAGAACTTCTTCTGACGCTGTCTCGATGAAGAGAGCGACGGATTCTGCGGTCGTAGCGGCTTGCTGAGGATGCTTGGCAATCACAGCACGCACCTTTTGGGTTGTCTTGGCTAGCAGCGCACATCGGAAGACAGTCTGTTGGGTCAAGTCGGCTGGCGGAAGTGCCTGGTCGATAGCGGAGAGAATGGCGATCGAGTTCGTCGTGAACAATGAATCAACCGCTAGCTGAGCAAGCAGGCTCAGAAGCGAGTCGACGACACCAAAAACATCGTCTAGGACTAATGTCAGGCTCAGGGAAGCAGATCGGCTCGAAGCGACAGCAGACTTGCTGTTATTGGCCAGCTCGCCAGCAGAGGCGCTTGCGCCAATCCTGACGTTGTCACCCACAAACATGAAGATGCAGTCGATCAGGCCACGAAGGATGATAGGCGAGAACAAAAGCTCCCGGAAGTCGGCTGATCGATGTCCATAGATGCAAAGGAGCTCTGCTGTCTTTCGCAGCAACGTGACCTCGTTGGAGGTCTGCGCAGCTTGCTCCAAAGCTTTGACGTCGACATTCATTGACTGACTACGCTTCCGAGCGTGTCTCGGTCTCGAAGAAGCTGATGGCGCTGCGGCAGGGTCTATAGGGTTAGGTACTGATTCGGTCCCGGATTTGACTGCCGCGCTGCAGTTCGAAGTTAGTCGCTGACCTACCTCAGAGGGCCGCGCTCGAGCGAACCGAAGGCGTCCAGGCATGTCACCCTGTCGAGCAGCTGCAGTGCGCACCCCCTCCTTCAAGCAAGAAAGGATAGCTCGAAGGACTGGTGCACAGAAGATGAGCTTGACCTGCCCGTGCACAGGCAGTGGTACCAATTCATGTAGATCTGGGACAGGTTCCGGCACCTCGATACCAAATAGTGCAGACCATAGGAGAGTCAGGAGCGAAGGGATGGACCAAAATCGTGGCAGTAGCCGTTCGAGCACCTTGAACCCACCGGAAGTGCTTAGGCGTTGGGCGTATCCGAGATCTGGGTGAAGTAGAAGACGAGAAAGGATCTTGAGAGCCAGTTCGGCAGCTCTCTGTTCAGCGCGCGGATGAAAGAAGAGGAGTAGCCACTTCACGTTGACCGCGTCAGCGAAGCGGAACAGGTGACTCGGACGTTCCAGCAACATTGACGTCAGCAGCTCAAAGATGGTCAGTGCCTGGCGAGACGTCGGCGACGGCTCTCCAGTCACTCTCACGGGGGTCGATGTAGCAGCCTTGGACGTTGCTAGCGACAGTGCCTGTCCTGTGGTGTCGGCTTCTGACAGGGTGGGCTGTGGACCCAAGGTGGCGGCGCGCTTTGGTTTTGGACGGACCTGCAGGGAAGACGCAGGCGGATCGCTCTCCGTGATCAGATCGGTTTGACAGAGCTGTACAGTCAGAAAGGACGTGACGATTCGCACAGAGGCGTCTGTGAAAGATGAGGCGAGTAACGCGCGCAATGCATCGATCAATAGCGGCGTGGTCTCGTCGGCGTAGATCTCGGATCGAATGGCATGGATCAGCTTCTTGACGATCTGCATCTTGGCGATGCGTTTCGAGTTGAACTGGGCGATTCATACAGGGAAGGAAGTGGGTTATAGGTTAGTGGCGAATCGCTGACGCAACAAGTTTAGCATTGATTGACTGATACTTACTCGTCTGTGCCGTGAGCTGCGAAGGAGAAGGGTAAATTGTTCTAGGTGGCTGCTTTGCAGGGCTTGCGTCGTTTGCGACCAAAGCTCAAAGTCGAGCATTACGATGCGGTAGAGAAATGGATTCACCAGGAGGGACCCGTCACCGCCAGCGTCTATTCCGACGGCATCGAACAGGATCGTGGCGATCTCGTCGTTGAACAGGTGCGCCTTGTTGTGCAGGTGCAAGCCGAGCACTTCGTATCCCTTGGATCGCTCAACATCCTCGCTCAAACGCCAAGACCGGGAGATCAGCTGCAGGAAAAGGCGCAGCGTCTTTGCGAGCATTTCGGATGTCTCGGCGTCGTAGATGAGTTTCAGCAAGATGGCACAGCCTCCGAGCTTCCACAGCATCTCGTCCAGAGGTTGCGGAACGAGGAGAGCTGGTTCGCCATACAATTTGGCAAGCCCAAAAGAGGATCCGACCGCCTCTGTGTTGAGCGGTACTGCTTGGTTCAGGATGACGCATGATCCTGGCCTCTTGGAAGGGTCAGACGAGGGAGCAGCGCCGCGCACTGTGCCTGCGCCAGAACGGTCAAATGTCGCTGTGTTCGCGGCATTGATGACAAAGTAGAGACGCTCTTCAGGAACTAGGTCGCTGGCTCTCCCAGCGATGGCGGTCACCAATGGCAAATGTGAAAGTTCTTTCTCTGACAGTACAGCGCTACCGGTAGATGTGGATGCAGAAGGTTTCCGTGCGACCTGGTCGAGTCGAAGGTTGATGTTGGCGCTGGCACGATAAGTCAAGAAGCGACCGAGCGAGTCTTGTGCGTTCCCTGTGTAGCGAGGGCCGAGCTCGTAAAGTACGAGGGGCAGATCGTGTGGAACGGCGTCTTCTAGAAGCATGGTCGGACCCAGCGACCAGACCAGGCGGTTGGTCCTGGCTTGACCTTGCTGTGCATCTTGTATGTTACGATGAGCGTCCATGCTAGAGCCTGGCGGTGAGCCCAAAACCGCACGTACAGCATTGGCAAGATGACTTGAGGGGGCTACGGCCGACGAAGTAGAAGGAGAGCCTCTGCTCGGAGTAGGCCATGGCGCAAGCTTCTCTTCTGCCATCTGTCCATCGACGTACAACTTGGCCGGAGACATGTGGGCGCCGCCGCGAGGCTGAAGATGGATGAAGGTCAAGTGATAGCGCTTGCCAGTGACAAAGGCGACGTTGTTGAAGCGTGTTGGAGGCGAAGAGGCTAGTGACGAGGTCGAGTAGCAAAAGAGACCCGTGCCAGGCTCGATGAACAGCTGAACGTAAAGCGACCTCTGTGCATCGAAGAGAGTGAGCAGCTCGATAGATAGACTGGGCTCGATCCGCTCGATCGAGAATGTGGTGACAAACGTGAAGCCTTTGGATGATGCCGTTGGTGGAAAGGGCCGTCGTAGAGTAGAAAATGCAAGAGAAGCGTGACCATGTTTCGCCATGCTAAAGAGGACGGTGTTGGGCTCCTGCGGAGCATTAGCAATGTCGAGCAGCAGGTCAAGGATCCAATCACGCTCATCTTGGACGAATGACTTTGCAGTGCTAGGTATTGAAGGCGCTGTCGACAGGGAGGCCAGAATCTTGCGGCCATCTTTGTCAGGTATGCCGACGGCTGCGTAGAGCTGCCTCAGAATCTTGACAAAAAGGATCCGATAGGAAGTGTTTATCGGGTCTGACTGCAGGTCGCATACCGCTGGACTATCCGACGAAGGCACGCGCGGCCTCTGCGAAGTTAGGCTGGCGATTGAAGTAGAACTTGGCAGACTCGTATCAGTAAATCGGCTAACCGCGGGAAGAACAGTGTCCAGTAAGAGCGTCGAGAGGCCGATGTTGACGAGAGCGGTCTGATTACGACGACTGGTCAGAACGAGTCTGAAGACAGTATTCAGCACAATTTCGGCTCCTTCTCTGTCGAGAGTTAGCGAGTGCGTGTCCTTATCCGATGTGTTTGAGCGAACCAGAAGTTGCAGCAGGAAACGAATCGCATGCGGAAAGATGATGCTAGGAGCCGGCGTCCATTGATCCTTGATTCTATCCTCAAGCAAGCGGATTTTGACGTCTTCCTCCGTTTCGCCTTGCAATTTCGTATCCTTACCTTGTTCGGCAAGGAAACGGCGAGTCGAGATGACATGCCCTGCGTATGTATGGACGTCGGCAACTGCGAGACCGAGCAGCGAGCCAAAGACCGAGTCAGCAGCTAGGCCGCTATTGGCGGCAATCTCTGTTGCGTCAAAAAGACTCCTCCAGCCGACGGTGGTTTCAAAAACTTTGATGTTGAGAGGATGCTGTATCAATGAGGCCGATAAGATGGAAAGCGCCAACTTGAAGATCTCGATCTGAAGTGCTGCGTGGACGTCTGGCTCCGTCCGGGTTTGCTGGTTGTGGAGGGTCGATATGAGCTGAACAACGACCAGAAAGCCGCCTGCTTCCCGAAAATCATCCCGATAGCTGTGAGTACGAGCAGGAGCTGTGGTTGATGTCCCTTCAACAAGCAAGCGGTGGAGGTGACCCCCTAGGTGAAGCTTGGCCTGAAGGTCAGAAGCAGCGCATCTATGCAGAGCTTCGAGTACCGACAGGAGCTCGTCTCGTTCGAGCGATCTTGAGTTAGTCTCGCCGAATGGGTCGGATGCATCGATGGAAGGTCCGCGATTCCAGTTTGAGGAGGACGAGGGTTGCATAGACGGACTGTTGGCATGGGCGCTGCTCATAGGACTGCCAACGGACGAGTCTGGTGCTGGAGAAGGAGGAGGAAGCAGACTTGGTGAGCCTGACGAATCCTGCTGCGATACCGATAAGGAGCGTCCTGGCTGTCGAGAAGCTGCTGTGTCTGATGAGGTCGATGACGATGATGCTTCTGGACCAACGCCGGTGTCTTCCAAGCCTCGTTGCGTGTCTGGAGTCTGGAACTGAGGGTCTCGTTGAGCCTCTTGGAGCTGACTTGTGACAGACGACGATGTCTGGATTCCACTTGAATAGTGCCCATGCTCTTCCGAGACAGACTCGCCGGGTCCATAAAACCCTGTTCCAACGTCAGGAGCTTTTGGCGGCATCCTGTCTCCGGTGTTAGTTGTAATGTCGTGCCAAATGCTGTGCCTAGAGTGTATGCCTAAAGCGTGAGTTTCAAAAGCATGACATTCGAGCCGTGTATCGCCTACTTTGATTGTGTTGTATGCTTGGGGCTGATAGCAATGCCAATGGAGCGAGATTGGATGGTTGAGCGTCTCTGATGAGGACAGAAGTGCTGCGGTTCTGACTCTTTGGAAAAAGATCTGTTTTGTTCGATTGTAATGTCGGGGTGTATGTCGACAGCACGGCCTTTCGTGTCGACAGTGACGGCTTCTCTTAGCGAATGCGATCACAGGAAGGTATCTAGGCCAAGCAGAAGGTGAGAGAGCGTATGGCAAGTTGAGGATGAACAGAGAGGATCCATATCACTTTTCAGGGTCCGAGTCTTGTGTGTGTGTGTGTGAGAGGATCGTGTGCTGTCACACTTTTTTTGAATTTGCTTTCTGGCTTGCCGAACTCACAATTGGCCCATGCACTCGGCAATTCAGTTATTTCGCCGGCATGGCCTTCGCTCTAGCATTTTCTTCTATACGTGATCTTTGATGGCAGCTCTCACTTGCGTCTCCAACGTTGCAAAGTCAGAACTGCTTGAGGACCGGAAGCAATGGCAAATCCATTTAGGCTGCATTTTTGGACGCGAAAGCGGCGTCTGGCAGTAACAACAAAGAGAGATAGAATGGGAAATACAGATTGCAAAGTGAGTTCGAGCGTACATATGTGAGAAAGACGAGAAACTGTCCGATGTGAGGAGATATGTTTGGCAAGATTGGATCGAGGAAGCATTTCTTTCATTCAGGTTGGAAGTTGGCATTCTGCTCTAATCCGCCTTGGTCTCAGCGCTGGTAGCCGTTAGGACCACCTTGTTGCGGACCGTGAGGTGGCGAGTAGTAGCTAGCTCCATTTGGCTGTTGACCAGGTGCGTAAGGCTGTCGCGGCTGACCACCCATCTGTTGTGGGGGCCGCTGCTGTTGTGGGTGAGCTTGGTATGCTGGTGCATGCTGCTGCGCTTGTCCGTAGCCGCCCATTGGCTGCTGGTAGGGATAGTCGGCCGATGCCTGACGACTAGGTGGGGCTCCCATGTATCGCTGAGGCTGTTGAGCTTGCGGGGGCGATGCCGTGTAGCCACCTACCTGGTATTGTGTGGCGGTGGGCGCGATCACGGTGCCAGGCGAGATCTGCTGTGCTTCAGCTGGTGTCGCCATTCGTCCGCCACCGTAAGCACTTTGCGGACCATGAGCGTCGTACGCTCCAGGAGCAGCAGTCGGTGCATTGCCGCCGTAAAGCAGATTGCCATAGGATCCTAAGCTCGTCTGACTATCCTGTGCGCTGTGATTGAGACCCATGCGTGGTGCGTATGTCTGTCCGTTCTGTCCGTAGGGGTCAACGTAGCCTGCTTGCTGGGGCAGCGTGGACTCGTAAGCAGGGGTCGAGTGGGTCGAGTAGCCTCCGTTGTGACCGTGAGCACCGTGAGCACCATAACCAGCCTCGGGCGAAGACTTGCCACCATACGTGGTCCCGGCAAGGGTACCTTCCAGTGATTCGCTGTAGACGCTTGGCTGTTGCTTCTCGAGCAAGTTATCGCGGCTGTCACGAGCTGTGACGTTGGACATCTCAAACTCTTCGTTGCCATGCATGGGTCCACCAGCCATGTAGTTTGCGTACTGATCTCGGAAGTAGTCTCCCTGAGGTCCACCCATGCTGCCGGGCGTGCCGACACCAACTCCGCCTTTGACCATCGACATGCCGCCAAGCGTAGTGCCAGACATGACGGAGCGCGCGTCCGAGTCCTTTGAAGGATCGTACTCGAGCTGATCCTCTTCGATGGCAGCGATCTTGAGTCCACCAGCCACCTGCTCGGTCTCGACCTTTCGACCGTCGACAACAGCTGTGCTGGTATCTAGACGGCCCTTGTACACTTGAGGAAGCAGATGCTTGACCTTGGCGTGTACCATTGGCGTAAAAAGCTTCGAATGAAGTGTAGGGTGGCCGAAACGACGCTGCAAACGGTTGTGGCGCGCATCGCCGGCATGAATCTTGGAAGTGGCGATCTCGGCCTCGTTGGGAATGTACCAGTCAAAGCGGCTATCGAACGTGCGACGGCAGTAGATCTTAAAGGCGATCAGCATCAGGATGGGTGGAAGCGCAGCGATGGCCTGATAGTAGTTGAGCGTGTCGAGCACCACGGCAAGGATCAAGATGATCTGCATGAAGCCAATGCAAACGAGCAAGCGGTTGATGATGGGTCGCCACAGCATACCACCGGTCTCGTGCTTGGTGACAAACACGTACATGAGCTGATACTTGTAGATCAACGAATTGGCCCAGAAGACGACGGCGGAGAAGATGACAACCAAAGGCGCGAGAGGAGCATAAATCATGGCGACGGCAGCCATGAAGAGAAAGTTGGCATAGTAGATCCAGTAGTCAAAGACGGGTGGCTTGGTGTACTCGCGTACATCACGCGGCGTTCGACCGAAGAAGACCTTCTGAATCCAGACGAGAAGCAGCTTGATCACCTGAGCCAAATCGAACACGGCGAGGTAGCCTCGCAGCGGCAACCAGGTGAGCCAATAGTTGGATTGGTTGAGGTACTGCTGTTTGGCAGCGTAGGCGGCATTACGACCGAGTTTCTCGATGATGTTAAGTGCGCTGTTGTGGTTGATCTCGACGACAAGCTGCGAGACGAGTGAGAGCACGACACCGATCAACGAGAAGAAGAGGAATTGCGAGATAACGAGGAAGCCAAAGTACTGGCCGATGAGGAGACGGTCGAGCTTGTAGCGTGTCTGAACACCTCGGTACTTTGCGATCCTGCGCATTGCCAAGGGGAAGAAGAAACCGGCGAGACCCATGATGATAGGAGCACCAAGACCGGAGACGGCAGCAAAGGTGAAGGAGCTCTTGCCTTGCCAATCCTTGAGCCAGCCAAGCCATGAGATGCTGGTGAGACCTGCCATGTTGGACAGCAGCGAAACAGCGATAAGCGGGACGGTGTTCATGAAGAAGAGGACAAGTAGCATGAGAAAACCGAAGAAGCTCGACTTGGCACGACTGGAACGAGATCGGGTCAAGTTCTGCCAGATGATACCAGTCGGGGGTGGAGCTAGGCGGATGCGCATTCCTCCGGGCTTCTTACCCCTGAGCACTTTGGCAGCGGCGTGAGCGTAGGGCACAGCGGCAAGAGAGGCGAAACCGTACATCTCGGGCTGCTTTTGGCGGATGGTCTGGCGCTGATGCATGACAGCAGCTTCGACGCGGTTGATCTGATTGGTGAGGTAGTCGATGGCATCCACCTTTTCACCGCCAATACGCAAAAAGCCACCGATGGTCTTGGTGGGACGCTTGGCGGGAAGCTGGTTGGGATTCTTGAGATACTTGGCGAGGACGCGTTCGAGTTGGCGAACAAGGTCGTTGTGCTTTTCTATGAGATCTGGCAGGACTCCAACGCGACGACCGATGTGGACTTCGGTGGTAGGATAAGGCATCCTCAGCTCGGACAAGACGGCACCGAGCGCGTCATCGGCCTGGTAGCGCTTCTTGACGTCGGTGAGCATCAAGGTTCGGGCGTGGAAGCTGGTCTGGTATTCCTCGGATCGGAAGTAAGCCCAACGTAAACGGACCATCTCGCGATAGTGGTACCAGATGAAGGAGAGGGCCACGATGGTACCGACGTAGCTCATGCCGACGTGGGCCCACATGTAGGTGCCGTGAACATTGGACATGTTGATATAGTTGAGCTTATTGGTGACAAGGTTGCTGCCGCCGTTGCGCGAGTTGTAAGCAATATCGACTGGCATGAGGACGAGCGACATAAGAAGGGCGAGCGTGGTGAGCATCCAACGCATCATGCGGATGAAACGTAAGAAAGTGACACCGTCGAGACCGATGAGAGGCAAGAGATCGTGTTCCTTGTACTTGAGAATGGGTGGAAGCCAGCCGAAGAAGCTTTCGGACGCCTTGGGTGGAGCCCTACCATCTTCGGCATACTTGTATCTGGGTGCATAGACGATCTTGTTGTTAGGACGAAGAATCTGGAAAGAGATGAGGGTGAAGAGAGAAAGGGCGGAGAAGGCGGCAAGGGTAATCCAGATCTTCTTGAGATCGGTGGAGCCGTTGGCGTTGAGCTGTTCGATGAGGGGTTGGGGCACGACGCCGCTGCGTTCGGCCCTCGCTACGAGCATGGTCAAGGACATGGCTGTACGTGGTTGGGTCGCAAGACGCGGAGCCCAGCGGAATCACTGATAGACAGCTTGTGGTAGTCTAGCTTTGGTCAGCAGATAGAACTGGTAAAGCGATTGGATTTGAAGAGGGTGCGAAGGCGATATGGCTGCTGATCAAGCCGAAGGCTCTAGAGGCTGTCAGTTCAAGGCTGACCGTTGAGATGATGCAAACAGAAGGTTGATGTCGAGGAGAGACCTGCTCGCCTTTAGCCCGGCGCGATCGACAGTCGATGAGGGTTCTGAAGTGCGATGCTGATGTATCTGAGGGAAGAGTCAGAGCTGATTCTGCCTTACAAATGGAACCAGTCCGTTTGTGATTTCTAGGAGAAAAAGGAGGATGCTGATAATCCGACAGAGAGAGAGAGAGAGAGAGAGTTGGAGAGGTGAAGAGAGATCCAAAATCGTGACCGCAGCAAGAGCAAGAACAGCAGGTTTCTAACTTCTACGATCAGTACTTGACGATAACGGTGATGGTGAAAGGCGATGGTGAAAGGTGAGGGTGACGGAAGGAGAGGGTGTGTGTATGTGATTGTAAGTGAGGGTGAGGTGGGAATGCCAAAGATAGAGCAGCACTGACAAAGAGGCTGCAGCTATACTTTGTTGGCACCTCCGCCTTCTTTGGTCAATAATAAAATTGTTTCGAGTTTAGAAAGTGAGCAAAATCAAAATCAAAATCAAAATCAAAATCAAAATCAAAATCAAAATCAAAATCAAAAAAATGAAAAATGAAAAATGAAAAAGAAAAGAAAAAGTTTCAAATTGTGCGTTGGCGCCAAACACAACTGACGTGAACCTCTCTTACTGAAATAAGAATTTTTAAATATCCAATTTTGTTTTTCTTTTTTCCCTTCGCGTCAGTCACATCAACATGGGAGAGGCTGCAGTTGTCGTGTCGAGAGATTGCAGTCTGGAGTAACACTGAGCTCCTTGTGGATCAGTTCTTTCTGCCTCTTGCTGGCCTTGCGGCGTTTCAACTCTCTACCACACTCCACTGACAGCCGGTTTACAGTCGCCCTTGAAAGCCGATTCAAAAATAAACAATTTCCTCGACTGTCCCTTTGTTCAACCACATGGCGGCAGCATCAGTAGACCTCTCAGCTTACTTTTGCTTTTCTTTTTGTTTGGCAGCGACAATCGATTGCAAGCGAGCAACAAGGCCACTTTGTTCACTTTGTTCACTTTGTTCACTTGGTGCTCCATGCCTATCATCGTCAGGGTCGATGATGTTCGTTCTTGGCTTTGGCAGATGACAGTGCGATGTAGACTCGTGGTCTTGGATGCGATCGGTTGGACAGGAAAAGAAAAGGGGGCACGAGCCGAGCCAACTCTGTGACTGGTGGTTCCTGAATTTCTAGAGGCTTCTAAATCTGTCCACCAATGACGGCAAGGTGAGCTCCTTTATTCCTCCCCGGCAAAGACTCGTTTCTTCTTTGCTGCTGCAAGAAGAAAGGGGTCAGACCCCATTTCTGCACGCATATGCAGCCTTCTCCTTGAACTCGCTCACAAGCCTGTCATTCGACGAGCACTTGCCACTCAACTTGGAGGGAAGCAACTTGGAGGGCCGTGCACCTGTACCCTTTGTCTAGGTTGAGCTGGCCGCGAGATAGTCAATCCACGATGCATCTTGACGCCATTCATTTGCCTCCAGTCGCTCACTTCAAGTCGCCTTATGCTGTGATACAGTATGTCCCACCGCTCGCCCTATAATAGAGTTCCGATGGAGTTCCGATAGAGTTCCGCGCAACAGCAACTTAAACTTAGTAGCTCGCATTGAAGCCATGGTAAGATGAGCTGTGGCAAGCTGTGGGAACGCTCGCGTGACCTGACACGTCTGATGAGTAACTAACAATGCCCTGTATACGTGGCTGTGCAATCCAAGTCTCAGAGCTCAGGTGCAAAGCCGGCTTGAAATTAACTTTTCTCCTCGAGAGTATCAGTCGCAGAAAAAGCAGACGCGTTTACCGTCGAGATTGACCAAGATGTTAAAGAGTCCGCAGCTCACAACTAAGCATGTCTTTTTCGCACGGGAAATGCGATCACGAAAAATGCTGAGTTGGTGTGCATTTCAGCTCTGAGAACCCAACGCGCGCTTTCTCTCTTTCTCTGAGGCCAGGCGCATGGCTCCACCCTCAACAGAACAGTTTCTGCATTTTCAATTCCGCCTCGTCCATCTCCACCCTCGCCTCCATCACCACCACCACCACCGACCTTACACCAGCATCCTGTCTCACAACACACTCTACCCTCTTCCACCATCCTTTACCTCCTTCTCAAGCATCTCAACGACACTATCTATCCCTCAAAAACCCTAGTACCACGTCTCACAAAATGGTCAGCATCCCACCACAAGTTCCCGATTCCTGCGCGTCTCGTCTGGACCATCCGTCGTCTTGTATCACGGCCACTGTCACATTGTCCCACCTCGTCTGCGAGGTGTATCGCACAGCCTGCGTTTGTCCCCGTACCGCTGTCCGCTGACATCAGCGAGGCTAGACTCCCTAATGTTGAGGTTCAATAACCATTTGCAAAATGCGCTTTTGACGCTAATTAGCTTAAGCCCTTGCTTGACTACTCGACTCGTCGAGACAAAGACTCGCAGCGAGTCAGTGACGCACCCCAACAGCCCAATAACTCTGGCCCAGATCGGTTTCACTCCCGTGTTTGACCAAAGACGGCGCATTAGCGGCTCGTACAACACTCAGAAGGCACATCGTGCATCCCATCTTTTCCGAATCTGGAAACAGCCTTAGTGCTTGTCTCTTGGTCAGGATGGATGCGAGCAAGCAGATATTTGTGGACCAGGCAGACTATCGTGAAAGGCAGACAATCGTGAACCAGACGAACAGACAGGTTCAGACAGACGTGCACGGATCTTTTCACCACGCTTGCGGCTCATCCCGCATATCCAATCCCCCGCCGTCGATCAAAACAACACTTCGGAACCGCTTATTCTGACATACTTGCTACTTCGCCTTCCCTTCTCCTTCGACCCCCTTCACCATGTGATGTTGTTGTTCATTTGTCAACGCGATGCGTTACACCGTGCCCATCACTGCTCTCGCTATCACCAACACTCGTGGCGCTTTCCCCTGCGCTGTCCAATTGCATGCACCAATCACACCACCGATGGACTTTGCATCCGCCCATCGTGCATCTGCACCGCAACTCGGCGCTCATTTCTAATGCTATACGCTACTGCACCATGCCTTGCTCCTTCACTCGTGGCAATCGATCATGCATCATGTTCGGAACTCGTCTTGGCGCCCCCTTCGACGTTGCAATATCTGACCTCTTTTGCGACGCTCATCGCCCAACTCTGTCGGTCATCTTCCTTGCGCTCTTGTCGTTCATTTTTGCTGTGGTGGCAACAGTCCATGAACATTGACAAGCGTAAGTGATTACACATTGTGGCATTGGCTCTCTCCGCACAAGAATGCATGGCCCGGCAGCATCGGTTGGCTGCAAGGTCTCCAACCGCCGGCCGCATAGATTCGTGCAACTCAGCTTGCATTTGGCAAAACATAGATTTTGATGCGGTGGTGCAAGCTTGGCAGTAGCTGAAACAAGCAGTCGGAGAAAGCCACGAGTACGGGATTCGAGTACAGAATTCGAGTACAGGAACAACCGATACTGAAACATGGCCCGCTTTTCAACCACACGCTGGTGCTCATCTTTTTGCCTGACTCTACGCTGCTCATTTGTGCACGCCCACTGCATGCTCTTGCGTCGGCTGATCACGATCTGCTATGCATCGACTGTCTTTGTCTTGCATCTATACCGATACGCATCGCAAACACGACGTCTACACTCTTGGATTTTTCCGTTTTCTTTCTTTCCTGTCTACAGCCCTTGACGAGATCATCTCCGCCCGACCCAAGAAGACCGGTGCCGGCCGCAACAGCCAGCGCGGACGACGTGGAGGCCGTGCCGGTAGGCCTAGCGCCAAGGCTGCTGCCGTCGGTGCTGGCGCTCAGAACGCTGCTGTGATTGCCGCCTCGAACCGCAACAAGCCTTCCGTCGTCATCCCCGGCCGAAGCGGTAACACGGGTAGCAAGATCATCCTCAGCAACTTGCCTCTCGATGTCACCGAGGCCCAGGTCAAGGTTCGTATCACTAACAAAGCTCGATTATCAAGATCTGTTCTCGCTACACGGGTGCAGACCAGCCGAAAACGAACGAAAGTTCTGACGCTTCATCAACCATCTCATCAACACTCAAATCTCTCATCCTCTGCGGGTCGTCATCATCAACAGGAACTCTTTGCCACTACCATCGGCCCCCTTCGCAAGGTGGCTATGAGCTACCGTGCCAACGGCCAGTCTACTGGCGTTTGCACCGTCGAATACCAGCGCGCTGACGATGCTGCCCGCGCTTACACCCAGTACAACAACCGATTGATCGACGGAAGTGAGTATAAGCCTCAGTCTCTATGTCGCTAGTGTCCACACTCAATGATCTCTTGCTCACCCTTTCACTGCGAAATCGACTTGGTCTCGTCTTTGCTATCTCTGCTATTCACACGAACAGAGAAGCCTCTCAAAGTTGAGGTTGTCGTGGACCCCGCCAAGGTTGCCGCTGCACCAGCTGCTGCTGCCAAGGGCGCCAAGGGTACTGCTGGTGCCGCCAACGGGGCCAAGGGCAAGGATGGCCGTGCTGCTGCCGGTGCTTCGGCTCGTGGCCGCGGTCGTGCTCGCGGTGCCAAGCGTGAGGCTCGTCCCAAGAAGACCGTTGAGGATCTTGACGCCGAGATGGAGGACTACAACAAGCAGGCCTCTTCCACCGATGCTGCCCCTACCGCTTGATGGAAGCTAGCCGCACTCCTGTATTTCACCCTGGTTCCTCTCAACGATTCGACGCCAACTGCAGCATAAAAAGCGCATGCTCTGCTCCACTAGTACCCTTCCTACGGTCAATCTCAGCGCTACATTCCTGCTCAAATACCCAACACGTTTCCTGTCCTTGTGTCCGTCTGATTGAGGTCTAAGTACTCTCCATCCGAGTCTGAAGTGAGGCCTGAGCCTCTGTTGAGCGGTCTGACAAGAACGTCTAAGAGCATCAACTTGAACTCACTCTAGTGAGTGGGAAGCAAAGCCTCGGATGGTCACGCCACACGCGCGCGTAGCGTAGCGTCGCGTCGCGTCGCGTCTGCTTTTTCGGAGAGCAACACTTTCCTCGCTGCCTCTTCTTCTTCTGTCCTTTCTTTCCCCTTCGCAGATGCTCATCTACGCGTCACGACTCAGCAGCAATTCGGAGACGTATGAATAGCCTGGAAAAGCGCGTGTGCATGTGAGAGCTCCACTTTTTTGCCCTTTCCTCTTGAGAAGCAGCTGCAACATTTCAGATACCCACGCTTACACACCCTCACTCACTTGAGCCCTGTTCCGTTTCTTTGAGAAGCGGAGTGAAGAATCGACTTGCTCTCTCTGCATCCTCTTTCTCGAGACTGGAGGAGTTTCGAGGTCTAGTCTTGACATAGTTGTTCTTGCCGCTGGACTCAGCTTCCCTTTCTCCCTCGCCACTACCATCATCCTCATTATTATCATTATCATTATTATCATTATCATTATTATCATTATCATTATTATTATTATTATTATCATCATCATCATCATCATCATCCTCCTATATATCTTCTAGGCTCATTGGACCAATCTCCTCTGGCTCCGCCTCATTTCGCAACTTCCTTCAGCTGGGCTAGCTTGGCAATCTCGACCAGGCATAGCATCAGCTTCTACATGCAAAGCTCTCATTATCGACTCTCAAGCATACTGCGCTAGAGCAGATTTCATTCCAACATGTCCCTCGCATCTGCAGGAAACCGCACGGGAACTGATCGACCGATGCCGCCAGATCTTTTTGCCGACGTTCGGTACTTTATCAACGTTGATGTTGATGCAGCGACGCAAGACGAGGTGAGTATCGCCTTTGGACACCGGAAACGATATTTGTGCTGGAACGCTGATCCATAAGATGCTCCTTTCACTTTCCTGGTATGCTTCGAACAACAGATCCGCTCACTGCTCTCGCTCGGTGGCGCACAACACCACGACGATGCCTCCATTCCAAGCGGCAGTGACAGCTGGTCAAACACAGCGAACGCTCGCTTCCGACTGGGCGCAGTAACGCATGTGCTCGCTCTTAGCGAACACTTCCCTGAGTATCAAAATTGCATCGAACCTACCTTACCTGAGCAGGCTCCTGCCGCCAAGCGGCCCATTGTAGTCACTGTAAGTACTCTACTTGCCGAGACTCGAGAGTATTGCAGACTCCATTCAGAACTTCGGAACTGACCCGCAGCTGCTACAATTTATCCTGCCCTTTCCACCACGCCACTTTTCCCTTCGGCTGATCCGATCATCATCGACCCTCTATTACTTTCGGCCGCATCCCGACACTTGTCCTTATCGATGACAGCCTGAATGGGTTCGTCGCAGTGCCCATCTTGGGGTTCGCCTCAAGGAGGACCGCTTCTCATGCCGGAGTGCCATGATCTTCTCTGGACTCTGCGTTGCTGCTTCCAAGTCCGAACTCTCCAAGGCAGACCGAGAACTTATCAGCAGCATCGTCTCCGCCTATGGAGGTCTGTGGCGAGAAGATCATCTTTTCGACGTCAACGTCTTTCTCACCACTTCCATCTCCAGCGCCAAACTCAACAAGATCATCAATACTCCCGGCAAGCAGACCATCTGCGTGGCACCCCAATGGATCAGCGACTCATGGCGCGTACAGAAGTTGCTGCCCTTAGACTCCTACCAATTCCATCTCGGGCAGAGCAAGCTGCCCCCCTGCTTTGCTGGCCGTACCGCCAGTGGATCTCCGCTCACCTCTCCTAGACGAGATCGTGTAGCTATGAGTCTGATTAAGGACAGCAAGAGCAACCTTGTTGACACTCCGAGCGACAAGTCAATCCGAACAAGTCGCGACAAGCATGTTTTCCGCGGTCAAAGCGTCCTACTGGCACGCGACGTTTGCCGCGCCAACGAACAGCAGCTCCGATCTTTGGAACACTTCATTCGCACCTCCGGCGGCACCGTTCGCAGAGCACCCAAGGACCTCAATGGCATTGCGCAAGCCGTGCGGAACTCAGACTTTGTCGTCTGCCGATACCGAGAGGTCCAAGAGTTCCGGGAGGCCATCCGTCAGAAAACGCAAGTTGGCAATCTGATGTGGCTCATTAACGTCGTCTCCAACGACGTTTTCAGCGATCCGAGAGAAGAGCCTCTCCATTTCCCCGTGCCTCGACAGGGCATTCCTGAATTTCACAATGCTACCATCACCATCTCGAACTACCGTGGTTCATCCCGACAGTATCTCACCAAGATGATTAAGCTGATGGGAGCCACCTTTTCGGGTACACTCACTGCCCAGACCAGCCTCTGCGTTGCCGCTAACCTCAAGAGTGAAAAGACGGACAAAGCGAAAGAATGGAAGGTGCCTGTAGTCAATCACAAGTACATTGTTGACTCCTTCTTGGCCTGGGCGCCAGTGGAAAGAGCCAAGCTCAAGTACATCGACTTTCCGGAGGCCGTCGACTATAATCTGGACGTAGGCGAGACCAGAGTCACGGATGAGAGCCTCGGACCTTGGATTGATGATGCCATCAATAATGACGAGCCAGAGGACATGCCCACCAGCGATCCTGTTTCGCCGTCTGCCGGACACTATGCAGCCCTTGAGCCGTCTGCTGCTGAAGCGTCGCTGCGAGCTCAAGAAACGAAACAATCGACGTCTGCACCAGTTGAAAACAACGATGCCGAGAATCGAACGGCACGTGCGGACTCGACTGGTCTTGAGCCCACTTCTCCACCTGCAACACCATCTCTTTCCGCTGCACCTAGGTACGATGATCTTTCAACAACAACCACATCATCAGACAGACCGAGCTCTCCCAGCCCGTCTGAAGATGCGGTTGACAACAGTATCTTGAGCCAGCGCGGGACAAAGCGAAGCCGAATGCCCATACTGCAAGACAGCCTGAGACAGCCAACCTCCGATGCACCACGACTCAACGCCGATCGAGACGCTACTCAGAAGAGTGTCCTCAAGAAGCTCAAAATAGCCGCTGCGAAGCACATTCCTGATGCGCAAGTCAGCTCCCCTACAATCAGCAATGACGACAACTCCACAGTGGGGGCAACCAGCGACGATGCTCCATTGCGCGTGGCTACGAGCAACTACAAGCTTAAGAAAGCCGACGAGAACAAGCTCAAGACACTCGGTATCGAGATTGTCGACGACATCGAGCTCGCCAACGTGTTGGTCACACCCAAGGTTTCGCGTTCGCCCAAGATGCTCTACGCCATTGCTTCCGGTAACATCGCCATCATCTCGCCAGACTGGATCCTAGCCTGTCTGAAGAAGCGCCAGCTTGTTCAATTGCAGTCCGAATCCACCAACACCTCATCATCATACAGCTTGGTCGACAAGGAAGGTGAAAAGACGTACGGCATCATTCTTGCTGACGTTCTGAAGCGTCGCAAGGCCGAATACAGACATGGCATCTATGCGGGCCACAAGTTTTGGCTAGGACGCGGAGTAGACGAGAACGGATCCTTTTCCACACTCATTGAAGCAGCAGGCGGAAAGGTATTGCCGGTTCCCTTTGGCGAGGAGAAGCTGCTCTCTGATCCAGATCACTACCATTTGGTTGTTGATGAGGATCATACGATCGAATGGAGAGACTTGATCGGCCTCCCCACCATTTCCGGTGAACCGCTGAAGCTGTACAAGAAGCAACTCATCACGGACTGCATCTTTGAGCAGCAGCCCAGATGGGATCGACATTTGATGGACACTGCGCGAGTGCGCGCAAGTAGCTCGGGCACAACACCAGTGAAGCGAGGACGTGCTTCAGCTGGCGGCAGTGCAAACAAACGTGTTGCTGCCCGCTGACAAACTCATCTCTTAGTCATGATGACATGCTTTGTATTCTAGTCATTTCTCGAACAACATCATAGATGTACGAACACTACCCTTGAATTGCAAAGAATGAAAGCAAACAGGCGGAGCTGGGAAAGACGAAATTTACAAGTTTTGGCGCAAGAACTCGAGGTAATCTCGTGTGGCGATTTCAAACTCTTCTCCGACATAAATGTCAAAGTGAGCCATCTGATCGTAGTACTTGATGGTCGCCTTAGGTGCCTTTTCCGCGTAGCTGAGTGTCGGGCCGGGTGGGGCGACCGAGTCCTTTCCGCAGATGGCGAAGAGGATAGGGCAATGAACCGAGGAAGTGTGCCAACCAGGATTGTAGAAGCCGATGAAAAGAGCAAAGCGAGCAGCCACATAGTCTGGAAGCTTCTCTTCAAGGTGTGGTGGAATGATCTTGCGAAATGCGTGTGCGTCTGGCGCATTCATAAGTGCAGCTGCAAGCAGGTTCGAACGGAGAAAAGAGAAGGCTGTCAGAGGATGATCATCACGAGGAAGAGGTATGCGTGAGCACGTGGGGGAAAGGCTTACCTTCACCGGGATTGCCAACCAAAGGTACGGGAATGATGTTGTTGCCTTTTGACAGGAGCAAGTCGCGCAAACCCAACACTGCTAGCTTGAGCAGGGGCAAGAAGCCAACCGTTTGCGATGAATGCAAGCCCGAGGTAAAGGGACACTGTGAGATGACTGCTTTGACTCTTTTGTCTTTCGCGGCTACACTGATCACATGGCCACCGCCAAAGCTGGTTCCAAATAAGCCAATTCTCGAGTTATCGACGTCTTCGAGCTTTGATGTGTAGTCCAAAGCAGCGTCCCAATCCTGCAGCTGCAGGTTGATATCCAGCAACTGACGGGGCTCACCATCACTTGCGCCAAAGTTACGGTAATCAAAGACGACACAGACGATCCCGAGCTCTGTGAACTTGGATGCGAAGCGGTCAAGACCAATCTCCCTGATACCACCAAGGCCGTGAGCGAGAATCATTGCTGGATACAACTTCGAGCTTGTAGAGCTGGCCGCCGAGCGCAGAGGCTGAGCAGTGGGATGATAAACCCATGCAGCGCAGAGTTCGTTGCCGGACGCGAACTTGACATCTTCTCGATGGAAGGCTGAGGTTGATGCTGCAGTCGTCATTATGAGGCGTCAAAGGATATAGTTGGGGCTAGGATGGAAGCTTGCGGAGTGGAGTAAGTTTCTTACATTACAAAGTATCCATGATTGCTGTGCTCAATCATAGGAAAACCAAGGCAAAACAGCAGCTGTTAGTGTGAAAGGAGGTGCTGGTGGTAACTGAGTGGTAGCTAAGTGGTAACCATTTTCCACGGCGGTCACCTCAAACTTTGCCATCTTCTGCGAAAGACACCTCACTTGAGCTTCCTTCGACATGCTCGCCAACACAAAGGTGGAGGCTTCGACGTCATAACTCGTCACTGCAAGAGAAGACTGTAGGGTAAGTCAACGACTCCTGAAAAATTGTGTCAAAAAACGAGGCCAGGAAAATTGCAATCAAGAAATCAAGTGTTATTGGCGGGATGCCTTACTTGACAGCAGCTCATCTGCACGGAGAGCATCTCGCCTCGAATTGGGCACACTCGCCAAGGATTGGCTCCATGGTGGAAAGGGCGGCAAGTGAACCTGGCAGCACCCAGAAATGCCACTTGTTCCCCACACTCGTTCACACGATCAACTTTCGGACAAGTCATATGGAGAGGCAAGCATGGGCAAGTCCGGACGAGGCTGATGCATCGACAAACAAGGCGTGGCGCCGGAGAAGCATGCTTGTGCGGGGTAGAAGCATTGCTGAAAAGCACGGCGTACAGTCGCACGAGACAAAGATAGCTTGGTTAAAGGACCGGCCGTATAAAGCTCGCTTGTTAGCCGGATACTGCGGCATGCTGGCTCGATGGACTCTTATCGCGGTGTCAATATCTGCAACCCCGCTCTCATTCGAAGAAGATGATGACCCGTGCCGGGAAGAGTGCTTGGAGGCGGCGCCTGGGTACCAGGGCGAGGTTGTAAAGCTTGACCCACATTTGTCGTCTTCGACAACGGAGCATGCTGTCGGCTGCGGAGGAGGGTATCGATCGATAGAACGGCGTGGTTGCACAGGGTAAGCATTCCAATGCTTACGAACTGAGCTACCCACGTCGCTTGTTCTAACTACCTGAGTCTTCGAACGTCCAGCAGACCTAGCTCGGTTTCAACTTCCGCAGCGTCTGATAGCTTCAATGCTCTGCACTGCGAATTGCGGGTTATGTAGATGGCTCTGAAACGCATCTTGAGGTCCATCAGAGTCGGTCGAGAGAGCACGCTCTCCTGCTTGTCTTTCGCCCGAGAAAAGGCTCAAAACGGCCAATTCCAAAAGGAAGTCGCGGCTCGTTGTTTTTCTTACACATCCGAGCCTTCAGCCACGCCGTCGTTACACTCTGATTCTTCTCGTCGATACCGGCGTCAAAATGTTACCCCAAGCCTTCTCACATCATCTGCACGGATGGCGCAGACAAACCCCGTCAGTAAAGGAGTGCATGCTCACAAGCGACAAGTGCGGGGCTCCGCTCAAGTCCTGCAGCAAAGAAGCTGACCCCACGTTTGATTCTTTGACCGCGTTGGTGGGAAAGGCCAGAGACATAGTTTGCGCCCGCCAGGCTGCCCTGCATCCACGCCTACCATGCTGCATTTGTTACAGTGTTCCGCTTGCTCCTTGTCCTCCTCCCGCGGAAGTTTCTCGCTGTCTCGCTACTCACCTCAAGTCTTTGTGCCCGGCTGATCAGCAGCAGCACACCAGACTGTCCCTTGCTTGTGCCTGCTCATGTGATCGTCCACCTTCTTAGCCGAAATGTTGCTGACATTTTGCTGTCGCTGTGTGGCAGACTGTGCAAGGTCTTTCCGTGTTCTCCGCATCTTCCTTTTCTGTATTCGCTCTAGCTTCGAGCGCACCTTGACATCCTATCACTCCTCCTTGCCTGTATCAAGGTTTAGCTGATGCAAACCTCGAAGTGAATTTCCGGGTGTTGAACTGGTTCCTGGTCGACCTTCACCGTACCTTTGCACAGATGTTACTTGCCTCCTCTCCAACGACCCCGCAGTCCAGCGAAAGGCGCTGCCTCACAGAACTTCTGCTCCCTACAGCTTTGCCTAGACCTTGCTGCATAGCCGCAGGTCCTCCAGGCTCTTGCAGTCACTCAACACCGTCGCAGTCACTTCCTTTCTTACTTATACGTCGACCTTTTCATCCACCTAAATCACCCTACCTCATCCCCTCTTCTCGACCCTGCTCTGCTCATTACCTTGTCCGACGATCCCCATCTCACACGACCCAGCACAGGACGTCTCAGCACTGAACGACTTCACCATGAGGTCTGGACAACTGCGCCACCCCGATCCTAATCACCCATACAACCTTCCAACATGGCGGAAGCTATTCATGCTCGCCACCATCTCGCTCACTGCTTTTGCGGCCAATGAGATGGCAGCAGCACACTTAACTGTATGTGTTCCTAAACCCAAGTCAACATCTTAGTACCAGCAATGTTCAAAGCTGACAGGTATGCTTCTTTTTTTCTCTTGCTTTGCTTGCTGCCGACTAAAACAGGCATTCCATCAAGTCTCGGTCGCCTTCCACCGCACTATCGCCGCCACGGCCAACACCATCGGCATCGGTATTCTTGGTCTCGGAACCGGCCCCCTTCTTTGGAACGCACTTGCTGAATCCATCGGCCGTCGTCCAGCTTACATCATCGCTTGGTCTCTCTACATCCCTTGCACCGTCTGGCTTGCGCGAGCCGGTAGCTACGACAGCTTTGCTGCTGCTCGATTCTTGGCAGGTTTCACGTCCTCGGTGTCGCAAACCGTCCCAGCCTCACTCATCTCGGAGACTTTCCAGCCAGAACATCGAGGCGCTGCTATCGCTGCCTGGACCGTCCTACTCATTGCTGGTCCCGTCACAGCCCCTGTCATTGGCGCCGGTATCTTGACTCGCACCACTGATTGGCGATGGGGTAAGTGCATACGTTCCCTGACACTACATCTTACTTTGTTGGACAGGTTTTGCTCACCATCTTCTCCGCCGGTGCCTACAACCTTTTACAGTCTATTACCTCACCCTTATCCTTGCCGGCGGTCTCTGGGTCTGTATTCTGCTCTTCGTCCCCGAAACTCGCTACATCGCCAATCCGGCTGCTGCCACCAACGTCTCTTCTTCACACAACGGATCCTCCTCACACTATGAGGCCGAAAAGAAGGACTCACACTCGATCGTGGACGGCACGGTAACACCTCCCCTTGCCAGCGCTGGTTCACTTGAAAGTGGCTCCAACGGCCGCGTTGGTGTAGCTTGGTACCCTTGGAAGGAACCCGGCCGTTTCGTCAAGGAGATTGTCGCGCCACTCAAGATGGCTGTGTATCTTCCCGTTATCCTTCCCTCGATTCTCTACGCCGTCATCTTCATGTGGTCGGTCGGCTTCACGGTTGTCAGTCCTCAGGTATTCCCACGACCTCCTTGGACCTTCACCAACGTCCAGGTCGGCCTTTCCTTCCTCGCAGCCGCTGTGGGAGCATTGATCGGCAAATTTGCCGGGGGCTACCTCAGTGACAAGACTGTCGACTCCTTCGTGGGTCGCAACTCAAACGGTCCCAATCAGGGCAGGCGTGTGCCTGAGTACCGTCTGTGGGCACTACTCCCCCATGTGATCCTGCTCACCGTGGGTCTGTTGCTTTACGGAATTGGCTATGCTAAGAAAATGGCATGGCCCGTTGAGGTTATCGGCGGCATCGGTGTCTACTATGTTGCAAACTCGGCAGCTGGTGGTATCTTGCAGACCTATATCATCGAGTCGTACATCACAAAGGCGGTACATGGAATTGCTCTGTTCAACTTTGTCAAGTGCTGTCTCGCCTTCTCTGCACCTTTCTTCGTGCCCGAATGGGCTTTCGAGGGATTCACAAAGGCCTACGTCGTGCAGGCTGTGGTGACAGCAGCATTGACGCTCTTTACAATCGTAGCGCTGCTTGCATTCGGTGCCAAGCTGCGTCGCGCACAGAAGATGGTCTCCACCGGCTGAGAGGCCGCAGAAGTTACTTTCTTTCCATGTTCGGGTCACCTATTTGTATGTCAGACAGCCACAATGAAAGAGACCATGGCAAACATCTCGCATTCAGTTTGTGTCTAGTGGCGTTAAAGTAGCTGCCAAGATAGTCGGTGTCATGTCTGTTCAACACGGCAAGATTGCAGCGAAGCTTGTCCGAACCACTCCGATGTGAGCGAGCGCTAGCGTCCGTGTCCTGCGCTGTTAGCGCCGAATGATGAGGTCGGCGAGCGTCATAGCGATCCGATGAGGCCGGCCAAACCTCTCGGTTAAAAAGCAGATCTCAAGTCGAAGTCGACACTGACATCATTTGTGATCGAAGAGCAATGTATGGCAACTGCGATGAACTACGAGTACAATTTTGAGGTGAGAACAAGGATTGGAGATGTTTTTGGGATGCTGTTGTGGTGCTGGTCTGGCGGCGTGGTATGGAGTGCTAGCCGATCATTGTGGGCGTGGTGGCATACCGAAACTGCAGAAAAGGGAAGTTTTAATCGTGAGATGTTAAGATCAGCGTTTGGCTCGATTGAATACGGGAGAACAAGGTACCGCTTGGATCGGCGGGAAAAAAAAAAAAAAGGACTTACCCAGGCGGAGGACGGGGAGGGAAGCCTCCAGGTGGTGGAACTGAGAAACCGGGAGGAGGACCACCAGGCATGCCTGGGAAGCCGGGTGTACGGAAGCCAGGAGGCGGCCCCACAGGCATACCGGGGGGAGGAACAGGCATGCCTGGCATACCCGGTGGAGGAGGTCGTGCGTAGGGCATGGGTCGGGCCATCATGGGAGGAGCGGCACCAGGCATGGGTGGGACTGCAAGACCCATACCTCTGCCCATGGGCGCGCCTTTACCAGGACCAGGTTGCATCTGTACATCGAAGGCGGGGGCGAGGCGTAGAGGAAGCAAGTTCGAGAACATGTCAGTCAATATGAGGAGGTCAGAAGTGAATCAGAAGGGATCGAAAACAGAGCATGGGCTTTCCGAGAGTACGAAGATGGAGGGATGAGCGGCGAAAGTACTTACGGTGGGCTGTCTCCTGTCGTCTGCCGGTGGAGGAGCTTCGATGGCCATGCTGACAATATTTTCGCCTCGAAGGATGAGGAGACCGAGTGTTCTCTTTTGTTCCTGGATAGCATCGGGTGCGCTTGAGGATGCTCCGACATCATCTTCGTCGTCCTCGTCCTGAACGGCGGCGTTGCCAGCTGTCGAAGCAGCTGCAGCTCGTGCTTTTGCTTTTCTAGACTTGATTTTTCGGTATTCTTGGGAATCGGCGAGGACGAGGTTCATATGAGCGTCGAATGCGAGAAGTTGGCCAACAATCTGACGCGAGTCATTGAGGGTGATGCGAAGCCTATAGTTGATGAGCGACATCATCTTGCCGCCCTTGGGCTTTGTTGGAGGCATTGTGGATGAAGCGCTCGCTTTCAAGCGTGATAGCGTGCTTCTTGGCTATGCTGCGTACTGCGAGTCGACCAAATGGGGCCCACCGAGTAGAATCGAGAAGAAGAGGATCTGGTTCCAGGCGCCAGCTAGCCGCTTTTGAGGTGGATCTGGACCGATTCGGTAGGACGTGGTATGCAGGGGGTCCACAGCGTCTCTTTTGTGCCGAAAAGTCGCGAGGGTACGCGTGTGTTGGTCGTCAAACTCGGAGAACTTGGGACTAATACAGATGGCAGTGGAAGAAGAAGGTGAAGGATGTGCAGGGACGTCAAGACTTCGGAAAACGGCGCGAATCTAGGAAAGATGGACGTCACGTGTAATTAGAATCCAGCAGTGTGTTGGAGAGTATGAACCTAACACGTCAGACCCAAGTTGGGTCGCGATCAGGCACGGGCCGGTAAAGTAGCAATATATGTTACATTCCTCTCAAAAACATGCCAACGCCCAACTGCTACTAAGGGAAAAGAGCCTAGGTCAGCCAGCGTCCACGCCCTACGTCGACTTGGCTTAACCTCGTTTAAAACTCAGCTGGTCTTTGAGGTTCTTGCCGAGGCCGAGTCCAGCGTGGACGTTGCTACCGAAACCTCACTATTGATGAATCCCATCGCTTGATGGAGAAGCCACTCCTCAACCAACAGAATGATTGAAGCTAGCACCGCGTGAGAACGGCTTGATTCATACCAAACCACACCTCTGATGCTTTTCGTACCAAACAAACAAGCGAGAGGCGAAGTTGAGATGTGACAGCAGCATCGAGAGGGAGAGCATCGAGAGGGAGACATATATAGGTCGTCTTTGCAGCTCCGATCGCGAAGGTCCACCATGCGAGCTAGAAGAAGGCCGGCACTGCACAACGACGAATGTTGCGCAATCTAGAGGGCGAGGTTACGCCCCGCCCCGCCTTCTCGACTCTGGCCCGCATAGTCCTAATCTGCCATGATCGCTGACGGCATGATGGCATGAAACATTCACAGACCATTGCAAATTGCTCTTGACAGTCCGTCAGCCGCTCAATCGCGCAGCGTCCCGGGCTTCGCAGGTATGCACGGGCTTTTCCCAGCTCGCTTGACCTTTCAGTTTTTGATGCTGACAATAAACTGTCAAACAGTCAAGCGTGGTTGGGTGTCGAGGAGAAGATTCAAGAGAGAATCTGATCGCGCTGAGCAATTTGTGAGCGCTGCTATCGTCGGATTGGTAGTCTGAGTAACAAATATGCTTGGCGCTTTTGGGTAAGTTGCCTGCTTGCACCCTTCTCCGTCCTCCAGCCAGCCGTTGCTTCTGTCTAGCCTTTGTGTTCCATCTTGTCAGCCCGTCGGAAGGTTTCTGTTCATCGGAACGCCTGTCCGGACTTGGTGGCTGCGCTCCTTACCTTCTCCTTCCCTCCGTCAACGGTCTCTGGTCGCTTCTCTTCAACCCCCACCAACACTGCCAACCCCATCTTCTTGAATTGAAGCTCGACCTTCAGTAAGAACAATAGGTGCCACCTTTTCCTTGCCCTCGAGCATAAGGTCGACCCGCACCGTTGCACCTGCGGTTTGTTGGTATCTTCTAAAAGCGCTTCCAGTCCTATAGCATCAGCAGTTTCAGCACATCTAGGCATCAGCATCATCGCTCGACACCGCTGTCATCCTTCTGCGTTTCGGTCACCGGGCTCTGTCCAATCCATCACACCTACGCATCGCCCATCAGTGCATCGCCCATCATGCCACCTTTCCTGTCCGTTTTCAGGTCTAGGACCAACTCCTTGCTCGACAACATTACCGGCATCATCCCAGACTCGCCATCTGACAGTACCTCCAAGGACAACTCCCTCACTTGTAGAAAGTGCGGCAATCGCTTCCGTGACAGACTCGAACTCAGCTCTCATTTCAACCTCCTCCCAAATCACTCCGACTACGCTGACAGCTACAACTATGATTCTTTCACTCGTCCCAAGGGTAGACGCGCCAAATCCGACCGTACTCTTGAGCTCGGTACGCCCACCCCGTCAGCGCTTCTAGATGGTGTCACTCCCAGTGCCAGCTTCAGCGAAACACAGGCTTACTACGCTGTTCAGAACGACGACAAAGAGCAGGACGCTTCCACCACACGACCAGCTCTGCTCCGCAAGTTCCCTGCACTCTCCAGTCACAGCATCAACCTCACCGGAGATCAACAACCACAGTCTCCTCCTCCAACCGACTATGCCGATAGCATCGCCCCTTCACCACGCTCGGATCCAAAAGGCAAGGGAAAGCAAAGGGCCATGCCTCGTCTTCGAAGAGACGATTCTTTCCAGTACGGTCAACCTCTTGCCTCGTCAGATGAAGAAGACGCTGAGTGCCAGTCCCGTGCTACAAGCTCATCCACCAAGAACTTCGGCAGCTCTACTCGCTCCCGTGCGCACAGTGCTAGCGTAGAAGCGATGGCTTCGCACTCTACACTCAACGCCCGCCCGCGCAGCTCCACCTCTTCTAACACGTCCAAGACCAGTCGCGCTTTGGCCAATAAGGCAGTGGGCCAAGCACCACCTCTTCCTCCCAAGATACCCATGTTCGAGCGGCAAGACAAGCTAAAACAATCATATATTAGCTCACAAGACAGTGCAGACGACACTGACTCCATCGATTCCGACGCCAGCTTCCGCACTGCCGGATCCACCAAAAAGCCATCCGAAAAGACCCGTCTCAAGCAGTCATATGCAGCTCGCGACACTTTCGGGCCTAGTTGGGGCTCACCATCTGCTTCAAGCAAACAGATGGGCAAGCAGCTCCCACCTCGACCCAGAGAGCGTCATGCCAGCGAGTCGAATCTCCTGCTGGAATCCATGGGTACTTCTCACGATGACGCTCCACCCTCCTATTACGAGCTGCATGGTGACGCCGACCCTTTCGATGATTTGGCGCTCCCACCTCGCTCTACTTCACGTCACTTTGTCTCCCGATCTGATGGCTTTGCTACCGTGCCTACCTCACCAGTCAGTCGCTGCGATCCTGCTACATCCCGCCGCCCTCGACGTTCCACGAACGCTTGGCCGTATGCCTCGAGCAGTGCCTTCCCAGTCACCTTTTCGCGTTGCAACGATCTCGACACGATCGATACTTACACTTCCCTGCCAAATACCGAAGACGATCTCTACAATAGCTCTCCCGTATCACCAAAGGCACAATTGCGCAGAGCTGCGGGTGTAAGACCATCCATGAGCTCGAAGCTCGCCAACGGTTCGCTCCCCCCATCGATCTCCTCGTCCTCCTTCTCATCTAGTCCATCACCGACCACGCCAAAGACCCCCTTTGCATTCTTGGCAGATGCTCCTCTTTCATCGCCACCGCCAACTCTTTCGAAGCCTCACAAGGCTAGCGCTGGTTCTAGCCGCCGTATTCGTCAGTCCAGTCGCGCGAAGTCGGATGCAGCCGCGCCTAGCACCCGCTGTCCGACCTGCTTTGTCAAGTTTGCCACTCTCGAAAAGACCCTCGAGCACCTTGACAATTCCGACTGTGGCGCTGTCGAGTTCGAAAGCGGCATCATGTAAACTCTGTGACATTGCAAATGATCAATCATAGCGATGGTTCCAGCACAAATCCGCATATCCTTCAATTAACCCTCGCTGTGCAAAGTTCCTACTTGACAATCTCTGTTTCACGATTTTACCATGATCGCAGATCAGATGCACCGACTTACCGTCCGACAGTTGCTTTTAGTGTACAGTCCCTGTCCAAAGTTTGGGGACAGGGTCCAATAGACAATAAATCAACCATCCAATAGCATACCTTCCATCTGCTTGGAGGAGTGATCTCTCATAAGTGTCAGACTGAGCAAAACACACAGTGAGCAAGCTCGGAAGAAGGGCTTTCAATTGCAGTGAGTCTCGGAGCTGACTAATACTTGAGCAGACCTCCATGCTTAGTAAGCACTTGCTCCACATGATGCTCCATCGACTTGATCACAGGTTTGATATGTTTGAGTGTGATCTGGGTGTTCCACACCTCCTCTGCAGCTCTGGCAAGTTCATCCCAGGTTTTCGGTACCAGCAAGTGCTTACCAAGCAAGTTTTTGAATACATACCATATGTTCTCAATAGGGTTAAGGTCTGGCAAAGCTGGCAGGTGTTCCTGTGTCTTAATGTGGTATTCAGCCTGCCATTGCTTGCAGATAGCAGCCTGATGACAGCTGCTGCCATCTTTGACAACTGACAGGCTGTCAGGGTATGCACTAACAGCAGTTATGGCATCCTGGAGCAAGCCATCAATGATCCAATCACAATATCTGACAGCTGTGAGGTTCTCAGTGGGATCCCATTGATTAGCCAACCCCAGCTGCTTCTTTCTTGGAGCCAATGGGAGCACAATCAACGGGGTTTAAGGTTGTATGCAATGCCGGCCCATACCTGGATGCTGAAACGGCCGGGGTGTCATGGGCCTGAATGCTCAAGAAGCAGGAGGGTCACTGGTTCATATGAAAGGAGCACAGGTATCGGAGATCTAGTCGATACCAGTAGAGAGCATGGTTGTAGTGCATGTCATGGGCCTGGATGCTCAAGAAGCAGGAGGGTCACGGGTTCATATGGAAGGAGCACAGGTATCGAAGATCTAGTCGAGATCAGTAGAGAGCATGGTCGTAGTGCAGTCTCCATGGAGACCATGGACTCCTATGGACTCACATGCAAAGGAGGGCCAAGCACAGCCACGAGGAGGACCAAGCTCAAGGAGCAGGCACAGCCACGAAGAGGACCAAGCTCAAGGAGTATGCAGATGGTTACCACTCAGGGGCTCGAGAGACAAGAGCCAAAGGAACTGTCACTGATCAAAGGAGAAGGAGCAGTGTCGAAGGAGTCGACACCAGGTCATGAGGAGGAGGAGCAGTGTCGAAGGAGTTGACACCAGGTCATGAGGAGGAGGAGCAGTGTCGAAGGAGTCGACACAGCTCAAGAGGCACAGGGGTGCCAAGCAGGAGAGGCCCCTGAGCAGTACTCGATGAAGAAGGTACTCTCTGGAGAGAGAGCAGGAGCAGCATCACTGGCGATGCTGAGTAGAGGTATATAACCATGCTTTCTCATCATCATAGGTCGAGTGGATCCTCATCCACTCTACTCACCATAACTAGTTATCACTTCAGCATAAGTATATATTAGTTTCAGTCAGCATAGCAGCAATCCATCAAAGGTTGCTCCTCATCGTAGTGTGTGTGTTGTATCACCACTACCTGACATCCAAAGGTGCCCATAGCAGGTTAGCGGTCCGGATCAAGATAGAACCGAAGGCAGTAGTCCACTGCAGTCTGGGGATCACTTCAAGCATCAAGTCAACACACTGGACACTCATGTTGATGTCACCAACCTTATCACCAAACACCATCAACCTCATTACCATCAACACTCACCAACCTTATCACTGACACCATCAACCTCATCATCATCAACACTCACACCAGACCTTGGTGTCATCATAACCTATGTATTGATATTGATCATGCCGAGCTACCCCTGAACGGAGTGTCCACAGAGGTCAGCCGAAACCTACGATAGTATATACAACGAACGCCACCTGCTGTCACTGCACAACTTGATAGTCACCAATACTGAGACAATAGCTGTCGCACAGTTTGATAGTCACCGAGTATCTCAACAGACCGACCTGGGTTTCAGGCGCGAGACCCCTGACAGTGCAGTCTCCATGGAGACCATGGACTCCTATGGACTCACATGCAAAGGAGGACCAGGCCCATATGTGAGGAGGGCCAGGCACAGCCACAAAGAGGACCAAGTTCAAGGAGCATGCAGATGGTTACCACTCAGGGGCTTGAGAGACAAGAGTCAAAGGAACCGTCACCAGTCAAAGGAGAAGGAGCAGTGTATAAGGAACTGGCAAGCAGGTCCTGAGGAGGAGGAGCAGTGTCAAAGGAGTTGACACCACTCAGGAGGCACAGGGGTGCCAAACAAGCAGGATAGCAAGGAGGAGGAGCAGTGTTGAAGGAGTCGACACAGCTCAAGAGGCACAGGGGTGCCAAGCAAGCAGGATAGCAAGGAGGAGGAGCAGTGTCGAAGGAGTCGACACAGAGGCACAGGGGTGCCAAGCAAGCAGCTGTGAAGAGGTATATAACCATACCTTCTCATCATCAAAGGTCGAGTGAATTGTCAGCGGTCGCGTGCCTGAAACCTGAGATCTGTGGTAGTATTGATACTATCACCGATTCTGTCGAGTTATGCAACAGCGCTAATGGTATTTCGATTCCTAGTGAAATATGCGACAGAGCCTTCTCTGTCACCTGTCAGGGGTCTCGCGCCTGAAACCCAGATCGGTCTGTCGAGATACTCGGTGACTATCGAACTGTGCAACAGCTATTGTCTCAGTATCAGTCTCGATGAGCTAGTTGCTTGGCGACTATCAAGTTGTGCAATGACAGCAGGTGGCATTCATTGTATATACTATTGTAGGTTTTGGCTGACCTCTGTGGACACTCTGTTCAGGGGTAGCTCAGCATGATCAATATCAATACATAGGTTATGATGACACCAAGGTCTGGTGTGAGTGTTGATGATGATGAGGTTGATGGTGTCAGTGATAAGGTTGGTGAGTGTTGATGGTAATGAGGTTGATGGTGTTTGGTGATAAGGTTGGTGACATCAACATGAGTGTCCAGTGTGTTGACTTGATGCTTGAAGTGATCCCCAGACTGCAGTGGACTACTGCCTTCGGTTCTATCTATATCCGGACCGCTGGTTTGCTATGAACTGCCTTCGGATGTCAGGTAGTGGTGATACACACACACTACAATGAGGAGCAACCTTGATAGATTGCTACTATGCTGACTGAAACTAATATATACTTATGCTGAAGTGATAACTAGTTATGATGGTTGTAGAGTGGATGAGGATCCACTTGACCTTTGATGATGAGAAAGTATGGTTATATACTGTCATGGGCCTGGGTGCGCAGTACGAGGAAAGACCGAAGTTCATATGAAGGTAGGGTTAGGGTTAGGGTTAGGGTTACAAGGGTGTTCCCAGCGAGACCCTTGGAAACATGAAATCTGTACTAATGAGATATGTAGGGATACCCTAGGACTATGTGTATGCAAAGTCTCACGGTACCCTGTTCTGTGGTGGATGAGATATGGGCCATCAAAGTTTGGTCACTAGGTTTGAACTTTGGTGAACCTAGGTAAACTTCAATGAAGCTGGGTAAACTTCAATGAACTGAGGTAAACTTCAATGAACCTAGGTAAACTTCAATGAACCTAGGTTAACATGAATGAACCTAGGTAAATGTTGATGAAGCCAGGCAAATGTTGGTGAAGCTAGGTAAACTTTGATGTAGCTAGGCAAACTTACAAGGGTGTTCCCAGCAAGACCCTTGGAAACATGAGATCTGTACTAATGAGATATGTAGGGATACCCTAGCCCTAGCCGGTGTGTCTTGCTTGCAGGCAACGCACAATTGCGCTCCGCCAAATTCGAAATTCACGCGACTGCGTTGACCCCCAACGCACTCGAAATTTACACTGCTCAAGTGCCGCAACGCAAACAAATTTATTTTTGCTGGAGCAGCGCAAATTGAGCAACGCACAGCTGGAGCAACGCACTCACAGCTGGAGCAACGCACACTCTGCTGGAGCAACGCAATCTGAACAGTGCACAGCTCGAGAGCAACGCACTGTTCGAGAGCAACGCACAGCTCAAGAGCAACACACAGCTCAAGAGCAACGCACAGCTGGAGCAACGCAATCTGAGAAGCGCAATCTCATCAGCGAACTGCTGGACAGCGCACACTCTGTCGGAGCAGCACAATTGAGAGGAGCGCAATTGAGAGGAGCGCAATCGAGAGGAGCGCAATCGAGAGGAGCGCTCACTCTGCTGGAGCAGCACAATCGACATGAGCGCAATCAAGACGAACGCAATCAACAGGAGCGCAAGGGTTAGGGTTAGGGTTAGGGTTAGGGTTAGGGTTAGGGTTAGGGTTAGGGTTAGGGTTAGGGTTAGGGTTAGGGTTAGGGTTAGGGTTAGGGTTAGGGTTAGGGTTAGGGTTAGGGTTAGGGTTAGGGTTAGGGTTAGGGTTAGGGTTAGGGTTAGGGTTAGGGTTAGGGTTAG